CTCATCATCCTCAAGTGGAGTTGTAATTTGTTGTAACACAATATGTGTTTATGCTTTTGGTAAACATGACATGTAAAGCACTCATATCTGGAAAATGTTCTTTGATAGTCATTAGGACCACAAGTTATTTAAAAATTAGCTTTATGCTTGAATGATAGCAGTGTGCTGGATTAACTTGATGATTGTGATTATCCCCAGAGCATGTAGAGAAACAAAAAACAAGGTTGATCACTTTGGTAACTGTAGTAGATCGAGGCTTGTCACCGTCCACCGTTCATTCAAAACATTCCACTGCAGAAACATCAAGGTGTTCTTCTAATAAGATGGATATGTCAAAAATGTATATTCGTCCACATCATTAGCCCGGCCAATCGCAATCCCATCAACTCTGAAGACTGCCGTAACTCGTCTTGTTAACAGTTGTCCAGTCGGTGGCCTCCTCCTGTACTTGAACTGTAGGATGTGGTAAAGATGATTCACTGTAAATGACAAAGCAATAATTACATTAATATCAGTCACTCTATCACTGATGAAGAGAAAATCAAAATGCATAGAAAGTAAAATAATTAATATTTATTGATTAAAAAAAAAAAGTATCACAGATTAAAAGACTAATATAAATTTCATTCATTCATTCAATTTCTTTTCGGCTTAGTCCCTTTATTAATCTGGGGTCGTCACAGTGGAATGAACCACCAACTTATCCAGCATATGTTTTACGCAGCGGATGCCCTTCCAGCTGCAACCCAGTATTACGAAACATCCAGACACACTTATTCACACACACATTTATACACTACAGACAAATAAGCTTACCAAATTCAGCTATAGCGCATGTCTTTATACTTGTGGGGAAACCGGAGCACTTGGAGGAAACCCTCATGAACACTGGAAACATATTCAAACTGCTCACACAAATGCCAACTGACCCAGCCGAACCAGCGACCTTCTTGCTGTAAGGTGACAGCACTACCCACTGCGTCATCCTAATATAAAGAATATCAAGCATTATAAAATGCATTTATCACAGCATATACTCAACAGAAAACAACATACGCACCGGAGCACAACGAAATGTTGAAGTGTCTCGCTTAACAAGGCTGGCAACATGAGAAGTGCTGCTGTAAAATCAATTCCTGGAACATAAGATGTGGCATACAAACAAATATGAATGAATCCATCCAAAGCTAGAATTTAATAATATTAATCAAGTGGAGAAAGTTTAGAAAGAGTACCTTAAAGTCAGGTCCATAGCATTCTTCAGTTGATCTCTCATCTTTCGATGAATACCTAGAAAATAATTTTAAACATGTGGGTGTACATTTATTGTTGTTTGTAAGTAAAAACCTACAAATTTAAAATAGTATGTAAGCCATTAAAACCATGGTATAGATAATGAGACATACTTACATCTTGTAACTTAGCCATGCTTTCATATGACATGCCTTCACTGCTCTGATGCTGTTAGGCTGCATTCTGTTGTTCAATCTTGTCCTGAAAGACAATTGGAAACTTCAAAAACTTCTGGAAAGCAATAAGATAAAGCAATAACTATTTACTTATTTTGAGATATTAATAAAATAGGTAAAATAGCTCAAGGTACCAGTTTCAGAACAGATGAGACAAATTATTACATTAAAGAACAAAGTATAACTTAAAACGTCGATTTATACAACATGGTATGTTAATAATTCTACATTAACATAAGTATAACGTTAAACGATAGTAAAGCACCAACAATTCTGGGCATGAGAGTTTGTGGACACTCCTCAACATTAATGTAACTTAGACACTGAAACGAAGATATGTACAAGCATACACACGCCACGTTTGTAACTAGCCACGTTTACATAATCAGTCGCTTTGCCGGTGACAAAATTGTGATTTTTCTTAACAAAATGGCGGTGTAACTTATATAACCGTCTAAAATTACATTTCAGCGGTCAACCGTGGCTAGAAAAATGGCCTCAAAATATAAAACATTATCGATAATTACAAATTTCCAGTATTAATAATAACAAAAGGTTTTATATCAAGGTATATGAAGACTTTAGTCGCGCGAGCTCCGGGCCACACCGGACATTACTCACGGGTCACGGCTTGATTCCGGTGCACGGATACGGCAGCGTCGGCTCTCTTCTGCCGCCGCAACTGGCCCGAGTGTATTTTGCTATTTGGGTTGCGATTATATTCCGCCGTGGCAACACTTATTAATAAAGCAGTAACGTAACGTAACATATAAGGCGCGAATACGTAACGTAGGCGATAAAGGGAACTTTTACACCGAGAAAACTAACAGCATATAGTACTCACCGTCTATAACGTTATGTCCCTCGGTGACTTCGATATCACATTGTATTAACTTCTTTAATAAGCTGCAGACATCTTAGCAAACACCATCCTGCAGGCCAGCCCGGAGCACTTAAAGCGGGGGAAAGCCGAGACCCAAGAGTCAGACAAAATCAACAGAACACAGCTTCACATGTAAAAATGAGACTGAAAATATATCTTTAATACATTCTTACCTGAAAAGTGTGGACTCCAAAATAGACTTTTCTTTGAAAAGCGTGCGAAGTTCTGTGTAAACAGCAAGCATACTCGACGGACCGCCTCAGTAACAAACACTACTATAACGTCTCAACAAGCCAAATTCTTAAAGAGACAGCAACATCACCACCTGTGTGAAGATGCTGTTACTCTGCATGATTCTTATTCTACATCCCATAAACTATAGGGTCTTAAACAGTAAGCAAAGACCAGTATTTACGTTTTTAATGATTAAAATTACATTCAATTATAAATTAAATTATTAACATTTTTGAGAAAATTTTTTATTTAAATACATGATTTTTTTTATTATTAAAATATTTAATTCAATCAATTTATTTATTTATTATATTTTTAAATTATGTATTTTAGTATTAATGTTTAGTATTAATACATTTAAATTAGTGTTATATAGTGTCTTGATCTTATCATGAGCTGAGGGTACAATTTTGTTCCTATAGGCAAACAAAATATATAATTGTACCTTTAAAGGTGCCAAATTGGTCCTTTACGGTACAATTTTGTATCCAAATGTGCTATAAAAGGTACAAAAATGTACCTTTCAAACCTAAATCTGGACATTTGTACCTTTATAGCCCATTTGGGTACAAAATTGTACCCTAAGGACCAATATGGGACCTTTAAAGGTACAATTTTATATTTTGTTCCCTCTAGGAACAAAATTGTACCCTCATTGTACCTTTTTTTCTGAGAGTGTATATTAAACAGATCACACTAAAAATGGATGCATGCATTACAAAACCAAACAGTCATATTTATGGGAATAATTATCAATTATAGTGAGCTGAATACTGTATGTTTAATGTTTATAAATCGATTAATCTATGCAGACACTAGGTTTTGAATTCAAATTATAATACCTAAAGTCATTGAGAACAGCTGTTGAAAGAACAGCAAAAGGCACATACATTTAAGTAACATTATTAAAAACTTGCTCTTAATCCCACCCAGGTGACGTCAAAGTTTATCAACTGCACAACAATAAAGCATGCAACAATAATTGCAGGAAATGAAGGAAGTGAAATGTTGCAGAGATAATATCACACTTTTAAATTTAGAGTTAAAAATTAAATGTTGCCGTGGAAGATAAGATATGTCAAAAGAAAAACAAACCATAAATTGGTGTTTTGGAAGCATAAAAGTTATATGTGGTGCAATATTTGCAGCTGTGAAAATTGTTATGCCCTGTGCAATACATTATGAGATGCACACAACTGACTAAATAAGTGCATTATTAATTACTGTATGATGGAGATGAGCAAGGCTGAAATGCTAAAGAAGTAGAGCCAGCTTTCTATATATATATATATATATATATATATATATATATATATATAAGGTATTTTAAATTATTAGCCCCCTTTGAATTTTATTTATTTATTTTCTCTTTTTTAAATATTTCCCAAATAATGTTTGACAGAGCAAGGAAAATTTTACAGTGTGTCTGTTAATATTTTTCCTATGGAGAAAGTCTTAGTTTTATTTTGGCTATAGAACGAAAGCAGTTTTTAATTTTTAAGAACCATTTTAAGGTTAATATTTTTTGGTCCTTTAAGCTAAAATTTATATGAAGTTTTTTACCCATGCTTTTACTCAGGACTGCCTGATGGCCCGGGGTCAATGTTAGAGATGCTCGGGACAGTAAACAGGATCGTTAGCAGCATCAGTTTAGCAAAGCACCCATCTTTTTTAAATCAATAAAGAACCTGCCCATTTTTCATACTGCTCTTTTTGTTTCCATAACACTTGAAATGTATTAATACGTTAAAATACATTTATTAACATATTTAAAAAGGCTATTTCAGTTCTAAATTTACAGATGTTATTTTTGACACATTAATAAAATATTGGCTAATGAATAACTATTAACTTTCTTTTTCTTTTTTCTTTTTTTTCTTTTTTGGTGGGGCCAGAAAAAAATTTGGCAGGGCAGACCAGTTGAAATAATCCTTAGCGTTGAACCCTTGTGTACAATGGAAGTCAGAATTATTTGCCCCTCTGAATTATTAGCCCTTGTTTATTTTTTTTCCCAATTTTTTTTTAGCAGAGATTTTCAACACATTTCTCAACATAATACACATTTCTAATAACTGATATATTTTATCTTTGCTATGATGACAGAAAATTATATTTGACTTAGATATTTTTCAAGACACTTTCAAACAGCTTAAAGTGACATTTAAAGGCTTCACTAGGTTAACTAGGCAGGTTAGGGTAATTATGCAAGTTATTGTATAATAATGGTTTGTTCTGTAGACTATCGAAAAAATATATAACTTAAAAGGGCTAATAATATTGAATAAAAAAACAAAAACGGGGCTTTCCTGTTCAGCTCGTACGGTCTGCATTCCCTCTCTTCACCGCGCGATGGCGCTTACAGCTGCATTCCTGGCGGCCAGTGAGCGCATCACAGGGAGACCTGCGCCTCTAAATAACAGCGTGAGATTCATTCCCTCTCTCTGTCTCTCTCCCGCATAACCGACGCAAGCGGCCAGCAGACGCCAGCGTCTCTCCTCTCTCCACCACCGCCTCTCGACCTTCCCAGCATGCCTTCCAACATGGACTTACAAGGTATGTTGTTGTTTCCAGTCTGTGTTTTGGGAATGATGCTTTAGCCACCGTTAAACGCGCGAAGGCTGTTTTTGTTCTGTTGGCGCGCTTGTTTGCCGTTAGCGGCCGACCGTCCTTATCTCATGCCTGCAAGTGCACCAGACAGCCTGGGTGAAGCCTCCAGACCGCTGAATAATTGCTCCCATGTCTCATTTTTCTAGGCGGAAAAGCCTTCGGGTTGCTCAAAGCTCAGCAGAGGGACAAGCTGGAGGAAATCAATAAGGTAAATGAGCGACCGCTGATGGATTATTATTGTCTCGATCTGGAGGCGAGTTTGTCACGTTGGTCTGTTCACTCTCGTGGTGCTGCTAGACGCATTGTCTGGAAATATGAGTGAGGTAAAAGGTGGTCTCTTTGGCTGATATATGTTATTTTGGACTGCAGCGCAATTGTTAAGCTCGATTTTACAGCAGCATGACCTAATTTAGTTAGACAGCTCGACCACATTAAGCCGCAGTTCATTTCACAATCCAGAGCAGGGCTGCGTCTCGGTCTCTATTGAGCTGTAGGATTTTCACCTTATATTGCTGATTCACGAGACTGGAGCGTTTAAAAATCGCTGTGTCGATTGGCAGCTTGGCTGAGTTTTTTGACCCGACCATGAGTCATTCACAGCTGCTTTGTAAAGTCCCCATGAAGTCACACTTTTGTTTTTAGGTATCAAGTTAACGTTAGACTTAAAAGTAGCGTTCAGGTTAAAAACAAAAAGCTAAATTCCTATTTAGAATATGTAAGCATTCATAATTAGCATTTCTATCTATATGGACAAACATTTTTAGGACATTGCAGAGAACTTCAGCTTCTTATCTGACCGGTCACTATTTATTCATGTTACCGATGTAATAAAATGTGTATTTACAAGCACATTTCTTGTGTATGGCCATACACCCAAAGCGCTTCACAATCATGAGGGGTGTCTCTCTACACCACCTCCAGTGTGCAGCATCCACTTGGAAGATGCGATGGCAGCCACAGGACAACGGCGCCAGCTAAGATATTTGTGGAGTGGAGAGACAGCAGCCCCTTTCACACAGTGATACCGGTAAATATCCGGAAAATTTCTGGATTGACTTTACCAGTAAATTCAAAAAGTGCTGTTCACACAGGCGAGGAAGTTACAGGATTTTCCCAGAAAAGAGCATTTATACATCTATTCCAAAATACCGGAAAATTCTGACATCAACCAGAAATGAGCTCTAATCGGCTGTGCTTGTATTCGTAAACATTTGATTACATTACAAACTCTGTGGATGGATGAGTATTGTGAACAACTTCAATGAAAACATAACATGAAACGCTTTCGTTTGTCGAGATGTTCATAATATGTGTGTGTGCTGTCTGACTAACATCTAGCAGCTAAATGTGTCTGGAAATATATTCACAGCCTTTTATTTTCATTAACCGCGCGGTTATGAGAATACGTCTGAGTGTTCTGATTGGCTAAAGTAGACCTCTCGCGTTAGAGCACGTTCACGCCCAGAACGCACTTTCCGGCAATCTTCCTTCTGTGTTCACACAGCGCAGCATAACGGCAAAATAGCCAGAATGAATTTACCGGTATTTTCAAAAAGGGATTTTTCACACATACAGGCCTTTCCTGTTAATTGCCGGTAATTTTTCTGGAAAGGTCTGCATGTGTGAAAGGGGCTAAAGATAGAGCCAATTCAGTGAATGGGGATGATTGGGTGGCCAAGATGGTTGAGGACCAATGGAGGGAAATTAGGCCAGGACACCAAGGTTACACCCCTACTCTTTACAAGAAGTGCCATTACATTTTGAATGACCACAGAGCGTCAGGACCTCAGTTTAACGACTCATCTGAAAGACCAACCAAATGTTCACCTAGGCCTTTGCAAATATAAGAAGGTAATAAAGAACAGGCATAATGTTTATCTGAACTCATTCAAATGTATTAGTTGTAACAATGAGAGGGTGGAACCCCAAAACTCCTCTGTCCTCAGCTGAAATGACATCATATGAAACACAAGGCATGTTCAGTTGCTGAAGGTTTCACTCAAACACAATCCATCAGCCATTGCTTGGACAAACAGATAGCCCCACCCAACACTGACTCAGTCAGCACCATTGGTTAGTAGACCCTAGTTGGGTGGGGCTAGTAAACCTAAAAGATAGTTTCTTTTTGTCGATTTACACCAGGGGTCACTAACCTTGTTGCTGGAGGGCTGATGTCCTGCAGTTTCTCCATTTAAACACCTTTGAACCAGCTTATCAAGCTCTTACTTGAAACTTCCAGGATGGTGTGCTGAGTTAAGTTGAAGCTAAACTCTGCAGGGACACCGGCCCTCCAGGACTGAGATTGATGACCATTGGTTTACAGTATCCACGAGTATAAAGTTTCAAATTAGTACTGTGAATATATTAAAGGGATCATTCATATTAATTTAATCCCTTTTAGTTGCTAATTTATTGGACATCTTGCAACACTACTTCAAATGAACGAGATGGTGAGACCTTCCCGGACTTCTAAGGTTGTCTATGAAAACAGATTTTTATGTGAAGCACTCGGGACTCATTTTTGCCAGGAAAAACAAACGGATGTGACGTTTACATGCACCCCAGAGAGTCTCTCTTTTGTTCTATGCCACATGAAACGAATGCTTATGTAGTGAAGAAAATAATGCCAAAACAGCGGTTCTGTGCTGTATTTGTTAGTGGCCTGCAAAGAAAGAAGATTATTACGAACTTTCCAATTCAGCCCTGCATATATTGAAATGGCGCTCTCAGCAGTATGGATGGGGATTGGATATTTAACATTTTATATTGCTGCAAAAGTAATATTTAATCAGATCAGAGCGCATAAAAAACTGTAGTGTATGAGTGTGAGCACAAGCAGTAAGTTACTTGCTACAGCTCACTTTGTCCACCATTGTGAAATGGGGGGCTGTTGACACAACAATGTTTTCGACTTAAAAACAGGAATCTTTTAAACCATTTTGCCCTTTTAAATTACAAGCCATTTGAATGGCCAATCATAGACATTTCTAAATGTGTGTGAACTACGGCCAGTCAACCCTTGACTTGCTCTCTTATTGGCTGTAGCTCATCGCTACTTTTAACTTCACTTGGGGTTGATTTGGCAGACTAGTCCAGAATATTTAGGATCCTAGATATTGGGTTTTTGTCTGCAAGGTGTCGGCGAGCCTCTTTGGTGTGTCGTTCAGTAGTTCACACAAAGACTGCTGAGCGCAATCACCCACTGATTTTCTGTCGGTGAGCTTCTTAACTTGCAAATTGTACTTAAAATCCTGTAGTGTGAACTAGGCATAACGATCCTTCACTAATGTGTGGATTAACTGTGCATTAAAACCAAAAGCTGAGACATGAACATACGGCAAATTCTACATGCATAACAGTGCACTACGTACAAATCTTAAATATACTGCTTATTAATGTCTTATTCACACTACAAACGTCAATCAGTGACACGATCATTCATTTCAATGGCGAGCAAGCCACTTCTGGCAATCTTCGTTACATGAGCTACTTTGACCATTGGTCACCAGATGTGGGCGTGTCAAGCGACACGACAAAGTTGGGAATCCTACTTTATGCAAATGAAGAGCGACCTTTGTAAGCGACAGCCAATACAAGCATCAGTAGAGTTCACGTGATCCTTCCTCAGCTCCTGCAGAAGCCGGTTGTATTCTCCATACTGTAGACCTACACTGCAGATAAATAGCCACAAAGTCTATTTTCAGCGGCACGTAAACTCATGCTCTCAGTGATTATCATCATAAACTTTACCCAAGCAACCTTCAAGGTTGTAAAATATTAAATATTTAATATTAAAATATTAAATCCCACCCCTATCAGCTGATCAGATTCCTACGGATACTTGGCTAATCTCAAACGAGGGCCTTACTTGGGGTGCACTCACACTATGCTATTCGAACCTTGCCCATACACGTTTTCTCGGTTCGACTGACAAGTGTGAGTGCTCCGAATCAGGCTCAGGTGTTTTTCAGTTGGCTGGCCCTTGCCCGGTTGGAAGAGGTGTGCCAGAGAGTGGTTCAGTTGGGCTTTGGCAAGGTATGCTTGTGGTGTGAGTGCAAAGCTTGCCTGAGCCCAAAACTGAAGACACAACATCACTTTTTGGGGGCTGCTTCATATGGATTTATTAATCATTCTTGTCAATGAACGCTAACTGTTGTAGTTCATTAAAGTTACAAACCCCTCGCTGCATGTCAGCTGCACCTTCAACAAACCTCCTAATACCTGCAGCACAAGGGCTTTATGATAATTTATGAGCGTCGAAAGTTGTGGATCTGTTCAGCAAAATATTTTACCGCGTTGCTGTATCCCGAATGACTAAAATGATATAATCAAAGCAGTCGCCACTGCACAGAGACTGTTAAACTCAACAGTCGCATCATAATTTATGCAAGCGTGCTTCGATTTGGAAGACAAGCGGCAGTATGAGTGCAGGCCCTCATTGTCACTTACTCTGTTCTGGGGATTTATGTGCTACTCTCCTATTCTTAAAATAGTCGAGATAGACCTGAAACTGCTGATATTTCTCTGTCAAGGCTTTTCAAGGAGCTCTTGAGATGGACTGGGGAATTTGAAACAGTCATACCACCAAATGCAATTTGAAACATTTTAATAAATTTAAAGGTAAGCTGAAGCTTGTTTGTTTTGAGGGCCTGATTGCAGGGTTTTTAGCCGTTTGTATAAACGTGAATCATATTGGAAACATTGTCATTCACAGACAAGGGCTACATCATTGTTGTAAATGTAGCCTAAAATTAAAGGTTTCTGAATTCTACATATAGCTCTCTTCAGCAGAAACGCTTTAACAAAGCAAATAAAAATACATCCTTAACCTTTTGAGTAATCTTGGTGTTTCAAGCAAAATCTGACCTTTCACCAAAATCCCCAGAGGCTTATTTTTTGACCCGTGTTATTCTAAAGCTAATGTTTAAGATCAGCTTTCTTTGAAGTGATAAGAAGCAGTGTGTCCCTCCGCAGCCGGCTGTCTCTGTGCTCTCAGACGGGAAACAGGTGTCTGTGATTCGGCATGAATGGGTCCATTATGTGGGAGAGAGATGGAGGAGTGGGCAGCAGTGGCATTTGAGCGGCTGTTCTCTCCCCCGTCTCATGTGGACTGTGGCTGGCAGGAGGGACAGCTTTATCTGGTCACATGAACACTTAGAAATAATGGGGAAATCAGGTCATGTAGTGACATCTGGTGCGTTTACCTGCACATAGTTTAGAGATTGATCTCAGGAAGCTGTTACATTTCACAAAATAGAAAATGTGTACTTGATGAATTTGAAGTCAGTTTTTACACCATTTAAGTGGAGATATTTTAATCGAAATGGTAAAACTTGATCTGAAACCTCAGACAGAGAATGAACTTTTTAATTTTAATCCACTAAATCCTTGCCCTTTTACTTATTGGCTGAGGCCCCATTCACACAGAGATCCATTTTGCTGTATACACAATTTTTGTATCGTATTTGTAGGTGTTTTGCTCAGACAAATCCAGTGTTTTGGGGGAGTTTTGAGTGTCCCAGAGTGTTTTCATGTGAACACCTGATCTGCAAATTTTGTGAAACTGTCATTATTTCATGTCTTGACCCTAGTCAGGCACTACTACATCATGTAACCTTACACAAAAATGGTAATTGTGGACTACATGCTTGTTTGTGCTACTGAGCTTAACAGCTTTTACAGAAGTATTCACCATGTTTATCTTGTCTTGTGTTAGTTTAAATACAGTTCACAGGTTTTATTTCCGTATTCTACATCACTTTTGTTGGTTTCAGTGGTTTTGTATTTACGCTGATATTTTTTGAGACTAGGCAAAAAAAAAAAGATCTGATAGTGAAAGCTCATTGTGTGAATGTAGCCTCAAGGTCACACTGTGACTTGTGTGTAGGAATTTATGGTACTGACTGCAAATTTTACAAGATAAATAAAATGGTTGTCTTATGTCTACTTAATACTTGGACTCTGAGCTGAGCAGATGTTTTTAGTTTAAAATTGTAGCATCTGTTGTTTGAAACTTAATTGGTTCATTATTTCTATCCGCTTGTTAAGTGTGATGTCATGCGAAGCAGCTTCAAGCTCCAATCACTCTATCAAACTGTATAGAGAGACTCATCAAATGGTAATAATAAATGTTTAAAAAGCGATGTAAGGCTTTCAAAAATCTGATGGTGAGTAATTTAATTGTTCCTTTTTTATAACTAGGCATGGGCTGGTATAAGATTCTGAGGGTATGATAACCTTGGAAGAAAATGTCAGGTATCACGGTATTGTGATTACTACTCTAAAATATAATTAAATGTATGAGTAAAAAAACAAAACTTTTTTTTTTCCCCCTTTGAAAACAATATATTTTATTTTTTGAAAGATTTATAATATTTTGGAACAGTAAATGTCAGGCTAAATAATTCAAATCAATCAATCGGCTGTCTTTATTAGTTTCAAAAACACTGATTTCTTTACCATTTAAAGCTGCATCTTTTTATCTTTTTTATGCTGAAGATAATATTGTCCTATAAAAAAAATGTAAATAAAAAATTTTACACATACCCTAGCTATGGTAAAGCAGAACCTTTTGGCTGTTTTAAAACCTTGTGGTATACCTTGAAAAGGATTATAGTCCCATGCCTAATTATAACAAAAATCAAGTTAAATGTACTTAAATAGACTTTTTCTTCCAATACAATAAGCATCTTTGTCTTTATACTTTCATGTCCGATATATAGAACCACAAAACATTGGAAAAAGTGTCAGTCAGATGTGTTGTTGCCTTATTTAAATAAGAGCACTTAGTGGTGATTGAAGAAATAATGCAGACCAATGAAAAGCAACCCTTGGTGCTTATCAGTTGAAGCAAACCCTCAGTACTGCTAACCGATGTGAAGGAATGTTGATGTGTAGTGAGGTTCAGCGGTTTGAGGTTCTGTAGAATTGGCAGTCGTGCTCTTGATCTCAGCATGACTCACATTCACACAGCATACTATTCATCATACTTTATCATCAATTTTTGGTTTACTCTCATGACTTAATCACAGTTTGCCATGCTACGTGTTTTCTTACTCCCTCTCTCTGTGTGTGAGGGTTAAATAGAAAAACGCAGAGGCAAGCTAGCGTCCTGATGAGTCACTCTTAACTGAGTGTTCAAGGTTATTTCATTCTCCTCAGGCTCATATGTGTGTGTGTATATATATATATATATATATATATATATAGATAGATAGATAGATAGATAGATAGATAGATAGATAGATAGATCCACGCAAACATGCTTTTTGCCTCTATCACACATTCTTTCACTTCATCAGCAGCTTCTCATACCAGCCGAAATTAAAATCCACTGACCAAACACACCCACCCACTATACTTTTTTTTTTTTCATACAGACTCTTAATGCTTTACTGATGGTGTCATTTCGTATGTGGATCTTTGATTTGGGAGTTACAGTCAATGTTTTGCAATTTCATTGGTCATTTAAGATGTTACATTTTTTAAAAAATCCTTTCTTTTTAGTTTTTTTAATTAAATAATGGGAAAACTTTTGAATCTCTTTTGTGGATTTTTAATGTCTTGTGGATGTCATTAGCTAACAGACTGATTTATGAAACATGCGTATCCTCTAACAAGCATAAATTGATTTGTTTGCATAGTTTTACAGTAAAATTAGTAATTTACCCAGAAATACAGCTCCGCAATCAGTTATTCACTCTGGTGTAGTTCCAATGCCATATCATCTTTCTTTTTGGACCACACAAATTTTTAAAAATGTTCTACTTTCACTCATTCTATAATACAAAAAGATCGATGGATATTTCTAAGATTCTCACAACATTAGTATTTCCAAAGAGTACTACACAGGGATATTATACTGAGAATACATTGGATGTTTTTTTATATCTTTCTAGGAAGAAGTTTTTATTTTTCATATTGAAGTAAAAAGTATTTAATTTTTTTTTATATTGTCTGTTGTTTATGTATAAATAATCATGCAATTATTATGCAATGTTTTATTATTATTATTATTATTATTATTATTATTATTATTATCTGTATTAACCATGACATGAAAGCTATGAGTTGCTGATGTGGCAATAAACAAACACAAATTTGTTGTATTATTTTTAGTGAGTCAGCATCCATTGTTGCTCTAATAGTCTCATGAGGATTTAATAGTAATGGTCAAGGTCAGAACTTTCATTAAATTTATACTCTGATTTTTGTCTTCTCTTTGAATACACACAAGCTTAGGTTGTTATACGGACTGAAAAGTAAAACAATCAAACACAATTATTTGGAAAAGAATGTAAGAAGTAAATTGTTGTTGATCGGTTTTCATTGGAGCCACAGACTCTTTACTGTACATGACAACATGTAGCTGTTTTGTTGTATTAGTGCAGGGGTGCCCAAACATTTTCTTTTGTTAAGGGTCAAAAACCAAACTTGATTGAGGCTAGTGGGCCAAAGGTACATATAGTTAATATAGTTGCCATGAGTAATTTTGCTAATTTATTTAATAATATTCAAAAACTAGAAAACACTGCTTTATATCAACTAATACTGTATTTTTGCATTTTATAATGAACACATTAAAGTAAAAACAAAAACAATCTATGTTTTCTGTAGTCCACAATCAAATGTTTTCTGTAGTCCTCTATCCATCGATAGAGATTTACATTTTTGAAAAATCAGATTCATTTACAACATTTGATTTGAAACATGCTTTTTTTGATAACTCTGCAATAAAACAACACAAAAAAAGGTTATAGAAAATTATAAATGACAATCTTTTTTTAAAGGCATTTAATGAGACATCGTTCTCATTCTTCTCAAACGGTATGGTGGGCCAAATCAAAGATTACAATGGGCATCTTTGGCCCACGGGCCCTACTTTGGGCATCTCTGTATTAGGGCAGCCTGGTTTTTAGAAGTTTTTGCATAAAAAAAAGTCTAGAATATTGCACCATGGAGAATCAGCACTTCAAAATGCTTTACACAGGCCTGTGGATCATGAACACATGCTCAATCTCTGAGTTTCTGCCATGTGAAAGAAAAATCAAACAGAGCAATATCAATCATCCACCCATTTTCTTGTAGTTCATGATCATGATTTCCTTCTCTGATTGCAGGAGTTCATGGAAGATCAGAAGTACAGAGACGAAGAGGACTTGCCTGAAAAGCTGGATTCTTTTAAAAGTAAGAGTTGCATTCTAAAGTATAGTTGAAATATTTAAAACTGACAAACAGTCCAGTGTTTATATGTGCACGTGTTTGTGGCGTGAATGCTAAGAGAGATTGTGTGGGTGTTTGCGCATATGTGATTGACTTGCTTTCTCCATATGGTCTTGCAGGAATGTGCTGGTCTTGCCCCCTTGTTGTTGTTTTAGCACTAAGGGTTTTGGACATGTGCTTCTTGTGGGAGAGGGAAATAACGGTTTGTGTGTGTGTGGGAAAGGACAACTGGAATGTAAACTAACAGTTTTCTGAGCTTTTTGGTTAAAGCTTAAGTGTGGTTTTGCTTTTCTCTCTGAAAATCTTTGTGTAGGCTTCAGCCACCTGAATTCTGAAGTCATCTTATCTTATCTAATGTAAAATGGTATATTTATATGCATTTACTTGTATTATGACCCTACAACTATTATTAAACCAAAGAAACCCTATTAATGTCTTAGGAATACGTTAAATTTGGAAGAGGAAAAATGGTTACTGACAATATTATTTGGTTAACAGGGCAAACTGCAGCGCATGAGCAAATATGGGTTTTATTGTGCAATAGAAAGGCAAAACTTAACAATTCACCTCACTCACGATTCATTATGGTGATGATTTTGCTAAATAATACATTTTACGTCATAACTAAATAGCTATTTTTAAAAATTCCACAAAAAGTAATAATACAAACTAAAGAAGACTCATTAATATAAACTGTGTCTGTGCTGGGATTTTACATATTTTAAAAGAAGAAATATCAGCATATTTCTTTTTTTCTGACATTTTTGTACGTTTACAATGTCCCCTGCTGAAAAAAGCTTTCAATGGGGACTGAGATGGGTGGTGTGGGGAGGAAAGCCTTTCCTAAATCAGAGAAAGTAGTGTGTACAGAGGAGGTCAACAGGCCCATAGGATTATAAATTACTTATTATATAATAGGATAGAGACTAGGCATAACTGGTTTCAAGGTTTACAGCGGTTTGGAAAAGTCAAGGTTTTAAAACTGCCAAAATTGTCTGTTATACTGTTCCTACAGTATATTAAAGTTTTTATGTGTTTTATAATATTTTATTGAGGGCAACCATATCTCCACATCAAACACTGTTAGTCAGGCCATAATTCAGCAAACATCTGAAAAAACAAATTGCTTTTAAACAAGTATGCTATAGAGCTGATTGCTGAGCAGTGCACAGGCTTTACTTTAAATAGACACAAAAGAAAGATATCTAAAGATGTAAAGAAATCTGTGTTTTTGAAACTAATGAAGACAGCAGAAGTCAATAATTCATTTGAATTATTTAGCCTGACATGTTTAATATGTCCAAAAATATATATATTTTTTAATAAAATAAAATGTATAGTATTTAATGGGGAAACAACTTGTTTTTTTAACCCTACATTTAAAAATAGAACATGTTTTAGGACAGTAATCACAATACCGTCATATCGGGAAACCGTGATATTTTTATCTAAGGTTATCATATCATCAGAATCTTACACTGGCCCATGCCTAATAGAGACAGTAGTTAAACATGATTATGAAGGTAAATAATTAATATTACTTTATAATTAATTAGTATTAATATCAGTGGGATACTTTCGAAGAGAATCTTTAACATTTTAAAAATGTAATAATAATAATAAGCAAATTATTAAAATATGCATAAACTAATAAAAAAATAAGAGAGAAGGTAAAAATAATCTAATACCTGGTTCTGTAACAGAACAACTTTCTCTTTCGGTCTGAAAAACATCTTCACATTTTTGCTATAAAAACACTGATGCACCGCATGATCATCATGGCACTCGTCGGAACAAGCGAAGCTGCAAATCATCTGGTTCGCGTGATTTGACTTATTAAAAGATTTTTTGCATATAGACATCTGTGACGGTAGTTTTTCAGTGTGCTGCATCATATACATTGTTCTAAACGTCTTTTTGCAGTATTTGCACAGACTTTGTGTTTTGTCTGGCACACTTCACCGCTATGATTTTACTCTGCCACCACACCTCTTGCTTGCCGCTGATGTGCAGTTAAAGCAAGATTGTGCCTGTAAACAGCATTTTCAACATTTCTACTAATTTGAATCGTCACATATTTTATTCTACTTTCCACCAGGTCACAGTGAATCGCTACATCCCTATTTGTAGTAAAAATAGATTTTTGTACTGTATTTATATAGACAAAGTTTTTAATTTCACTTGTTATGAGACAAAACACCTGCTTCTCATTATTGGAGGAAAGATTTAATATCAGTGTATATTTATCTGAAGTATCACAGATTTCTCCTCGCATTCAACCACCTGTCCTATCCAAATATCCGCTTTTCACAGTCTTACCAAGTCTAGTCTGAAATGCAACAGATTACTGGCTTAAGACCCAAGTGCCTCCTATAACTCTGAATTATTTAATAGCAACTGTCCTCTGTGTATACATTTGGGTTTGTGGGTCATTACTGAGACTGAGTGATCTGGTTAAAGGGGTTAAGTGGCTCTGAATGTTACAATGATTTCTTGTTAAACAGAGTGAGAGAATGGAAGGAAGGAAGTAAAGGACAAGTCAGAACAAGGGACAAGTGGAGCATGGAACCTTCAAGATTGTTCTTGACACTGTTGAAATAAAGGGACGCCCTCACAAGTTGCATACAGTCTAAGCACTTGCTGCAGTGTTCAACCCACTAATGTCAGTAAACGTGTATGCGACTGCTCTGAAACCAGAAATGAAATGAGAGAGTAGTGAGTAAATGAATGCAGTTGGGAATAAGAGGGTACACCATCCAAAAACAGAAAATTGTTTAGAGATACAGTGACTCAGCCAGTGAAAATTGTGAGTTACGTTATGGCATCACTGCATTTTTATCTCTCGATGGCTCTGATTCACATGGACTCATTTAGCTTGGGGTGAACAGGCTGCGTTTGTGTTCTTAGGGGTCCATTGTAACCCTCTCCTTTCCATCAGCCTCCTCTCACGGTGACTCTGTTACACTTTCAATGCATCCTCTCCAACAGAAGCCTCATTGTGAGATTAGAAACAACACAGAATGGAGAGGGAGGAAATTCTCTGAATGCGGAATAATCCAGTAAAATCAAATAGGATCAGGATTCAAATCTGGCTCTAGCTGTCCTCATTTACAGATATAGCAAGCCATCTTTAAGAAACAAGCCTCATTTTTTTTTTTTGTTTAAGAAAAAAAAAAGTGTTGAGAGATGAAGGGTTTTCCAGATGTCCTCTGTTTTTTTTCTCTCTCTAAATCGCAGCTGTCACATGCCTGACCTCTACATACTGCCACTGTCAGATGGTGCTGGTAGTTTGGTGTTTGTGTGTGATATTGGTTTGGTAAATTTCAATTGTGCTTGTTGGATTATTAAAATGTTGCTTTTTTTTTTTACTTTAATCCACAGATAAATATGCAGAGTTTGACCTGAACGATCAAGGGGAAATCGGTAAGTGCATGTGTAGTTAAGACTGTGAGTGTTAATAGGGAAGTGCTCTTTTGTCATGCTCGCTGTGTAGGTGATACCATGCTTGACAGATGGGAAACATGAGAACTTACCTGTAACCAACTTAAGGGTCACTGTCATGTGCTGTAGAGGGAGTAGGAGAGGCTCATGGCAGATGGGGATATATAAAAAGAATGATAATGACAATATTTTGATCATATTAAATATATGACAGTTCCATATTAAGCTTTTATTTTAAATTTCTGGTTAAAGGTAACCTATAAAGAAAATCTGGGTATACCTAGGCATAGTCGAATTATAAGAGTTCTGTACATAGAAATGGCCAAACTGTGACGCTCGGACACCATTGTTTCCTCATTCTCATGTAAATTCTACAAATATAAAACCCTGGGGAAAACAGGTTTATCAGAGAATCATACAGACTGTTGCATTGCTTGCGGGTCTATTCAATAGCATGCCCTCAACATTTCCATGTATATTAGGTCATATTCCATGTCGTCAAGATCTACTGAGCAGCTGTGTCATCAGAAGATCAGCAGACAAAACACAGACTGTGATCTATTACACATTGGATCATTAATATTCACGCCCCAGGTTGTGTTTTGAATAACCACAAAGTTTCCGGCTGAGATTCAAGGGATGATAATTTTCCTCCTTTTTTGTTTGTTGATATTAAACTTATTTTTGTACGTGGGGCTTTTGTCAGATTGTTTTCTATGCATTGCTAAGCAATGACTTAATCCATCTGTTCACATGCACATCATAATGTAAAATGTGGGATAAACAGATTATACATTTATTCAGCTATACCTCGAAGAGGCATAAGGCATGTTTAATTGTATCTTAAGCTATTGTGTTTGTAAAATTTGCTGTTTATGTTTCAACAAAAGCCTGTGTATCGAAGAACAATTTAACTTATTGAATCAATGCCGTATATGGCACCTTTAATCGAAAAAAAAAAAACTAAATTAAAATTCATCAACTTTGAGGCCACAAACGTGGCAAATTTCACAATATACACAATTTATTAAATTAACAAAAGATACATTAAAACAGACCTTCTGCATCTTCAGTATGGCATTGAATAAAAGTATAATCCGTGTATGCTGCATTTTGTTTTGTTTTTTACCTGCGGCCTGCTTCACAGGACTGCTTTTAAACCTGCCCTGTTTCCAAAATAAGAGTCCCATATACATGACGTATACTTCAACTTTAATTAAAAATAAGGAAAAATAGTCAATTGTTGTGATCTTACTGGAAAACGCTGTGGTCAGTCAAACACTGCCTAGGGTATGCATCTTAATGATCCTATGTGGACTGTCAGAGTCAGTGTTTTGTTTAGATTGTCCTGTTTTTCACTGGAATTTTACACTTGTGTGTTTTGCATGTGCACAAGGAAACCATGGTGTTTGAGGCTTACAGTATATCATTTCCATGCACTGAAATCCTATTATTTGGCCATGCCTAGGTATATCCTTACAGATGTAATTACATTTTTATTTTTTTTATTTTTAATAGTAGAACTGTTTGTGTTCGCTTAGACATTCCTCCATTGTAGAAAAATACAGATGCTGATCAGTGATGTAGTTGCAATTTCATTTTTTTCATTTGGTCTCAAACACATGGCTAATGCCATGATTGCAAATAGCTTGTCAAGATTAATATTTCATCCAGTCAGAAAATTAACACAGACAGGTAATCCATCCCCCTTAACAGAACTTAACAAAAGCATTGTACTCCCATAGCTTTTGCTTTCCTAATCTTTTTTTTTTTAAGTAAATTTTTATATATTTAGCCTACATACACAAAATGATATTATCAAGACTAACTTTTAAATAAAAACCTGCCAAAGCTTGAAACACTTATATATTATTATTGTTGTTGTTGTTGTTTTTTTTTTTCGTCTGGCAACAACACTGTTCTTATTATAAAAAGTACTGTTTGTCTATGGAAGAACTATATATTTTTTTATTATATTTTGATTTTCAGTGTGGTTTTATACGTTTTGTGTTTTTTTTTTTTTATTTTTTTTTTTATGAATTTATAACTAATTTCTATGCAAATGACAGGCTTGCCCACATCAGATGTTGGAAGAAAGCAGTATGAGCTCTCATTCCTATTAGTAAATGCAAACATCTGATGTGTGTGCACTTTAGAGAATAATTCATGGATATTGTAAAAATGAGTGGTTTGTGATAGAATGTGAGAGATGCTTACTGTGGACACCAAAATGAGTATACAAGGAGGATAAAGTAATTCTTTGAAATCTTTCCACGAATGCAAATAATGTGGTTTACTGAACAGTGACCGTTCTGTGTAGCTCTACTCTCTCTGGTGTCAAATTTGGTGTTGTCGTTTCAGCCCTGCAGGGTGTTAATATTCACACTACTTGAGGATATTATCATGATATGTGGTGTGATATTATTTTGATGTTTGTAGCATTTACTAAAGTATAAATACATTTCTGCGTATTATGGGTGGACTAAATTATAGAATTAGTCCCGCTTGTTTAAAAAGACCTGAATCTGAAAGAATTTTTTTATATATAATTTTTTTAAACATGCACACAATTTATTTGTTTTTTTTACTGGTTGGATTTTTACGAGACTCTTAACTATTTATGATTTGGAAAAATAAATATTACTTTGTAATCGGTGTCAATGAAGTTACGATATATGGTCTTTCACCTGATAAATCCAGAGGTGGGACCAAGTCATTGTTTGGCAAGTCACAAGTAAGTCTCAATTCATTGCCCTCAAGTCCCGAGTCAAGACAGGCAAGTCCCGAGTCAAGTCCCGAGTCAAAGGCAACAAGTCTCAAGTCAAGTCCAAAGTCCTGCAGTTTGATTTTCGAGTCTTTTCGAGTCTTTTTAACAGAAAAATAAAATATATACAGATTAGGTATGGTTGTAAGATCTGTATTAATTAAACAAACCTTTTTTATGAAAGAACATTGCTCAGATATATAAAAATACAAATGCAATTTTCTGAAAAAGTACTGAACAGTGCTGCATCTCGTCTCCACAGCATAATGCACAAGAACGAGTTCCACCAAAAAAAAGAGTCCATTTTGCCTCACATCACACAGAAATTGCAGGTCCCTGCTGTCTAATTCATTAAGTTTAGTTGTGCTATGTTATGTCTTCGGTGATCAACTTGTGATTAACCAAAATTACATAACCTCAATGTGGTAGCAGTAGACCAACTCCTGTATATGCTGCAAAGTTAAATTGAGTGAAATTGGAATTTTGTCAATTGAATCTCGTGTGTGCTGAAGAGATGGAGTTGCAAATCCGTCTGGCAGCAATGTAAAATGGTAGCACATATTGTTAATGAAGTAGGCTACTTCATACAAACAGTAACGTTGTTTTCTTCACATAACGTTGAAGAGCTTTGCTCTCTACCTTGTGTGATGCTCGTGCACGGATTTCCTCTGTTTGTGGACAAAACTGATTGCGACTTCTCAAATATACGCTGCTCACGCGCAAATTTTCTCTCGCTCTCAAATATGCACTGCTCACACACAAATTTTCTTGAGCGCTCTCAGAGATTATATGCAGACTCACAATTTGTGTCGTGTTCCCTCTTCCTTTCATGCTTTTTGATATGATTCATATTGCTGCACTGTTTAATAACAATACCCAAAATACTAAAATAGACTTACATATTAAATGTTTAATCTAATAAACCATAACATTTTTGGTTGTTTTATATGATGAGATATTTTCAGTTTCAAACGCTTAAAGACAGAGAATAGACCAGTGGTGCCCCCCTGAAAATTTGCTTAGGGGTGGCCAGAAGAGGCCAGCTACGTCAGTGGCACCAATCAATCCACAATAATTTAGTGGCTGCTATTTATTTATTGAAATATTGCATTGTATTGCATTTATGTAAGTAGATTTAAATAAATAATGTCAACAGCAAAATCATATCGGGGTGGCTAGAGTTTACACAGGGGAAACACCCCTTGTAAAGGGGTTTACACCACTATAAGGCACCCCTGGAAAAGATGTTGGTTGTAAAGAATACATTTCATTTTAAAAGCATTTAAACAAAAACTAATGCAAGCGGAAATGTAACTGTGATAAAATAAGGAAACACTTATTTTAAGGTATTAAGGTATTATAGCCTACTGTATTATTCACTCTTCAAATAAATCTCACTATCAATCTCATTTTATCATGGCAGCTAAAATAAAGTAAACTAGTGTCTGCTGGCTTCCACTTTGCTGATGAGATTGTGGAGGACATTTTCCATGTCATCCTCTTCATTTTGAGGAAAGCTGTGCCACAGGGCCCCTGAACACGTATATTGGCATGTACTGTGTTTTGAACAGTAGCCTACTACAGTAAAGAACTTCAATTGATCAGTTGTGGTAATACTATAGTTGCTATGGTAACACAAGTGTAATATAAACAAATTACCCAGTGCTGTATTATTTTACAATATAGGGTATTTTATACTACAAATCACTACACTTTACTGTAGTAAAACTACACTTTGTATTTTATCTGTTCACTATTGTTAATACTACTATAATAAGTATAATACAAGTATACAACAAGTATAATACTCAAAAACACTAGAATTTATTAAAGAATTTACCTTAACCTTTTAGTTTTTTGTGTATTGTTAATAAATAGTAAAGCAAGAATGAAACCATATCAACATTCTTGGTATAACCCTTCGCTAAGCCTCGCCCTCCTTAGTTACTGTTGCTACGCCTGTCAAGCTTTCATGCCTGGCACATCTATTACAGTGTGTATGCGCTGGTGTCAGACATTCCCAAGGATTTAATTAGTCATTTTTGACAAACAGGTGAGATATCTGAGAAAGCCAGACAAAAGAAGACTGCAGTATACATTACAGGGGTATATTCACAACATAATAGCAACTGATTAGAGAATAATATTATCAAAATTGAAGCAAGGTTAGCCTAGCAACCTCATACGCTGAACATTCAACAGCATAGTTCATGCACAGCAGGAGAGGTGAAATTATAAAATAATCTAATAACCTAAGAAACTGATGGATTTGTGCCGAATATTAGCATCATTGACCCATAACAGTGTACAGTACCTATTACTGTCAGCATGTTTGTGTGCTCTTTATCCAGTTTTTATTCAAATTTGCAGTTAAGTGGAAGAAAAAAAATTGAAATGCAAATCAAAGTATAAATAACAGAAGTGAACAAATAGATTTTTCCTACCAGCAAATATTAGTGTATGTATTTATATGCGTTACAATGGCGAGGGTTTAAACTAAGCAGTGCTCATAATATCGAGTGGAAAAAAAGAAAAAGACCGCTGGTAAACATAACCTGCTTTTTTTTTTAATTTTTATAAGAACACAGTTTAGATCTGTTTAGGATAAGAGGAGTGTGAGTTATTGCCACCTATCACTGAATGTGAATATCGAAAACAAAATCAACTTAGCTGTTAACTCCTTTACCGCCCCTCACACAGCTTGATCCACGCTGGCATTTCTCCTCTTGGGCTTTAGGTTTTGAAAAGGGAAAAATCCCACCACCCAGTCCAAACTTTTAGGATAGCGGGTGTCAGATTTGCACAATCCAATAATTGCGCAACGATTTGGCTTGTTTCCCTCGCTCGAAAGCTTGACAGAGCCCCTGTCCGTAGCCACGATCGGTAAGCCGCGATTGGTGGGTGGCGGTTTTTGGGCGTGGCTTAGCGAAGGGTCAGTTTAAAAGGAGGATCCCGTGAGAGCAAAAGCACTAAAGGTATGAGACGCCATAGTAAACAAAAGTCAAGCGAACGCAAAGAGACTGAATGCACGAGCGAGAGAGAGAGAGAGAGGTGTATGTTGTATGTGAGAGAGAGAGAGAGAGACAGAGTATTGGCACGCGAGTATTGGCTCGATCTCGAATTCAAATTCTCTCTGCGTTCGCTTGACTTTTGTCCACTCCGGCGCCTCATAGTAGTCACGTTGGATACTGACGAATCAAAACAATCTACCGTGCTTTGATTGGATGTCATGCCGAAAGCGCGCATGCTGTCACACACACACGCGCGCGCATGCTGTCTCACACACACACACACACACACACACATAAACGGGGAGAGAGAGAGAGCGGTCCATGTCAACATACTTTTTTTATCTTTGGGCTTTTCATGGGAAGCAGCAAGTCTTTACAAGTCAATAGGGGCAAGTCCTAGTCAAAGTCCGAGTCATTTATGTTCAAGTCCAAGTCGAGTTGCAAGTCTTTTTATATTTTGTCAAGTCGAGTCTAAAGTCATCAAATTCATGACTCGAGTCTGACTCGAGTCCAAGTCACATGACTCGAGTGCACACCTCTGGGTTAGGTTACCTGTGTAGATTTATCTAGCTCTTTAAAATGCAAAAACTGTAAATACACATACTGTGCAAAAGGGTTGATGTCAAGTAATTAAAAATTGTGGACCAGTAAAGTGACTTGCTGGACAACTAGTCAGCCATCTCATCTTTGAGATCCATAATCAAGTTGTTTGTGTAATTGTGATGGTTTTCTTTGCAGACATGATGGGCTTGAAGCGAATGATGGAGAAGTTGGGTGTGCCAAAAACTCATCTGCAGATGAAGAAAATGATCTCTGAGGTGACAGGAGGCTGCAGTGACACCATCAACTACAGGGATTTTGTGAAAATGATGCTCGGCAAGCGATCAGCTGTTCTCAAACTGTAAGTGTGCGTGCGTGCGCATGTTTATCTGATTCTTCATGCATGTCCCTCCCATATTGTTTCTGATATCATCAAATGCCAATATGCAGAATTGTCAGGCTGTTTCCTGCTGGCGTGTGCTTTGAGTCCAGCTATTTTTAGATGTCTCTTCGTGTGCGTTTAATCTTGTCAGCGCATCCAGCGCAGGATCAGCATATCTGTGCCATTATCTCTCAGTAGGATCAGCTGTGGCACGTGATGATGATGATGATGATGATGTCATCATCATGAGACACTAGTGGTTTGATCAATACCAGACATTTGGCTTTGGCACATTTAAATACCAGTATAAATACAAAATCAATGAATAAGCTCTCTCCTGTGACTGATAAAATGAAGCTGGCACTATCAGCTAATTGATATTGTTTATTAAATGATGGCATTTAACTTCTGCTTGGCGCCTTTAAACTTAAAAAAAAATACTATATACATGGTTTTTCTAATGTTATTATTTTCTCTATGCATGTTATATGGCCAAATCACACTATGCTATCCGAACCGTGCACAGGCCCGTTTCCCAGATCTTTTCAGAAGTGTGAGTGTACTGAATCGGTCTCAGGCACGGTTAACTTGGCCGGCCCTGGCCCGGTTGGAAGAGGTGTGCCTGAGCGCGGTTCACTTGGGCTTTGGTGCGGTATGCTTGTGTATGAGTGCAAAACGCGCCAAAGCCCGAAACTGAAAGCGAGACGTGACTTTTAAGGGACTGTTTCGTTTGGATTTATTAATCATTTTTACTGTTCAATGAACGCAAACTGCCGTAGTTTATTAAAGACGCAAACCCCTCACTGCATGACAGCTTTGCACCTTCAGCAAATCTTATTCCTGCAGCACGATGATTTTATGGTTGTTTGAGCGTCAACAGTGGCTGATCTGTTCTGCGAAATATTTGACTGCGTGTCACTGCATATCAAACGACTTAAACAATATAACTAAAGCAATCTCCACTATGCTGAGCGAGAGCGCTTACTGAACAGTGTATCATCGATGACGTAATCATGCCCAGGCCCAAATGTAATGTGAGTGCGGGACGTCGGGTAAGACGGGAGGGCCAGGTTTAAGGCAACTGTACATGTGCGAGTATACCCATAGACACTCACAACTTATCGTATAGGTTTAGGGATATAGCTATGGCCTAATTATGGCTGCCACTGACACAAGTGTTAAAGGGGTGATAGAGAGTGTATTTTTAAGGCTTGGTTGTTTATGGGGTGCAAAGCAATGTGTGCTCATGCTTCATTTGTTAAAAATCACATGTATTTTTTCATATATCTTTAATTATGTACTGCTACTCGGCTAACATGAAAAGGACTATCATATTTCCTAGTTTCTCCAAAGGCTCGCTCTCAAGAGACTCTGATGGGTCAGCTAACATAATGTGATATGATTCGCAGATCGCCTCCATGTCACCAGGAGCATGTCAGTCAGTGTTAACTGTTAACAGCATTAGTTTGAGCCTAAATCAGACAGAAAATGAAGAGGACACAGCTGAACCTCATGCCTGCTCTCTAAAATAAAATCTGACAATTGTCTTTCATATATATTCGGATTATAAGCATGTGTAAGTAATCTGAAACGTTCACATATCTTTTGCAAGTTCTTTATTTAAAATGTATAATGCAGGGAAAGCGGCTGCATAGAGAGACACTGCAGCGCTGCTGAAGATTGTGGGTGTTGCAGCAGTTTGATGGATAAATGGGAATTTATAGCTAAATTATTAACTGTGGCAAACAGTATTTCTTGTTGTTTACATTCTGTGTAAGTGTTACAACGTTTCATTAATGCTAAAAACTGTGCATGTAATTTTTTTTAATTTTGACTAATACAAATATAGTTTGTGGCTCACAATCCACAGCTTCTGCTATTATTGTTGGAGCTGCTCCTTCTTTGAGTAGTTTGATCCAGCACTGAACTGGAACTAACTGAACTAACTCTGTAAAAGCCAATGTCCCCCTTTGCATTGAACTTTGAGCATAATATACTGTATTCAGAGATGTTGTTTATGTTCACACATCTACATTACACATGAAGTAAAGTTAAAAATATGATATTGTAGTTGACCACACCTTTAATGTGGTCCAAGTTGTCATGGGTAAACCCCTCCCTAGTCTCAATGCTGCCCATTTAATCAAACCCTTCAACTTTTTTTTTTTCCTTTTACTTTTTTCCCTTTGTCAAAAACATGATTGTGTTAAATGTCTGTGACCAAACTAGTGCCAAGTTTCATGATTCATCGAAACCACTTTAAGCCATTTTTATCTCGAAGCTTGACTGGACACGCAGACAGGTGTTGTGAAGTCTTGCACACAAAATTCTGCTGTTCCAAAATTTACCTCTTACAAAATCACTGTAAACTTTGTAGTTGAACAAATTTTGAAGTTGTCATTTTAGATATTGACTCATTCTGTAATGGCACTGAAACAGAAAATGACTTTTACATTTGTAAATTGTATGCTTTGCTAAATATAAGCACTGTGTCTAAATGTGCAGTTCTTGGCTGTCATAATGCAGATGGGGATTGATTAATTTTGGGCTGTGCTGGATGGATTTAATAACTGGAGCAGAATCATGGCACAAATACATATAAATATATTTAGAAATGTATAAATTTTAAACAATGTGCGCACATCTTTTTTTTTTTTTTTTTTTTTTTTTTGAAATTCTACAAGTTGTGAATAGGTGATTTGTGACTAGCAGCTAGTTGACTCTTATGAGCGATTTGTTAAGATTTACCTGAAACCTAGTCACATGCTCTGAAGAGATCAGTCAGCAGTTCTTTACCATCATCCACCATTTTCTCTATCTCATATCTTTAAAACAGCAAGGTTTTGTCTGATAACAGCCTTTTCAATTCCACAAGCTTTTCCGAAGTCTTTTTACTTTCCTCTTCCAGTGTGTCTCTCTCTACTTGATTTGCTCTGTGGGGGGCTCGTATTGCTTGTATCCAGTGCTGGACTCTGAGTGGACATCATAATGGCTTTAGCCCTGTGTGTGTGTGTGGTGTTCTTAAATAGCTGTAGCTGGACATATAAAGGCTTATTTTCTGAAGCTCAGGACTCTTGTTTATGGGTGACCTTTGTAATATACACTGTACGACTGTTTAAAAAAAAACAAAAAAAGAAAGAAAAAGAAAAACAACTGTGACTAATACAGCTTGTTTCTTGTTTGGCAACAGTTCCTTTTTCGATTAGAGGTGCGAAGTTTTACTTGCCATACAATGAAATGACTTATTCTGAGGGCACCAATTTCAATTTATAACCATTCTCAGCACATCACTGTGCTGTTTTACTTCAATGATTTTATTATTAATAATAGTTGCAATAATTATTTGTCATATAAGCTTTAAAATAATTCAATTTTTAGACTTATTCAAGACATATTCTGAGAATAATTCTGTGCAGAATTGAGTTTATACACACACACACACACACACACACACACACTTTCTTATACATGTTTTTGCTGAAAAACATTAAATTCATTTGGTTTACTTCCAAAGGGCATAAAATGTTGCAATTATTAACCATTTCCTTTGAACAGGGGTCTCAAACTTAAGTTGACAGGGGGCCATTTCAGTGACTGACAATTCATAGGAGGGTCATTTTTAACTTTCAATTACAAGAAAAAATGGAAACCTGACATAATTAATGCATCTTAGCACAACAGACATGTTTATATTTCAAGCTTTACCCGTCACCAGTGATGATGCAAATTAGCATGTTTATCGTGTCACACATTTGCTGTTGAAATGTATCTGTGGTTGTTGTGTGTATGGCCGAGCATTAGACAAACTCCGAGTATATGCAGTCAGAACTCTAGCTTTTTGTTTCTTGTTGTACATATTAAAGAGGATACTACAAATAATAGGCATGATAATTATTATTCTGTCCCAACCAAATGTATTGTCCCAATAGCATAAGAACAGCAGAAAGCCATTTGGGTAACTTACTGTAAGTGATTTTACTGGCAAGTGTTCTTCTCAATACCTTTCTTTTGTAAACAAAGAGGGGGAAAAGTATGTACACATTCACATTTGCTTTACTAAATTCAATTTAACTAGCAGTGGAATTTTACTAATGTACATAGTTTTTATGCAAATCTTAATAAACGTATGAGTAAAATCTACAAAATGAGACCATTTTAATTGAACAGTAGCAAAATTATCATGTTACACCACCAGCATAACATGTAAGCCGTAAAGCTTATGCGTTTGTACAACAAATCAAGTGGTACAAAGCTGATAATAATAAAATGTAAAAAAAAAGTGATCAAAGGTTTAGTAAAAAATAGAGCGCTTATGGACCTATTTTAATGTTTCAAATCAGCCACAGAATTAAAATGCATGTGTGTTACTCTCGACCACACACTAAGAGAAATTGAAAGTAAAACTAATCTGAATGCATTACTTTAAATGTCGACTAGGTGGCGGGTCAAAACTACAAGTGGCTAAACGTGACTGCACAATAATGGTAGAGGTTTTAAAAATATGTTTTGGCGGGCCAAAACTTGTTATACTTTTGACATCAGTTGTGGGCTGGAGGAAAGAAGAGGGTGGGCCGCAAATGTTAAAGCAGTTTGAGACCCCTGCCTTAGACGTAAAGCACTTTCATTTGATGTTTCAGTGTTAGACCATTGTATATAAGGATACTTTCTTTACAATAAGCCATAGAGAAAGTGTAGTATCAGCCTATACTGACACCTTTGTAGCGAAATATCGTAGACCCATTTGACGTTTGAAATGAAATGACCTTTAAATACTTTCATACTAACAACTGATTTTCTTTCTCTTGTACAGGGTTATGATGTTTGAAGACAAAGCTAATGGGTCCAGCTGTAAGCCTGATGGGCCTCCACCCAAACGTGACATCACCAGCCTACCATAGACCAGTGGAGATGAATATGGTCGACGTCCCTACATTCGCAAATCCCGTCCATTTAACATTAGGGACTAGGTTTCTATAGCCTTACCTAGAAACTTTTTTTGCCAAGATCCAGGGAAAATCTTAGTTCATAGATGGTCAAACTGAAGAAAAAAAAAAAAGTGAAAGATGTTTATATATTTGCTGTGAAAAAGTCGAAGCGCAGAGTAGCTTTTTATAAGTAAACAAATGTATATATTTATATGAGAAGTGTTTTTGAATAGTGTTTGCAAGCACAAATCTTGTGAGTGAAGTACTAGTGAAGTTTAGTGTACTAAGTTTAAGGTTTATGGGATGACAATTAGCTTGCAAGAGATTTTGCGAATTAAGTTTGCGAAGTAAGATTTTTCATCTTTCCCCAAAGTGTGTGCTTAATTCATTCCAGTACATTAGTGTTTTCCGTATTCGCTTAAAGCGTGTTGCTAATTCTGCTCACTGTGTCTCGTAGTGTGACGTCGTAGATGTACATGAGGCTCTTTTAAAAAATTCAGTCAGTGCTCTGCTTTTCATTTAGGCTGTTCTGCTTCTGAATCCAGGATTTCTTTTGTATCGGTTCTGTACCGGAAGGTTCAAACCGAGAACGCTGGGATTTGAGTGAGTGAAGACAAAAAGGGAGAAGCGTTTGTTCCTCAAACTTTGTTCATTCTGTCTGTACCTCTTTCACTCACTCTTCACTCTTATTTTCTTGTTGATCTGTTTGTGTGCTCAAATGATTATAAGCTGTAACATTACTGTACTGTATAAGCACATTAACAGTTAAGTACATGCGTACTGTGCAGATACGCTTTGAACCACACTTTTAGGACTTGCTTTTATAAATTTACCTGCTTAAATTAGGGAGGATGTCGCTGGTCTCAGCTTTTAGTTCTGCGGGAGGGCAGGTTTTAGTCGCTAGAGGCGATTCGTTTGAAGCCACTCTTTTCAAGTGCCTCACTCAGTTTAATGTAGCCCAGGTTTTGACTGAAGATTGAGTGAAGCATCTTTGAAATGGATTTTATGTTTGTGTGTGCGCGCGAATGTGTGCTAGAAGTTTTTATTCTGTCGAGTTGTCTTTTGAGACATTCCAAGAATGTCGTCATGTGGTGGAGTCCTTGGAAATGTTGTCATGTTTTAATCCAAGCGAACTTCAATGTTCAGCTCTGATGCAAATATTCCAGTAGTGCTTTTGTCCTCTGTTTTTTACTTTTTTTTCCCACTGGCCTCATCAGCTTTTCTTTCAATAACATGTGCTTTGTAAGGAAAACAATGTGATCTCATTTTTTATATACAGAAATAAGGACATGAGTCAAAAGTAGCAGGTGTGGCTTTCACTTCCATTTCATACTTTATCTGTAATGAAATTGACTTGTTTACTTTACATATTCTGTTTTATGAGTTTTATTTCTGTGCCTCTTTTCAAGTTTATCTCTTTAATGTTTTTTTTTTCTTAAATCATGTACATGTGAGTTAATGGCTGCACTGTATTGCTGTTTATTAGACTTGCCCTTTTAAAGGGTTATTAAACATCATGAATAATTTTCAGCTTATTAGTTAGCAGAGGCATTTGTATTTTTTTTCTGGAAACACCAAAGGAAGTAAATACCCTGCTGTTACACCTGAGCTATTAGTGGTGCTCCTTTCTGTGTGTGTGTGTGTGTGTGTGTGTGTGTGTGTGTGTGTGTGTGTGTGTGTGTGTGTGTGTGTGTGTGTGTGTGTGTGTGTGTGCATACAATTTTTTCACAGTGTAAAAATGAACATTCAGCCACCATGTTTATAAATCATTAAATTATTTTTTAAATGTTCCAAATTTGATGAATTTGTTCCAAATGATATTTAAATAGTGAGTGAAATACAAACTTCATATCTGTGTGACAGTTTTCCTATATTGTGCAAAAGATGACAGTCTTATTTCGAGAAATTCAGAAATGTCCTCTTTTTGAGGTTGGCTCTTTCATAAGGTTGGAGTCTGTGTTTGCTGCCATTCAAATGTGTGGGTCAAGAACTTTCTCAAGTTTAAGAAATGAATGATCTTCTTCAGGAGGATGAAATGCGTATCTCAATGTTCAGCAACCATATTAGTGACACGAGCAGATGAAAAACCACAAACTCAGTCACATAAATAACTCGTGTCTTAACCTGTAGCCTGTTAAATTTATATGTGTGATCATTTCCAGCATATGAAACCAGTAAAAATATGCTGTAACTGGTATTGTCATAGTAACATCGAGTAGAAAAAAATATCATAATATATTCCTGTTTATGTAGGTTAGGGAGGAAGATTTAAGTTTAGAATGGGGAAAAAACATGACATTTCAGAACTAAAAGAAAGGAACAATGTTGCTCTGAAAATGATTTATTAAATCACTTCACTATTTGTTAACACATTTTGAAAACAGAAGTTATTTGGAGGTAATTTCCAGAATAATGACAATGAAGAGGGCCCTTTGAACACTTCCTCGTAAGACTTCTGCATTACAAAGCCACATAAAAGTGGCCTTGTTCTCATCCACTATTCACTTCTTTATTCAGCTTACCAGTACATGTGAAACAATTTAAAGATGAAGTTATTTTACCACCTCCTGCTTCTCCTCCATGCCGATAAACAGAAGGTCTACAACAATTTCTGTCAAATTTCTTTCCCAGTTTGCTTCAGAGGAAATAGTCACACGAGTTATAGACTTGCTACACCTTTCTTTTGTACCTTAACCTTAAATCTGCCTCAACAAATATATGAAATCTTTTAAGCTGATCAGTTACGAGCGATTTTTATGTGACGTTACTCATTTTACTATAATCGTGTTGTCCTGTCATTTGATAGGCTATCTTTTGTTTGTATTACGTGATTATGAACTTTGTTTCCCCATGCTGGGATGAAATGGTGTAACCCAGGGGTGTCAAACTCAGTTCTTGGAGAGCCGCAGCCCTGCAGTTTAGTTTGAACCTATAGTTTCTACTCTTCAACACACCTGTAGGTTTCAAACAAGCCTGAAGGACGCAATTAGTTTGATCAGGGTGTTTATTGGAGGGCAGCAGCTCAGCTTCCAACCCAAAATAACTGAGTTTGACACCTGTGGTATAGCTCATTTAATAAAACAAATATACTAGTACCTATTTTTGCTATATTTATACTTTTCAGAAATTGGTTACTTTTCCATGAAGTATAGGCTATACAGTATATCACCAATTAGTCAGTCAGTCAGTCAGTATTCATTTCCCAAAGACATTTTTTTCCAGCATACAAACATAATTCACAAAAACACTCTACAATACAAATCTACCCTAAATTTAAAACCTTTACAGCTGAGAGGATAAATGCAAGTTTGAACTGATTTGTTTAACTAATAGGAGTTCTGTATCGAATACTAGAATGGTGAAGATAAAACTAGGCCAAATAGGATGGGAATCATCTGACAAAATACTCAGAACTCAACTTGAACTATAGTCATCTGTTTTCTTGTTATTATTTCCTCCTGGGTTCACAATTTTCTCAAAACAACTCTTATTAATTAAATAGTACTTATGTATTAGATAATAATTCATTGTATTGCTGCAAATAATAGAATTTCATATTTCAGAAAATCATACATAACTATCATTGATGTCAACTATTCCGTTTTTACTATGCATTTAGTTTGTGTCTTGTACATATTTTTAAATGTTAGTGATTCTTCATTGGGCACAAGTAGCCTGTTATAAATGTATATACATAGGTTTCTAATTCATATTCATAGACACTTGTACCTATTAAATAGCCAATGATATACATAGAAGGACAGATAACAAGAAAATATACACCCAGGACGTTTCTTTATAGATTAAATGTTATGGTTCTACTTTTTCAGTGATTGTCTGTTTGTCATTTAAGAAGTTGCTTATGTTTGTTTATTTATTATTATTATTATTTGCTTTATCTTTTTAATATCTACCAATTTTGTAGTGACAAAATTAATGAATTTGTTTGTTTGTTTGTTTGTTTGTTTGTTTGTTTATTCAAGCTGGCTGAATGTAGAAAGCAGGTATTTAACCAAAATAAATACAATTTCTTTGACTTCTGCATTAATTTGATTTCTCATCGATACTAAACCTTTCTATAATTAAATATAATTTCTATATCATTCTGCTGTAATCACTTGTGAAAACTACTAGCCATAAATATTTTACTAATGCTGCTATATTTGATATTTCATTAAAAGCAGTTTCAACAATTCGGGAAAAAAGCATCTAATTGCATTTTATCGTTTATTTGTGTGTTTGTTTGTTAAAAACTGAATTAATGAAGATAACGCTGTAAAAATACTGAATGTCAAACCATAATTATTATTATCTGTGGTTTATAGCTATCACTAAACAAACATTAAAACGTATGTAGCTTATTTTGTAATAAAACGAAAGAAAATCTATTTGAAACGCATGTAAACAACAATAAAAATATATAATGCTATTTCACAAGTACTTGCTCTGCACGGACTGTTATGCTCGCCAACGCTGCTGCCATCTGGTGTTTGATTTGAGACCCTGCTTGTTTTCAAGCCCCGGAACGTCTTACAGTTCCGTCATTTCTTTGCGAACGGACTTATTTACAGATGCACCGAACAGTGTGCAGTCGATAAGTGTCACCGACTGAACGAAGGCGTTTTATAACCACAAGTCATCCGTTTTCTACATGCTGTTTGTGGAAAATGTCAATAAATTAGTTTATTTTTGAGACAGCGCTTCAACCGTCATGTTTTATAGCAAACATAGCAAATTCTCAACGTGACTTTGAAGCACATCAGTCAGTCATGTGTCATAGAGTACAACAGCATCTTTGACTCAACAAGACATTCTTTTGCAAAATGCTTTTAAGTCTGACGTTCCCCGTCCTCCGAGGGGTAAGTGTGTCCTGTTTGACAAACGTTAGCTTGAATGCCTAAAATGTGGAGCCATTTGATACTGACAGTCGTTAGCTTGATAATTACATTTTCCAAGAGAGTAAACCCTTGTTTACAGTGTGTGTGTGTGTGTACAAGGATAGTAAAACCTTACATTCTGACACTGTAAAAATTAACATTCAGCCGCCTCTTTTGTAATTCTTTAGACGTTGAAGTCAGTGTTTGTTAGGTGTACACTTAGGCATTCAAAGATGTGGGTAGGATTGATTGAGGTAAAGTTGGTTTTATATTCCCACATTCTTAGTCAGCCAAAGACTTTCAAAGTACAATATTGTTCACAGTCAATTCAATAGTGCTAATGTTTTTTCAAGTCCAACTTTCATGGCATTCTGATCAATTATTTAAAGTAGCATGGTAAACATAATAGGGACCATGTCACAAGTTGTCACTGAACGAATGTGAGAAAATAAATCCAACTTTATTTTAATGTAAGATTGGTGAATACTAAAGCGGTGTTGAGCCATCTCATAAGCCTGTATTGTACATTTTTTAAATGATTAACCAGTCATATTCAATCATATTACATGATAGAAGAAAAGTCATTCATTGTTATCATCGGTTCCTTACTTTCAGTGCACTGGACACCTGGTAAACAGATCCTTACAGGCTCCAAGATGGAGAGTGACATGGAAAAGAAGTTACAGCTTGTTACAAGGTAAAGTGATTTGATAGTTACCCAGTTACAGAATGTTCTGCAGACTCAGACTGGTGAATCACAGCATTTCTTTTGTTCTGCAGATGAGGTAAAGTCACTTAGAACGGTGGTCAACCCTGACATCTCAAAGTAAGACTTGACATACTTCACAAAACATGTTGTTGCAAGTGTGCATTTGATAGTAATGAACTTGTAATCAAAAGAAAACCAGTTGACTATATATATATATAGAGATAGATATAGATATAGATAGATAGATAGATAGATAGATAAGTGTTTTTATATTGATATACTTAATCTAGATTAAGCAGATTTTAAACTGTTTATCATTTGAATGAAAATGTGGAAATGTATTGTATTGAAAGCATAATGGTTTATTCACACCACACTTATTATAATGCTTTTGATCAGAATTCGCAACATAGGCATCATGGCGCATATAGATGCAGGGAAAACCACCACCACTGAGAGGATGCTCTACTACTCTGGCTACACACGGGCTCTTGGAGGTGAGGCCATGTTTAGAAAAAGTAGATGAAGAATAGGATCAATTTTTTTTTGGTATTTGAATTAATTGAAGACCCACCCCCCACTGATAAAAGGTCCAGAACTTGTCCCATACATGAGCTCATTCGCCTTATTTTGACTGCTATGCCAACATAAATTGCGAAGGCATCAAAGAAGGCTTCCAATAAATGCAAACAATTGTAGTCAACGTCTAGTTGTACAAAAAAAAAAAAAAAACTTGAAGTAACTTTTATTTAGAATTTTGGACCTTATTCTTAAAAGAAAACTAAATAACTATTAAAAAGGTTTAAAGCACCAAAAGCAGCTCATATTAAAGTACGTTTTTATACCAGTTAGGCTATTATTGTTATCCATGAACTTTCAAATTGTACTTTTTTTTCTTTTTTTTTTTTTTTTTTTACAAAAAAGATAAGGAAAATCAGGAAGCTCTACATTATTAATATTACTGTTTATTTTATTTTAGTTTTTATTATTATTCAGATTATTATTTTATTATTATTTTATTATACTTTAACACTCTAATTTTTCCCTAAATGATTTATGATGTAATAAATTTGCATTAAAAAAGACATTTCATATTTCTTTATTCTAAATATTTAGCTAACCTTTATGGTACCTCAAAAAGTGTGGTTATGATGACCAAGCAATGATGACAAGCTTGTCCAGCTAAAAGCTAGAAAATAGTGTGAATAACTACAAAAAGGTACTCTTTTTCAGGAGAAAAGAACCATCCTTTTACCAGGCTGGCTATGGGCCTGAAATGAAGTCTAGTTTACAGATGAAAAGAATTATTTGTTGTACTAACATTATTAAAACTAAATGCAAATAATTAAAAAGCTTTCAAAATACTTTATTCAAAAGAAAAGAAGAACATCTTACATAAGTTCATTTAAAGTAGCTATTTAATTAGTTTTTCTGCTGTAATGCTTGGTTAAAGAAGTGCTGTGCGCCTTAGTTTTGTATGACTGGTCATCTGCTATTTTTAGATGTGGATGATGGAGACACAGTAACTGATTACATGGCCCAGGAGAGGGAGAGAGGTATCACCATCCAGTCAGCTGCTGTTACCTTTGACTGGAAGGATTACAGGATTAACCTCATAGACACACCAGGTACACAATGGCCATCACATGTGTCCATACACTCATTCAGGCACCTTTTAAAGTAAAAAAAAAAAGATCTCTGGCATTATTTTATGGATGAAAAAATATGTTAGGTTTTTGTAAGATCATGATCACAAGGACTACATTTTTCGCAATTTGTAAAATGTAATTTTAGTTGCCATTACTCCAGTCCTCAGTGGCACATTATCACGCAAAATGCCATTTAGTATGCTAATCTAGTACGAAAGAAATGTTTATTATTATTTATGTAAAACTCAGTTATGCTGCTGCTTTTTTATATTAATGAATTTAGGATTATATTAGTCATATTAGAAAGTTCAAAAGTACAACATTTGTTTGGGGAAATAAAACATACGGGCCCCAAACTTGGACAATACATAATTGACAGTCATGATAGGTTGTCTTTTTTGTTTTTTATAGGTCATGTTGATTTTACTCTGGAGGTTGAGAGAGCTTTACGAGTGCTCGATGGAGCTGTCGCTGTGTTTGATGCTTCTGCTGGAGTAGAGGTTTGACAGAATTTTTTTAATAATATGACTAATCATTGCATTAATATCTTAATATTATGATGATTGGTAGCTTTTAGCCAAAGCTGATGTAAAACAATGTACCTTGTACTTAAACGGCACCTATGGTGAAAAATCTACATTTAAAGCTGTTTGGACAGGCATGTGTGTTGGTATAGTGTTTAGACCATCATATTGGGGTGATATAAACACACCCAGTCCTTTTTTTTTTTTCAAATTTAACAACATAAAAACGGTGGACCAGTTAGAGCAGTTTTCAGATCGACCGCAACTTGACGTAGGAGCGCGGTCCCCCCGCCCACTAATATTGATTGACAGGCGCACATTAACATGTCTCCATAGTAACGCATATAGTCATATCAACAAGACAGAACGTGCGCAAAGCAACCGGGAATAACAGGTCTGTTCAGTTTGCTAGGATTATCAATCATCATAAAATGTGATCAAAAGTGAATTTTACAGGTTTAAAATGTTTTTAAAACAGTGCACATGTAATGAATTACAGCGATTTACCTCAGCTTTAACATGCCTAATCTGCACAGCTGTGTGTCAGAACAAAGAAGATGCTTAAATCGCGGTCTGTGGACATTAAACCAGGTTTATTTTTGTACATTAACATAACAGATATCCATACAGCAGTGGATATTGACCTGTATCCTGTCACATATGCGTGCAGAAAGAGTGCAAAGCTAAACGCGCATGCTGTGTGCTGTGTGCTGTGTGCTGTGTGTGTGTGTGTGTGTGTGTGTGTGTGTGTGTGTGTGTCTGTGTGCGTGTGTGAACTTTGTAACCACATTGTGTGTTACTCATGGTTGCAAACTTGCAACTCCACAAAAAAGTGCATCAAATACTCATTGGTAAAGTTCTTACTGTAGTATTTCTCACAAACGCTACGTGAAATCTGTTTCCTGAGGCAGCCGAGGGCAGCGATTGAGGCGTGCTGCTGACAGGCACGTGGGAACGGTGGGCGGGGAGTACTAGCCTTAAAGACGCTGTACAAAAAAACAGCAACCAGGTTTTACCAGCAATAAAACAGAAACTTCAGACAGCTTTAATAAATAATCTGATGGGTGTTTTGAGCTGAAACTTTACAGACACATTCTGGAGACACAAAAGACTTATCTTAAATCTGGAAAAAGGGTAAAATAGGTGCCCATTAAAGTCCCAATGAACCGGAAGCTGCAATTATTATTTCTTTTGTATTGTGACGCAGTTCCTAGAGAAATGGAATTTTAAATGAGCATTGTTTTTTCTACTGCGAGCTGAATGGATGTAGTGAAGTAGGCATTACATTCAGAAATATAGGGAAAGGGGTTTTAGGAGAGTTATTACAGTCTAACCGACTCCTCCTGCTCACCATTTCTGTTTGTTGTCATAGCTGACAGTTGCAGCAGCCTTAGTTACACCCATCACCTCAAAATCACATAATCTGACAATTTAACTTAAAACAAACAGGAAGTGCACTTTTAGATTTTATTTAAAGATTAGAAGGGTTAACAAATTTTCTTTCTTAATTGCATGTACAGAGGAATTGTTCACTACAAAACTGGCAATATGAGCTAACAAAATTGTATGGTTAGTTTTGATGTTATGCTTTATTTTTTAGGCCAGATGGAATCTGCAGACATTTATTGCTATTTCTGCACAGAATTTTGTTAAAAATCTACGGAATTTCTACGGAATGGTTTTGGGAGTATCATAACTAAAACCTTAATATATGAACTAAAAAGTAATGCCTTTTTAACTTGTATTTAATGTTTACAATGTAAATCCAATTAGATCCTCTTTATTTGGTAAACAAATCAAGTCTTCTATATAATATCTCTACTAACAGACAGAACATATTACTTTACAAACTGTATTGTACAAAAATCATAACATTTTTATATTAGCCAATAATTAAACTGGGCGACGCAGTGGCGCAGTAGATGGTGCTGTCGACTTACAGCAAAAAGGTTGCTGGTTCGAGCCTAGGCTGGGTCAGTTGGCGTTTCTGTGTGGAGTTTGCATGTTCTCCCTGCGTTTGCGTGGGTTTCCTCCGGGTGCTCCGGTTTCTCCCACAGTCCAAAGACATGTGGTACAGGTGAATTGGGTAAGCTAAATTGTCCGTAGTGGATGAGTGTGTGTGAATGTTTTCTTAGAGATGGGTTGCAGCTGGAAGGGCATCCACTGCGTTAAACTGTGCTGGATAAGTTGGCGGTTATTCCGCTGGGGCGACCCCAGGTTAATAAAGTAACTGAATATGAATCAATGAATAATTAAACTGAAAATAATTTTAAAACTGAATAAATATAAATTCACTCAAATAAATAAACAGAATCAATGATTGCCTAAAAATCTGCACACGCAGAATTGGTATGGGCCTATTATATGCAAATAACAACACATTCTAACCCTAACCATATAGTACAAGCTGCTATTACTTTAAACTTAAATGTATAGTTACAATGTAACAAGAACACTAAAGTGTAGTCAAAAAGTCTATTCATTTGTAAATGGTTGTGGGGTTTTTGACCTATATTTCAGGCTCAAACCATGACTGTGTGGCGGCAGGCAGAAAAACATCAAATTCCTTGTGTGTGCTTCCTAAACAAGATGGACAAACCTGCAGCTAGGTGATGCACACAAATATTTCATTTCTTCAATTGTTTGAATATCACTCTTTAATTAGTTCAATCCTTTAAAACATTGTCAGAAAAGTAATACATGTTATTGATCTGAATGAACAACTGCTGATCACTAGGGTTTAATCTCTCTCTCATCTTTCCTAGCCTGAGGTATTCTTTAGACAGCATAAAGGCCAAATTAAAAGCCAACCCTGTTCTCCTTCAGGTACTCTTTTTGAGCAACCCTTATTAAGCAACCACACTTACAAATGCAAGGATTCAATCTGAACACTTGGTGTCATTTGCAGATTCCCATTGGCTCTGGGAAGAGCTTTACCGGATTGGTGGACTTGATCACTAGGCAGAAAATGATGTGGCAAGGAAACGCACTCACAAACGATGGTCGTTCCTTTGAGATCAACAGCCTTCAGCCCTCGGATGACCCAAATGTGCTGCTGGCTGTCAGTGAGGCCAGAGCGGCTTTGATAGAACAGGTGAAACACAAAAAACTATTTAAAAACAAAATACATTATGGTCAATTTAGTTAGTCTCTAAATACAGTTTTATCATGCATTATTTTCCTCCTTGCATAACTTACCACCTATTTTTGGTGGAATGAAATGGTTATTTTGAATAATGCTTGTGTTCAAACAACAACAGAACTCTTATTGTCTTTCATTGGTTTAACAAAAACATTTTGGAAAATGTCAAAGTATCAAAACAACATTAAAAATGTTTTATAGATGAGTTTTTACTTTAAAAGTAATTGTGCTCTTTGATATTTTGCAACACTTCAAGTCTGACACCCACCCGTCCACTCAGAGCAGGGCTCGAATTGATGATTCTAGCATGGGAGACGGTCCTGCTGGAATCTCTAGTTTGAGCCACGCTCTCAGTGGGTGGATGGATGTTGAACAAGAGGGGTAACATTTGTTTCCATAAGCCTGATGGGAGTAAAGGCTGAATTATACTTCTTCGTTGAGTGTTGATCACCATAACCCACCCACGTCGTGTATTTATACTTTCAATGGGCTCACAGTTCTCAGGACCACCCACAATCATCATTGCTACCAAGCTAACCAATCACAGGGCTTACTCTGTGTCGTTGCGATGTGTAGTTAATTTTTTTGTTTGGTGCACATCAGCGCCAGCCATGGCAAAAGGTTTGCAACTGTGCAAAGGCATAAATCAGTATAAATCAGCTTTAAAGTCCCAATGAACCAGAAGCTGCAATTATTTTTCCATATTGTGACGCAGTTCCTAGAGAAACAGAATTTTAAAAGAGCAAACATTGTGCGTGGCTTGTTTTTTCTACTGCGAGCTAAATGGATGTACTAAAGTAGGCATTTCTTTCATAAAGATGGAGAAATTGGTTTTGGGAGAGTTATTGCAACCTAACAGACTCCTCCTCCTCACCATTTCTATTTGTTGTCATAGCTGACAATTGGAGCCGCATGGTTAAATGTTTTAACCAAACCCAAATTTTAAAGTTTCTTAATTTTAAAGTAAATTTAATCTGTCAAATTAACAGAAAAAAGTGCTTTTTCAGATTCCTGGTAAAGATTAAAGCTCGTTTTGATGACATGCACAGATGAATCGGTCACCACAAAACTGGCAATGTGAGTTACAAACTGATATGGTTTGATTGATGTCTCGGGGACTTTAAGTTTTGGGGGGTGAGTGTAATGGAGGCCAGCTGGTGAGGGCTGTGTGACCTGCCCTAGTGGCAGACATTAGAGATTTGGATCTTTAGCCTAATTGTTAGAGCAGATCAGAGGGGTTTCGTTATTTTTGCAATTAAATTTCTTAGAAAACGAATTGGGTATATAAATTAAAAATAATTGTTGCATGATCTGTGTGGACAGGTAGCAGATCTAGATGATGATTTTGCAGAGCTGCTGCTGGGAGAGTATGGTGAAAACTTTGATGCAGTTCCTGCAGTGAAGGTAAGAGTATACTATACTGTGGTCTATGCAAAAGCTGCATCTGACTATTAGACACACAGTGTCAATTTGATGGTGAAGAGTAAAAAACACATATTAGGTTAATTGGTGTATAAATCACATTTTATAATTCAATAAATATAAACATAATGCTATTTTTTTAAATAAAATATTTATTTCCCCTTAATCCACAACAAATCCTTCAAAATAAACATTAATTAGGATGAAATCTATCATTTAAAAGAATCAGAAATTATTGTGGCATTCAGATGTCTAGCACAGGGGAGTCCAAACTCGGTCCTGGAAGGCCGGTGTCCTGCAGATTTTAGCTCCAACTTGCCTCAACACACCTGCAAGGATGTTTCTAGAAAGCCTAGTAAGAGCTTAATTAGCTAGCCAGGTGTGTCTGATTGGGGTTGGAACTAAACTTTGCAGGACACCGGCCTTCTAGAATCGAGCTTGGGCACCCCTGGTCTAGCAAAACTAAATTTGTTGAAGGTGAAACTGAAACCAGCAGCCTCTGGGCAAATTCTCTTTATGAATCAAGTTGCAGGAGGCGGTGAGGAGAGTGACTTTAGCTCGTAAGGGTGTACCTGTGTTGTGTGGAAGCTCTCTAAAAAATAAAGGCGTTCAACCTCTGCTGGATGCCATCACTGCTTACCTTCCTGCTCCCAATGAGAGGAACCATGACCTGGTGTGAGTACACCATCCTTTAAACTTCATAGTAAGATTGTGTTTTTTTTATTGCCATTTAAAAATGCATGTACATTTGTCTGCACAGGCGCTGGTATAAAAATGATCTGTGTGCCTTGGCATTCAAAGTGGTCCATGACAAACAGAGGGGTCCGCTTGTGTTTGTTCGAATCTATTCAGGAAGCATGAAAGCTCAGTCATCAGTGCACAACATCAACAGGAATGAAACGTAGGTTTAGTGAACATCAAATCGCATGCAGTTACTTGACAGTAAATAAGACCCTATAAATCAAGTAACAGTTTTACATTAATTTCACTATAAAAGCTGATATTTTACTTTAAATAACTGAAAGACAAGTACTTTGGTGTTTTTACAACTAATTCTTAGATTTTTTCATGCTTTCTCAAGAGTGAAGATTTGTTTTATTTAAGGTCTACCCTGAAGAACAGTATTTTGTGTGTTGTCCTCTAGGGAGAAAATGAGTCGACTTCTCTTACCTTTTGCCGATCAACAAATCGAAATCCCATCGTTGTCTGCAGGAAACATTGCACTCACTGTTGGACTCAAACAGGTAATTTAACTTCAATGGTACATAGTATAGCTGCACGATATTGGAAAATTCTAACATTGCAATATTTCTTTATTCTATATTATAAATTTAGAATTTTAGATTGATTGGGATGATTCTGTAGGGTAGTGCATATGCATATAATATAATAAACCATCTACAAGCATAGATAAATTCAATAAAGAAAAGATGCAAATTTAATAAACAGCGTTTTATTGTTTTCAGAGAAGTCGGACTGTGTGCAGGCATACAGTAACTGAATAATCAAATGTAAAATAATGCTGCATAGTCTTCATTTTCTAAACAATTCAATAAAACGAAGTGGTATTAGTTTGTCAAATCCCTATTACATAGAATGCACACCTTTACTAAGCTTGTTTTAGCTGCTTTATAATAATGTAACAGATTTGATTGTAGATAAATAAGTCATAACTTTTCCAAAGTATTTTTCAAGTAGTCATGTGTTAAAAAAATTGTTTTTTTATTAGGAGTGATAACCATATGATGTACAGTAAACAATATTTTTGTCATTCAGTTCAATAAATTTTTATTTCTATAGTGCTATAGATGATGAAAAGAGAGTAAAAGCCATAATATTTCAAGCTATGAAACATTCCAACAACTCAGTTACAAGAAGTCACAAGTAGTATAGAATGCTGGTGTGCATACATTCAATCCTTTTTTTTTTTTTGACTTAGTCCCTTTATTAACCACCAACTTATCCCGAATATGTTTTACGCAGCAGATGCCCTTCCAGCTGCAACATAACACTGGGAAATCCATACACGCATACAGTACGGACAATGTAGCTTAGTCAATTCACCTATAGCTAGGCCCACACGGAATCTGCGCAGGCAGAATTTTGCAGATTTTCTGCTGATATTCCGCAGAATGCCACAGACTTTTAGCATACATTAATTATGTTTATTTACTTGAGTGAATGTGTGTTAATCTATATTTATTCCGTTTGTAAAGTAATTGTAGTATTATTGACTAATATGAAAATGTTCATCTGATTTATCTACAATACAGTTTGTAAAGTAATATTTTCTGTCTTTTAGTAGAGATATTATATGAGAGACTTGCTTTGTTTACAAAATAAAGTTAATTTAATTAGATTTGCCTTTGAAACATTAAATAAGTTTTATGTTAAAAAGATAATGTTTTTCATTTCACATATTAAGGTTTAAGTTATGATACTCCCAAAATAATTCCGCTGAAATATGCATATTTTTACCAAAATCCCAGATAAAACCCACGCGATCTCGGGGAGAACATGTAAACTTTACACAGAAATGCCAACTGACCTAGCCGAGGCTCGAACAAACAGCTTTCTTGCTGTGAGGCGAGAGTTCTAGTGAATTGAAACTAGTTCAGTTCAGTAAAAATGTCACTGTTTAGGTCAGTGTAATGCATTGTACACCTTGTTATGGTCGCATTTTCTGTAATGTTTCATGTTTTGAGTCAGACAGTAACCGGTGACACCATCGTGTCCTCCAAAGCATCTGCAGCAGCGGCAATCCGACGGGCTCAGGCTGAAGCAGAGAGCAGGAGCAACTCACATAGTGCGGCTCTTGCAGGAGTGGAGGTCCCTGAGCCAGTGTTCTTCTGCTCCATTGAACCTCCTACTATGGCCAAACAAGCAGGTAATGACATTATAATTTTTTTTCCAAGCAAGCTTAGTGCCAGAATTGAGATCTCTCTGTGGTTTGTAAAACAGATCTGGAGCACGCACTCAACTGCCTGCAGAGGGAAGACCCCAGTCTGAAAGTTAGAATAGATCCTGATTCTGGACAGGTAAATGAAACAGTAACACAGGATTTCAAGTGCTTTGTCTGGTAAATTGTGCCATTTGCAGTTTACAGTACTAATTAGCATTGTTCAAACATAACCCTTATTGCATCGACCCTTTAACTTAATCATTTTTGAATTGGATTTCTGAACTGAACGTGGATGTCGCCTTACACACTCAATGCATTTTTTTCAACACATCCCATAATTTCTAAAATATCAACCTCTACCAAATGGTAGATATGTCGGTTTATGGTAAAAGTACTTGACTTAATACATATACTATAAAAATCAGAACAAAAAATGAAGTGTAAGACCAATTTATTTAAAAACATAATCAAAATAAAATAAAACATTTTTGAATACTAAGTCATCTTTATTTTTTGAAGTATGCCATAAAATATTGCAGATACTCATTTAATATCATGTTTTCTTTTTTTTTTTTTCTTTTTTTTTTTCTTTTTTTTTGACAATAAAACCTAAATCAAGTGTAGTAGTGCAACAGGATGTTTATTTGATAATTTTTTTTTTTTGTAAACCAACAAAGCTGTGTGTGTAAACCATTAATTAATACTTTAACGGTCATTATTTAAAACATTTGGTAGAGCAGGCAGTTAAAGGGCTGATCTTTTTATAGTATTTTATAATTAACAGTATTAACCCATTTAGAATGAATGGGATTTAATTAGTTGTTAAATGCAAATTTAAGGGAGTTAACATAATAACTTTAATAACTTATTTATTTTGTCATGATGACAGTAAAGGATTTTTGTTTCTAGTTGTTTTGCCGGATACTAGTATTCAGCTTAAAGTGCCATTTATAGGATTAACTAGGTTATTAGGTTCACTTATCAAGTTAGGTTAATTGGGTAAGTCACCAGATAACAGTGGTTTGTTATGTAGCCAATCAAAAGAACAATCTTAAGGTAGCTTATAATATTAACCTTAAAACTGTTTCCAGCTCTTAATTTGTTTGTTATCTGACATTAAAAACATTCTACATTGAAGGAATTGTCTTCATTAAATATAGTATAATTACAATATAACCAGAAGATAATAGCTGTGCTATCTTTGTCAATCCATTGCTCTACAATTGATTTATTCTTTTATTGTTCACACTTTGCAATAAAGTTTCATTAGTTAGTGCATTCAGTAACATAAACCAATTATGAACAATACAACACAGCATTTATAAATCATAGTTCAATTTTTACTGATACATTATTAGCATCAGAATTCATGCTTGTTAACATTAAAGCACTGAACTAACAATGAACAACTCTATTTTTATTAACTAACATGAACAAATACTGTAATAAATGTAATGTTCATGTTAGTAAATGCATAGTAACTAATATAAACCTGTTGTAAAATGTTACCATTTTATGTATACACACTTACAGACAGTACTGTGTGGAATGGGAGAGCTGCACATTGAGATCATCCATGATCGCATTAAGAGAGAGTACAAAATCGAAACTCATCTTGGACCCCTGCAAGTGGCCTACAGAGAGACCATCCTGCAGTCAGCAACAGCCAAAGGTAACGCCAATGTAAACATTGTCTTCATATTTTGACTAACATATCACCTTGCTGTGGTAAAACACTAGTCAGTTCATCTGATTTGTTTGTTGCATTCACTCATTTATTGTTCAGTCTAACAGATAGTTATGTATAGTTAATATATATATGTACATATATATATATATATGTGTGTGTGTGTGTGTGTGTGTGTATATGTGTGTGTGTGTGTGTGTGTGTGTATATATATATATATATATATATATATATATATATATATATATATATATATATATATATATATACACGTATGCATGTATGTATGTATGTATGTATGTATGTATGTATATATATATATATATATATATGTATATATATATACACAGTATATGATCACAATCATGAGCAGTTTAATTTCTACTCAAAAGCTTGAAGTATATATATTTTATTGTAATGCAATATTGAATAAAAGTAATTAATTTCTTTAAATTAGTGCTGGACAAAGACTAATCACATCTAAAATAAAAGCTTGTTTTGACATAATATGTGTGTGTACGTGTGTGTCTTATATATTTATTATGTATAGTTGAATTCAGAATTATTTGCCCCCTTTGATTTTTCTTTTCTTTTTAAAATATTTCCCAAATGATGTTTAACAGAGCAAGGAAATGTTAACAGTATGTCTGATAATATTTTTTCTACTGGAGAAAGTCTTATTTGTTTTATTTAGGCTAGAATAAAAGCAGTTTTTAATTTAAGCACCATTTTAAGGACAATTATTAGCCCCTTTAAGCTATATTTTTTTACGATGGTCTACAGAACAAACCATCATTATACAATAACTTGCCTAATTACCCTAACCTGCCTAGTTAACCTAATTAACCTAGTTAAGCCTTTAAATGTCACTTTAAGCTGTATAGAAGTGTCTTGAAAAATATGTAGTCAAGTATTATTTACTGTCATCATGGCAAAGATAAAATAAATCAGTTATTATAAATGGGTTATTAAACTATTATGTGTAGAAATGTGTTGAGAAAAAATAAACAGGGGGCTAATAATTCTGACTTCAGCTGTATATGTCATACATGCACAGAAACTATATACATATAAGTGTGCGTGCGTGCGTACACACTTAAATTGTTAAAATGACTTTACTTTAAAGTCTTACTGACCTCAAACATTTAAATGGTACTGTATATCAGCAATGCTTATCAATCCTGCAATTTATTTCACAACATCCTTGAATTTTGATTATAACTTAATGGCAATAAGGAACTGACATGCCTGGGGTTTTACACACAACAAACTAAACATTGACAGGGTTTCCACAGGTCATGGAGTGTCTAAAAAATCATTCAATTTTTTAAAGGTCTATTCAAGACATTGAAAGTCATTTTTGAAATTTTACTTCCCATTTATCAGAATGTGTTTTTCTATAATGTGTTTTTTTAACATATTATAATTGTAACGGTCAGGCTGTACCTGTTTTTTTTTTTTTTTTTGTACTGTGCTGTTTTTTTGTCTGCTCAGTGCTCAATCAGTCCTTATATTTTGTGGGACAACTTTTAAATGATTGTGGCCTAAATTGACTGATTTTGTGACTTTTGTGTCACTATTTGCTGAATTTATTGTGTTGTTTTGCTTAAAATATAGTTATTTGCACACAGCATAGTTATTACTTTTTGTCTTTACTTTTTTGACCTCAAGAACCTTTGCTCTCCTTTATTTCTATGAAGTGTACACATGGTGCATCTAAAGTGGGTCACACACCTAGTAAAAAGTGCAGCACAGTGCTGTGTCTATGATAACTCAAAATTTAAAGGAGAAATTTGAACATGCAGTAGAACATTTGAACATACAGTATGTAGAACAATTGTCACAGAGCAGCCAAAATATGAAGGAAATCTGAGGCAATTAAAAAACTGTCAGCTCTTTTCAATTGTGTGTTATTTCTGTGTTAAATTGGCTCTGCTAGTTTTAGGACAGTTATCGTAAGTTATTTAGTTAGATAAACTCCAGATTTGGCTTCAGTACTGACTAATTAAAAACAGGAATTTAAAAGATAGATTTGTGAAGGGTGTATTTATATATGCAAGAGCACTGTAGCTCATGGAAATTCGGTCAGTGAAAGTCAGAAAATTTAACATTTGGCTTTGAGTGGGAACCCTGCATGAAATTGCTTTATAATATTGATACCAAATATTACAGTGTTTTTGTTTTATTTAAAGGGCAAAACTGAAAATTTACTCGCACTCATGATTTTATTTATTTAGTTGAATACAGAACAAGGTATCAATGAATATTGCAAACAATTGATATCCATAGTAGGAACAAAAATACTATGGAAGTCAATGGCTGCTGCTTTCCAACATTCTTCAAGACATCTTTCTTTGTGTTCAACAGAACTTTTATTTTTCTCTGAACTATCTCTTTACGTAGTAAAGTAAAAATAATATATGATTTGAATGATCGTTTCAGACCTGTTAGATCGTATTCTGGGAGAAAAGAGGCATGTTGTATCTGTGGAGCTCACCGTTCATCCTCTGAAGGAGAACTCTAGTGCTTCCTGTGACATCACTTTTGAAGAGGACGTAAAAGCGATGCTTCCTGCTGATGTCAGAGAGGCTGTGGAAAACGGAGTTCAGAGTGCCTACCTCCAAGGTGATAGAAATTGTTGATTCTAAACCTGGAACATTTAGATATACATGTGCAGTATTGCAGTGCAGTTGTGACTTTAATTCTCGGTGCAGGTCCTGTGCTGGGTTTTCCTGTTCAAGGAGTACAGACTGTCATCCAGAATGTACGTTTGGAATCAGGCACATCTGCAGCCATGGTGTCGGCTTGTGTGTCCCGCTGCATGCTCAAGGTGCTCAAACTTTAACCTTTCCCACAATCCTTTTCAAATAACACCACACATGAGTTTATACCCACAATCACACATCAGCAGATTAAGGTTGACAGTGTAGTGTCTCAGTTCTTAATATGGTCCTATTCACATAAAGTAGACAATTTACAAGAGTGACGCAACGATTTATTAACCAAACTCTGACTTTTTTTTTAGCACTCAAGTTTTTTTTTCCCTTGTAAAAATAGGGCTGGGCGATAATTTAATAATGATAATTATCACAATAGATATTTTTTCAATAAAATGATAATGACAGTTTGATAAGTGTTAGATAATGTTTATGCATTATGCGTAACACTGCATAGGCATTTTGCAGCCTGCATTTCCGGATTCCGCACGCAGTACAAGTTTACAGCCATACTGTGTTAGTTGCACTTGGAGGAGTAAGAAAAAATAAGTTAAAAAACATAAAGTCACAGTCACAGACATTGTTATCAAGAAACTTCACTTAACTTCAGCAGTCTGAAGCTACATAGTTTTTTGCAATCTGGCACAAAATAGAACAACGTGCACAGCAAACTACACAGACACGACTAGTGCCATCCAAAACAGGCCTCACCAAAAACTTGTTTCATCATTTAAAATACTGCCACCCTTATGAAGATGCTAAGAAATTATAGACCAAAACAAGTGTTGGTAAACGGGGACCATCTACAAGCATTAGCGCAACTACCCAGCAGAGTCTCATGTCATCATTTTCAAAAGCCGTGCGAAAAGACATAGGTGACAGACGACACAATCTCAATAAACACTTGATGCTTGCTGTAAACTGCAGGCTGCATTATTTAAGGGCATTTGTTATAACATTGATCGGATCTTTTGTTGTCAAGCTTATGTTTCCTTTTTAATAGTAACAGGATGTCTTAAAGTATTAAAAGTTGATGAATCAATTACGAGAAAATTAAGGCCCTTAAAAGATATTAAAATGTCTTAATCACATTTTTGCGAGGTCTTGAATATTGATCAAGCGTTGTCCTAAGTGTTTGACTCCAAAAAAAGCATGAACATTTATTTTGCTTCTAATATTACCAACTGCGTGCTCGATCCACGCTACTGGTTCAGGCAGGGGCAGGTCCGGCCAAGCTCCTCTGTCTGGGTGATGTGATGTAATTTGCAACAAACACGGGAAAGGGATGTGACACTTTACACGTGAAGTAAAACCATATAGCGAAACAGACGGTAAAAAGGGAAAATTTAAGTTGCCTACTCCTGGTAGGAGGAAGACGAGTTTAAACAGTGGCTGAAAACAACCGCGTGATTTATTCTTTCAAACTTTGTTTCTTTAAATATTCTGAGAAGGTCTTAAAGTCTTTAAACGGTATTGAAATTATTAAGATATTTTCTTTGAAATCTCTTATACCATATTCCCTCATCAACGATAAAATAACCAGCCATTATGCAATATTAAACACTCCCTCACCTGAACAAATAACATCTGAGTTGAAAAGCTTCAAAACAAGTCTGCGCTATGCTTCAGCGCGAAAGCAATCCATTAAACCGCTTTCAATGTACTGTTTTCAATTACTGATTGAATTTAATTTGTTTAATCAAGTGGTCTGTGAGAGCAGCACAGTCTTTACAAACTTGTCGCAGCACTGAAAGTACTCTTTAGTGACCTTGGAGGAACGAACTTGGTCGGAAGGATGCACTCACAACATGTTGTGTAAAGGGAGAGGCTCCCCTCATGTCTCGCCATGATGCACTATTTTTAAAATGAAAGTCTGCATAGGCTTATTCGTGCCAGTCTGTCAAATAAAATTGTTTAAAACACTCGCGGATATAACCAAGATCTGCGCATCACAGGGTTTTATGCAACACTGCAATATGCAATTTCAAGAGGGTGACTTCATAAGGTACCGTAAACTGCCCGCACTTGATTATGTAATGCACGATTGCATCTTAAAGCGTAAAACATAACTTAACCTTTAAATGTCCATGCTTAATCAGTCATCGATAAGGGTTATTAACAATCAATAGATCATCAAGGAATCATTGGCATCCCTAAATAAAATATATTAAAGGTTATTTTACCCTAAATTCACCATACTCACCATTAAAAGCACTTTGTGTATTATTTTTTACTTATATTGTCAGACAGCTAAAACATTTGACAAAATGTGCTAAATCAGCTGCACAAAGGGATTGTCATGCTGAAAAGCCTTAAAAATTGATAGATATAAAGATTTGACGTTTATCGTGATAATTATCGATACCGACTAATATGAAAAAAATATTGTGATTAAAAAAAAAAATATATATATATATATATATATATATATATATATGTATGTATGTATGTATGTATGTATGTATGTATGTATGTATGTATGTATGTATGTATGTATGTATGTATGTATGTATATATATGTATGTATGTATATGTATATATATATATATGTGTGTGTGTGTGTGTGTGTGTGTGTGTGTGTGTATATATATATATATATATATATATATATATATATATATATATATATATATATGTGTGTATATATGTATATATATATATGTGTGTGTGTATATATATATATATATATATATATATATATATATATATATATATATATATATATATATATATATATATATATATATATATATTTTTTTTTTTTTTTTTTTTTTTTTTTTGCCATTTCACCCAGCCCTAAAACCTTGGTTCAGAACCAGATTGGTCAACAATAGTCACGTAACACATCAAATAATTTTAGTGAGACATTTTATAATGTATATATCTATTATGTAAATTCATTCGTTGATCCCAAACTCTGATCCAGGCCTATGTCTTTTGGTATGTTTGCATGTAGGCTCTGAAGCAGGCTGGAGGGCAGGTTTTGGAGCCGGTAATGGCTCTGGAAGTGACTGTAGGAGAGGAGCATCTGAGTTCTGTGCTTGCAGATCTCTCCCAGCGACGTGGTACCATATGCGACATCCAAAGTCGACAGGACAACAAGATTTTGCTGGCTGATGTTCCTTTGGCTGAGATGATGGTGAGTGTGCAGTGCTGTCTGCTACTAAAAACATTACCATGACCTACCGAATCATATCAAACTTATAAAATGTGAGGGCTTATGGAATCAACTTAAAGGTGAGGAATGGATTGTCTTTAACAGCTTGTGACATCATCTGGCACATTATCTGAGAACGTTTACATGGACACCAATACTCTGATTTTAATATGATTAAGACAATACTCTGATCACGAGAGTACCACGTAAACAGTGATTTTTGATTATCTTAAAGGACCACACACTCAAACTGCGGAGGAATCATTTATAGACTGGGTGTGTGCTATAACATGTAATTGGAAATCATGAATGTAACATTCAAAAAGCAGCTCATGTAAACACCTGAATCATATGTCTTATTCACATTATAGCAAATCATTAGATCAGGGGTCTCAAACTCGCGGCCCGCGGGCCAGTTGCGGCCCTCAGTGCAATATTTTGTGGCCCGCGCCGACCGCTGTACACTGACAGAATCAGCGGAGCGGGGAGAGAGAGCGCTCCCCGCTCCGCTGATTCTATCCGTACACAGCGGTCACTGGCATTCCCTGCCCGCCGTGTAAACAAAGGGGCGGGGATGCCGGTGACGTCACCACGCACCCCGCCCCTTTGTTAGACGCTGTGACGGGCGGGAAATGTTAACTCGCGCCGGCCAGAACCAAGGTAAGCTGTTCCCGCCCCTGCCTGCCACTTAGCTACAGCCTGCATCTTACAGGGCTCGAAATTGCGACCATTTTGGTCGCATATGCGCCCGAATATTAATCTATGTGACCTCATAATATATTTGGGCGCATTAGTGCGACTGCAGATAATGGTTGTAGTGCGACCTCTTTTGATTTTTTGTAAAAACGTGCTGAATCGCTCTTCCCTGCCGCTATATTGGTTCATATTAGCTGTCAATCCAACAAGGTATTCCGCTGTCAGATGACAGGGAAGGAGCTTTTATGACCACGGGAAATACAAACGGCTAAAGAGTAAAAACTTAAAGCACACAGGTTTGCAAACCCCACCTAAAGTTGAGGCGCAGATGAAAGCGATCATGACACGTCACGTGGTGAATAATGATCCACCAGCTGAGATCAATCAAGTACGCGCTTCTTGGAGAAGGTGCCCGAATCTCCATGCGTTGCATTCACTGCGTGTTCAGCGCAAATGTCCGCTAAAAGTCAAATCTAATACTGTACATATCATCGCCAAAGAAGCTCGCCTTTTCTAAGTTTACACTGAAACTGCGTCTCATAACAAACAGCGGTATTGCGCCGGTGGTCATCGCAAGAATCTTGTGCTGCCTGCTCATAAATTGGGTCGCCAGCTTTTCCACTAACACAGAAACATGAAAATCAGCTCAGACTGAACCTTTAAATTGACACAAACTGAAACCAAAACTTTTAAAGAGTGATAGAAGTGAGACTTTACTTTCTTTTGTCTATTCTTGTTTGAGGTGTATATTATTTTTTTATTTATTTACTGATGACTGCTTTGCAGCTTTCATCATTGAATTGAATGATTTATTATAATCTTTTGTTTGTTTTGTAGCAGAAATATTATTTATTAAATTGACATGCATATATAAACAGTAGTACAAAATAAATATTTCTTACTGCAATGCTTCATTTTTGTTTGATGCAAACTATACAATTATTTTTCATAAAGTAACAGACTTTTTATAGCAGATAACCTACATTCATGTACATTCATGCAGTATCATAATGAGAAATGTAATTCATTGTTACTATTATTGTCATTTTTTATCATCATTAATATTCTATGGCCTAATTATTAGACATTCATTTTGGAATTATTGCACACAAATATCAATGTCTTCACAGCATTAGTTAGATAGTTGTTTCTGGTTTTTGTCAGTCCTATTGATGTTGTTTTAAAATACAATAAATCCCTTAAAAAGTAATTTGCAGCGGTGCTCAATCATTTTTGGTGGGTGCTCCTAAATTTTTTCTGGTGCTCCTAAATTTATTTTGGTGCTCCTAAATATTTGAAGTTGGGAGCACCGGTGCTACCAAGTAAAAAAGTTAATTTCGAGCCCTGTCTTATATATATTATAGGTAGATACAGACTGGTACAGACTGATGTGACTGGAGTGGGGTGGGGGTGTTTTATTTATACATATATACGCCTTTTTTACGTGAGGGAATGGAAGTTTTGAGTGAGTTCCCCCACTTTTTTCCCTAGGACTTCAATAAGTCAAAGTACAGGTCTAGACTTAATGATGATCATCTTCAAGCCATACTGAGGGTCTCAACTGCTTCCGCTCTAAAGCCAAATGTGGTTCACATTTGTGAGAAGAAGCGCTGTCAAGTCTCTGGCAGTAAGGAGTAGGCAAAAGATGCCATGTTCAGAAGAACTGTTCATAATCTTCACTCAATGTTCTATTACTGTTCAGGACACTTCATGTTCAGAAGAAATAATTAAAACTGTTAATAATGACATTTGAGGACTTTTTTTTTGTGAAATCCCTTATGCGGCCCAGCCTCACCCAGACTTTGCCTCCTGCGGCCCCCAGGTAAATTGAGTTTGAGACCCCTGCATTAGATCATTGATGTCCATGTAAAAGTCACAAGCCCCAAACCCAGAAAAAAGGTGTTCCCTGATTTTGATGACAGCCTTTCCACAGGTTAGTAGTAAGCTAATGTAATATTAATAGCATAATGCAAGTCTTGCATTCATGCTAACAAACAAATGATCAAAAGAAATATATTAATGCAATTCAAATGTATAAAATATGAACTGATGTTTACTTTAAACATATTATAAATATATAATTATATTGTTCAATTATAATGATTAAAAAAAAAAAAAAAATATATATATATATATATATATATATATATATATATATATATATATATATATATATATATATATACTTTTTTGTCAATTAATTTTGTGGCAAATTTTTGGCACCGGTACCGTTTTAAAAGTATCAATTTAGCACCAGTATCGAAAAAAAAAAAAACAATACCCAACCCTACAAAATACAGGTGGCATAAAATAGTAATCAATATAATTGATTTTGATGATAATCAATTGACCCTTGAATATTTACAAAAATAGAGCTTTAGTATAAATAGAGCACTTTTGCCAATTAATTTCAACGTTTAAATCAGACACATAAATAATATGCATGTGCATTACTCTCGACCACACGCTTAGGAAAAAACGAAAGTAAAACTGAAATACTGTATAATATAGTGCAGTACTTTAAACATCCAATAGGTGGTGGGTCAAAACCATAAGTGGCTATACACAACAGCACAATAATGAAAGTGATTCAAAACATGTTTTGGGGGGTCGAATCTCGTTATGTTTTTGATGTCAGTTGCGGACCGGAGGGAGGAGTAAAATGTATTCAGCCGTAAATGGCCTGCGGCCTGGGAGTTTTAGACCCCTTGATTAGTGCATATTAACAATTCCTTCTGAATGGGACACCAAACAACTTCCCTCAGCCAAAAGGATAATGGGGGCCCAAAGTCTCAAGCAGTTGTACCTTTTGAAATCCTTCAAAAGGTAAAATGACACCTCTGACTAGCATACATGGAATATAACTAAGCATACTTTGGGCCCAACTCTTAATACGATTGCTACAGAATGTACATTTATTAGAAATATATACTATATAATATACACTATATTACAAATTATTGTATAAAAACTTTTTTTTTTCTTCCTCAAGGGATACTCAACCGTTCTGCGCACTCTTACCTCTGGAAATGCCACCTTTTCTTTGGAGCTGTCCAGCTATGAGCCCATGAACTCTCAGGACCAGAACATACTGCTCAACAAGATGGCTGGGCTCACTTGACCCTGTCACCAACTGATTATTTATACAGACAATTTCATATTGCTCTGTAGATTGCTGCTTGCATATGGTCTAGAAGATGATCTTGGAGCCCACATCTACAGACAACCCTTGCACTATTTTTTCTCAAGTGAAGAAAACACACCAAGAACCTATTAGTGTGAGTATGCATATGTATGTATGTATGTGTGTAAATATACAATAATTTTACAACAACTATGCTTTCAGAAATCGTATTTATTTAAATATATAAATTTAGTGCAGTGTTACAATCATGTAAACCCTCAGAATACACCTAGCATTCATTATAAAACACATTCCATAAAATGTTTTCACAGGAATATTACTTACCATTTAATAAACCTGAAACCTAAGTATTGTAGTAAAACTTTGTATAGGTAAAAATCACAAACATCAAGTCTTAGATAACTGGCTCAGTGCATATAACAGCAAATCATAGTTCTCCAAATGGCTAACATGGTTTAATCTGTAAAAATAAAAACTGTTTTGTCCTTCCCTTTAGTCGTCTACTGTGAACTAAATCATGGCATTCACAGACCCTTGTACTCATGACGGCAGTGGCCAACAAATAGAGGTTCTGCAGGTATGCCTCTCCTGAGGAGGAAAAGGGAAACATAAATCTATACCAGTGAAACATACAAAAATATGCATATACAATATATCTTAAGAATGTTTGTATACATGGATTAATGGATCCATGTAAACTGATTAATACCTTATGTAATACTTCCATACATTTAATTAAACATTTTAGCCCTAAACATACTGCCTCAGAAGACTTTTAGTCTTTTAGTTACTTAATCTCGATGATTAAGTACAAAAACTTATTAGGATTCTAAAATGAATAATCTTGTAATAAAGAAATCCTTTTCTACCACATGTCATAGTTTAACTCACCTGACCATGCGGCAGCGATGCTGGGCCAGGCGAGTATAAGCATTTCCGACATCGGTCACGCTTGCATCACTCCATAACCTCTCAGCGACGGCACTGGCTCTTGGCCTGCAAGAACAAAAATAAAACCACACTATATTAATAAATAGATTTATTTATTACAAGATATGAGATATACAGCTAGTTTGCTGTTGTTTGTAATTTTACACCTATAACGTGTATGCAGGATCCAGACCTTGGTTTACTTTAAAATTAAGGACCTGTTTACAAGTCAGATAAATTCAAGGACAATAATGTGTTTTTGTTTAGTTTTTTCATAGATCTGATATATCTACAGTTTGTTTGGACATCGACACAATTCTAACATTTTTGGCTCTATACACAAACACATTGGATTTGAAATGAAACTAACAAGATGTGCTTTAACAGCACACTGTCAGCTTTAATTTGAGGGTATTCACATCCAAATCAGGTGAATGCTGTAGGAATTACAACAGTTTGCATATGTGCCTCCCACTTGACAATTGGCTTCTAAGCTGTTCCATGTTATTCCCTCATTATCCCAATCACAATGAGTAGATAAAAGGTCCAGAGTTCATTTCTTTTTAAATCCATTGTGTCGGTGTATAAAGCCAAAAATGTTAGAATTGCGTGGCTGTACAAATATTTATGGACCTAACTGTTATAAAATGTAGCCCTGGACCACAAAACCAGTCTAAAGATATATATTTTTGGGAATAGCCAACAACACATTGTATTAGTCAAAATGATCTTTCTTTCATGCCAAAAATCATTAGAATATTACGTAACAATCATGTTCTAAGAAGATATTTAGTACATTTACTACTGTAAATATATTAAAACTTAATTTTGTTTAGTAATGTACATTGCCAAGCACATTATACAGAAAACTCTAAAAGCAATTTTTCTGAGCATTTAGGTTTTTTAAACCCTGAGATTCCAGATTTTAAATCATCTTTTCTCTGCCAAATAGTGTCCCATCCTAAACAACAAAATATCAATGCTTTGCTTATATATTCAGGTTTCATGTGATTGTATTTTTTACACACATAACTGGTTTTGATGTCCAGGGTCACAACTGGTTTGATATGAACTTTTTAGATACATTTTTGTGCCTGTAAAACATTGAGGTACCATCATCTGAGTTTTGTGGGTAAACATCAAGGCAACACGCAAACTCCCTCACGCAGGAAACACTAAATGTGGTGCGTGAATAGGCCATGCAGTGTTGTTGAAATAACACATCAGTAGACTGGAGGGAAATATGGATTATTTTTCTAAAAAACTTCTAGGATCTCTATAGATTTGTTTAAAAAAAAAATCAGGCCCTAAAAATTTGATTCACAAACTTTCGAGGCTTTAAAAGGGCCCATGCAGACCCTATGGTTTGTCTGAAATTTATAGAGAGGTTGGTCTATATTTTAGCTTAAGGTTTACAGTCATACCAGAGTCGAGGAGTGAGGTTGGTGGCGTCCACATACTCTCCCCAAAGACAAGCCTCTCCACCAATCACCAGCTTCTTCTGTGCATCTGTGCCTGTGGTCAAAATGTCACAAGTTAAAGCAACAACCACAAACGAATGTGTAAAACGAAGTTATTCAAGATCATTTAAAGAGCTAGAGGTTGACACTAGGCATCTCATTAGGGGGTACATAAATGAAAAACAGGTGTAAAGAAGTGATCCCATTTGAGTCTGAAAATTTAAACAGTTATACTATTGTAACTTTATGTCAAACACCTGAATACCTGCAGACAAAGCAAACCATTAAATCAGGGTGGCTGAATCGACGTATATCAATCAGCTTGTACAAATACTCAGTCACATGACATGCACGTTTGTTTGCACACCTACTAAAGGAAACCACCTTTGCTATTGCACAGTTCTGAATTTGAACTGATGTTTATTAATTTAAGGATATGAAAATATCTACTGCAAATATTCTCTACAATCACATGCCACCTTTGTTATTCACCCCATTAACCTTTAAAACCATTTAAACCAATCACAGTTTCTACAGTATAAACAATAGAAAATTCATCCCTTATCAACTTTGTTAAACTAGTCGACTCCAACAGTTCATATATTAACCCTATTAACATTGTTTAAATGTATTAAACAGCCTAATTTAATTAACAGTCCATTTTTTACTCTTGAAACCTTCATGTTGTGCTATTTTGCAAACAATGCGCTGAACATAAACGGAGGCCAAAATGAATCCACAATCTTGATTTGCGGTTGACACACACCGTTGAAGTTTTGGGGGTCAGCTTTGTAAATATCCACCCAGTCCTGGCCGTAGCTGACTCGGTTGAGGTACCAGGGTGTGGAGAGCAGAGCGCTGAAACCAGCCGCCGTTACCTTCGCCATCTCATCCTGGTATTGCGGCCTGCCTTTCCACACATGGATCTGTGTGTCGGCTTTCAGCTACATGCGTACACATACACACGCATGTATAACATAAAAACTGCCATACATCAACAGATAGATGCATCCCTCTGGACTCCATTTAAGCTGAGGCTTTTCAAACTTGGTATCAGATTTATTTTGATATCAAGCTTTTCCAAGACTAATGACTTATAGATCTAAGAAGAACTGAGCTTTAAAAGCGACAAATCCATATAAATGTGGATTATGTGGCTTTAAATGAGTTGTTTAGCTATTAGACATAAAACTATTGGTTATTTTATCTTAAATGCAGTCCAGAGAAATACACCAATTGTGTCGTCTTTTCCTGGAAGGAACGCTGAATCAATTTGCATGCCTGCTAATTAGATCAATAATTTATGGCCTCTGAAAAGCAGCATGCAAGGTGAAATAAAGGTTTAAGTGGTGATAGCGGATTTTAATCAGGCTCAAGGAATAATAAAGGAAGAGTGAAGGCAAAGCATACACCATTCAAATTTAGAGTCAGTAAGATTTGTTTTATGTCTTATTATTATTAAGCAAGTTTAAAATAAATAGCTCAATGGCATTAATTGGTGTTAGAAAACTTTCGGTAACACTTTATTTTGATGGTCCATATGAGTATTAGTAGACCGTTTGGTTAATATCTGTTGATACTGCTTTTTCAACAGACATTAAACTGACTATAAGAAATTATCAAGAACATGTCCAGGGTATATGCAGGAATTTTTAAGGTAATTTCAATACCTTTTTAAGATTTTTTAAATACATTCTCTGAATATTTTAAGACCTCATCGCCACTTTAAGTTCTAATCACTTTTCACTTAATAAACAACAGTTGCCGTTAAATAAATAGAACAGAACTCAGATAAGCTTGGAAGAAACAAAGATCGAAATAATAAGTTACGTGGTTGTTTTCAGCAACAAGCTTCAGCCACTGTTTAAACTCGTCTTTCTCCAACTAGGAGTACGCAAACTTACATTTTTGTATTTTGCCGTCTGTTTCGCTCTATGGTTTTGCTACATGTGGAGAGCGTCACATCACCTTCCTGCGTTTGTCGCCAATTACATGACATCATCTGTACTGAGGAGCTTGGCCGGACGCTCCCCGACCCGAAGCAGTTGTGTAGATCAAGCACGTCGTTGTTAATATTAGGAGGAAAATAAATGTATTTATGCTTTTCGGAGTCAAACACTTTGGACAACGCTTGAACAAAAATTGAGACCTCGTAAAAACGCAATTAAGACTTTTTAATACCTTTTAAGGGCCTTTATTTTCTCATAATTGATTTATCAACTTTAATAGCTGTTGAGACCCCGCGGACACCCTGATGTCAACTTACACTAACCCTAACCCTAACCCCAACCTAACAGTCTACTTATCTAATGAGAATTATTTGTCATGTAGATGCAATGTAATTTAAATTCAACAATCGGACCATCAAAATAAAGTGACCAAACTTTCTTTTAATTAAAGACCTCAGCAGGATCAAATGACATGAGAGCTGCTGAAACATTAGAATAATTAGCTTATATTGAAAATACTAAAATACACAATTATCTTGTTATAACATTACTGGTTTCACTGCATTTTTGCTAACAAATTTAACCATGAATTCATTAAAACAACTATCTTACTGACTTTTGGATGGCACTATATTTAGTTTGGCACTTTGTGGACCGTGTGCTTTCCAAACTGTGCTGGAGAAAGTGGTTTCAATATCTATTGAAGATGTGTGAGGAGCTCAGAGGTGAACAGAGGTGGTTAAACACTATACTTTTAGACAAGCCTAGACAAAACAAAAACAGTGAAAAGTAAAAGCAAAAGCTATAGCTAGACTAACAACAGCACAAACCTGCAATCTCTACTCAAACTATATCCTCAACCCCCAAATCCTTTGAACATCATGCCAACATCCATGCCAATTTTTAGGCCAAAAAAAAAAAGTTAAAGTGATCAAGAACCTATTGAAGGATCTTTATTTGATTAAAACTGTAGAGTCTAAACCGATATTCTTAACCCCCAAGTTAAGAATAAGCCAACAACACATCATATCCATCACACAAAACTGCTAAATTCAATAAACGAGTGATTTTGACATCACTGGATTACTAAACACTATGCTAGTGGTGCTAAAAGAAATCAAAAAGAGTTTGACTGAAGAAACTGACCAGTGAAATCAAGTGGCTCAACTTTGTAGTAGCGTTGCCAGTCCTGTCCATAGCTAATGTAGTCCAGGTACCAAGGGGCAGAAAGAATGGTTGTAAATCCTGCCCCAGTCACATTCTGGAGCTCCTCCTTCATATCGTTCCCTTTCCACACCTCCACAACAGTGTCATCCTTTAGCTGGAACATGCATAAAGCACATTATGTGCCCCAATCAATTTCTGTTTGACTGTTAATAAATTGTTATGGGCAAGCAAATAACATCCTAATGCGAGCAAGCACAGGCAAAAACAGTAAATTAGTCGCATGTTAGCAGTGGCTTGTGAAAATGTGATCACGCAAGTCTTGCTATTTGTGATTAAGAAGGTTAAGGAAAAATAGATTAGGCTTTGATTTGGAGTCTTTTAAAGTCACAAAGCATTCAGCAGCAATACAATTCACCCAAATTACAACTTAATTTAATAGACAGATCGGAAAGAAGACCTGAATGTGACTTCCCAAAAGCACAAACCTATCCACAGAAATAAGAAGAGATAAGCCTTACCTTGACCCCGTTATCAAACACCTCCTGCCACACCATGTAACCTTTTTTGGTAGCAGCCACAATATCAAGTAACCTGTTTGTCAAAGATGAGAATGGCTATATTCAATAATGACTTTGTCAGATTGTATTCAGATTTTTTTTTAAATACAAACACAATTACATACAATTAGGGGAACCAAAAGGCAAGCTATCATACCCATCTTGTTATTTACACAATGCAGACAATAGTGTGGCAATAATCTGCATTCACTTTTTGTAGCAGCACTTGTTCTATAAGTATTTTCCCATATTAATTGTAAACCGTTTTTGTTGTGGTTGAACATTTCGTGCTGCAGCTCTCTGATTAGTAGAATTGTCAAAATCCACTATCAAACTACATACACCATTAATCAAGGGTGCCCAAACTCGGCCCTGGAGGGCCAATGTCCTGCAGAGTTTAGTTCCAACTTGCCTCAACACACCTGTCAGGATGTTTCTAGCAAGCCCAGTAAGAGCTTGATTACCTGGCTCAGATGTGTCTGATTGGGGTTAGAGGTAAATTATGAAGGACTCCAGGTCCTCCAGGACCTAGTTTGGGCATCCCTGCCATTAATGATTCTCTTAACAGCAGTTCTGTCGTTAAAGATTTACAACGGGGAAAATAAATATTAAACACGTCACCATTTCTTTCACAAAACTTATTTTTAAGGCTGCATTTACACTGCACTGTTCAAGTGACTTAATTCTGATTTATTTCTCCCATGTGGAACAGATTGGATATGGCGCTTGTGCATGTAAGCAGGAAAAAAATCACATGGATTCCGATTTACTCAAATCAGATTCAGGCCTAGTTCGTATGTGGAAATTTATCCGGCATGAATCGGATATGTGCTCTTGTGTCTGCAGTGTAGACCGGATTTACACCTGTCAATGCGAGTCACATGTCATTAAAAACCACAGCAAATGACGTCAACTCTGACGTTTTCATTTCAGTATAGACATCAGGAGAGTCCCAAACCATTAATCTCATACTACAAGGACTAAAAAGGAGAGAGAGAAAGATCAACATCCACCACGTAACCAATATAAATAATATAAGACTGTTGCATAAATCATGCCGTGGAAATTACGATTAAGATGCCTATTGTCTTGTATTAAAAGGTTTAGGTTTAAAAATGTCTAGATTAAAAGATGGCAAAATGAGAACTTTTCTGTTATAAACTATAGTAAAACAACTTGTCAAAAAGATTTTTTTAAATTAAACCCTGCGAACACATTAAATACAGGAATGGAGAAAAAAATGTTTTCAGTCAACGCCCACTCTTTTTTTCATGTCATTGCACCTTTGCTGTGTAATGCAGACAATACGATACAAGTCACTTTTAAAAGATGATGTAAGCTGGTCATCAAAAACATCGAATACAGTCACAAAATCGGGATTGACCCTCAAAATCTGCAGTGTAAATGCAGCATAAAGATGTCGTTGACTTGAAATTTTTCCCCGGATGCTGGTAAAAACCAAAGAAGTCCATATGCAAAGAAAACTAATCTAATTAGTTTACAAATTAAGTGTTGTGTGAAAAAATGAAATGCTGCAGGAAAAAAGTATTAAACACATAAAGAAAGGAGGGTGTAGAAAGACAGTGAAAGCCCTGACAGCAGCTGAAACATCTCTGTAGTTTTTCAGCAACTCTCTGCCCTTCATCATTGTAAATTAATATGTAATATAGCTGCTTCAGTCCAGCATTTACATTAGCAGGATGACATTTCAGCAAGACAACGATCCAAAACACAAGGAAACTCTCAACTTCTTTCAGAGTAAGAAAATTAAACTGTAGAATGGCCCAGCCAATCACCTGTCTTGAATCCAATATAAAATACAAAATAAAGATCAGATTTGACAGACAAAATCATGAACTTCGTTCTCCATATAGAGGCTGCCATCACCAAAAGAGCCTTTTATATCAATTATTAAATGTTTCAGTAGTTCAGTACTTTCTCCTCGTGTCATTTCATTATTACACACAACACAGTTTCAGTTTTTTTATTATTATTTTTTTTATGTTTGTATAGTCCAATTTACCAAAATTTGGTTCAATTCCATGTCAACAGCTCTTTAAAAATATTAATCCTAGAAAAAAAACATGACATGCTCAATACTTATTTTCCCCACTATATTATCGGTTATTGCATATACGTTTTGTTTTTACTATTGTGCTCCGTAATACATGGACTTCCTCACTGTACTGAAACTCTGACCTTTGAATGTAGAAGGACTCCAGTTTGCTGTAGTCTGTGCCAAAGCCTTGCTGATTCATAAACTTCTGAATATCAGGATTGGACTTCCTACAGGAACAGTAAGTGGAATGCAAGCATGAACTTTAACCGTAAAAACAGTTTATTGTGTCATTACTGGCTCTGGGTTCTTTTTCTGGGCAAGGATGAAGGCAATAATAAGCTTCTCCTCCTCACCAACAAGAAAAGTCGACCTCATCTCCCCCTAGGTGAATGTAAGCGTCAGGAAAGACGGTGCTGATCTCTTTGAAAAGCTGTGCCATGAACTCATAAGAGGAGTTTAAGATGGGGTTCACGGGCCCAAATGATCCTGAAGGACTAGAGCCACTGTAACAAGGTGTTAGCAGATCCTTTATGCCTGAAGGAGGAAAACACAGATAAACAGTTGTTGTCATGTTTCATTTAAGAGACTTAACAAACATCTATAAAGCAGTTATGTATGATGTCCACTGACTAACCATTGCCCCATGACTGCGTGTGCCCTGGGGTGTCGAACTCCGCAACGACCCTGATCCCCCTCATGCGAGCAAATTCAATGACCATCTTCACATCAGATGGAGTGTACACATGTGTAAATGGGTGATAGGCTCCCTGTTAACCACAAAAAATAGGAAAAAACATGATCAGAAAGAAAAACACTCGTCCAGTCAGTTTTCAGCTAATAACAGTGGCAGTTGAGTTCTACAGCCCCAAAACTTGAAAACATTCAAGCTAATGCTTTGTATATGAGGTGAAATTTCTACATTGTTTAAATCTCTATTTAATTTCTACTATATGCCCATCCCTTACCTTTCGCTTCCAATGCAGCAAAAACAAAACAGTAGATGAGAAACTATTTTAAAAGCATGGCTTTATATATAATTCTTTCAATAAATCAGTGAACTTATGACAAGCTGTTTTAATATTTAATCAATAGCCTGTACTAATATCTATTTTCATGTTACTAGTACTTATTTTTTAAATAGTAGTATTTTTTCCATTATTACTAGTACTTATTCATTAGATACTAGTGCTTTTTAAAATATACTAGTGCATACTCATTAGACACTATTTTTTTTTGGTTACTAGTATTTGTTCATTCGTTACTAGTACCTATGAAATAGATAATAGTACTTCTTTATTACTGGTAATAAAGTACTGGTATCTATTAAAACAATACTAGAATCTAATGAATAAGTACTGGTATATAATAAACAAATACTAGTGTTTATTTTATAGGTACTAGTATATATTAAGTACTAGTATCTAATAAATATGTACTAGTATGTAGTTAATAAGTACTAGTATCTAATGATTAACTAGTACATGAAAATTATGTACTAGTCCCAACTGGAATACATACTAGTCAAAACTGAATAGTTCACATCTCAATGACAGATCCCCAAAGAAATCAATGGAGTTTTTAAATGTGTTACTAGTAAGAACAGAATAGTTACTAGTCACTGCTAAAAATAAGTACTAGTATCTAATGAATAAGAACTAGTCTATTTAATAGGTAGGAGTATCTAATGAATAAGTACTAGTACCTATTAAATACATACTAGTATCTAACGCAGGGGTGCCCAAACTTTTCCATATGAAGGGCCAAAAACCAAATATCACTGAGAGCTGTGGGCCGAAGGTAAATATACCAAACTATATTACGTTAAAGTTGCCATGGGTAATTTTCCAGTTTATTTCATAATAATTGAAATCTTTACTTTAAATTGTATTAGCTAATGCAGTATAACATTTTAAGTGATAACTTGTTGCTATGAAAACAATAACAATCACAATTATACCACAGTGGGGATGAAGACTGAATACTCTAGTAAAGCAGAATCTTCCTTGGACTTGATTTGCTCACCAAAGTCTCTGCATTGTTGGGTAACGGTATCAGGCTTTCTGCAGGCTTCATTAAGTTCAATTTAAGACTTTTTAAGACCATTATGAATGAAACTTTAGACTTAAACGGGGCTAAACACTAATGTTTATTTAATGGTTTATGCTTGCCGCAAAAAAAAAAAAAAAAATTTCTTAGAGACATAGTTTAATGTGTAAAAACGAGAAAAATTGTTGTATATACTTTTTTTCAACATTTTGAAAAAAATTGAAAATTGTGTAAGTTTTTAGTTTTCTTTCCCTGATTTTAGCCAGATTTGGTAGCTTTAATTGGAAAAAAGGAAAATCAAGGTCTGTTTAAAATGATTTAAGATATACAACACAATATTTAAATGATTTTAAGACATTTAAAAACTTTTTAAGACCCCGCGGACACCCGGAGTATGTATATTTAAAAAATCTGATTAAATAATTTCATATAATTAAAACATTTAATTTTAGTTAGCTTTTAACAATAAAACAAACAAAGGGTTACATTAAATTTGAATTGACAATCTCAAAACCATCCCCATCATTCTTCCTTTCTTCTCAGAGGGATGGAGGGAGAAATCAAAGGTTACCACAGGCCAACTTTGGCCCGCAGGCCGTACTTCGGGCATCTCTGATCTAATGATTAGGTACTAGTACCTAATGAATGACTACTAGTATCTAATAAAAAAATAACTAGTGTCTAATGAGTCAGCACTAATATATTTTAAATAAACACCATGGCGATAAATGAGCTCTAAGAATAGGCACTAGTATCTAACGAAAAAGCACTAGTATCTAATGAATAAGTACAAGTACTTAATGTAGTATCTAAAAAATAAGTACTAGTAACATGAAAATAGATCCTAGTTCAGGATACTGATTAAATGTCGTGAATTTGCATTGGTGATTTAAGTGTTTTTGTAACACAATGGGAACGCCTGACATTATTTCATTGGCCAGATGATAAATAATGAAATCATAATAATGCTGTAGATTATTAACATGGCATCCAATGCCACCTTTGCTGTTTTTGTGCTTTATTGTGAGGTTTCATGGTTCTGCCATGGTACTATAGCATAAACACTCATGGACGCTCTTAAACAACTGCTCTTTAGTTCAATCAAAATGAAGACATTGCATGACATTTGTGCGTGCATGGAATAAAACAATATACTGTAGCTTTATAGAAATGTCATATGACAAAAAAAAACCTATTCTTCTAACCAAAGGTCAAGAGCTGTGGTTCCAAAATGTGGTAGTTCATTGGAACTATGTATACAGGAAAGGCAAAAAAGCTGAAGTATGTTGGTATGAAGGAACTATAATTTGGCAAACAATGCTATTTTGGATATGCACCTATCTAATCAGTGAGGCAGTCAAGCATAAATCCAAAAATAGCCATGTCTGAATTCATCACATACTGACCTTTTGGCTCAACTCTGGGAAAGTACGGCTCATAAAAGGAAACGACGGATCATCCACAATGTGCCAGTGGAAGACGTTAAACTTGTTCATGGCCATAGCTTCCTGTAAAAAAAAAAAAAAAAAACATTTCATTGTTGAATATTGAAAAACATTTTATAGGCAACAAAACACCATCCTCACACCTATCATTACACATACTCCACCCACCCGAACAATTTAAATACCTGTTTTGACCCCGCCCAATTTATATGATTTTTAGCTGCACGCCGTCAGCACCACAGACTACAGAGAGTTTGAATGCATTTATGTGCGCATCTGTGTTCAATAACGTCTGCGTGCTTGCTCTAAAAATAATTCTGTTATGGGTCTAATGAGCAGTATTGCGGTTAAAATGATCATTTCAGACAGCTATGTAATGCCAAGCAGCAACAGATGACTTCAATGTTAGCTTAGGAAGAAAAACAATGCTACTGTATGTGACTTGGTTGATCCAGTAGCCTATATAAGCTCAGGTTAAAAAAAATCTAATTTTCAGTTAGACAGAATTTCTACACCTGCTAATGTTATTGTAGCTTTTAGGAATTTATGCTGCACAAAAACAATTAGCACCAGGAATGTAAATCTATTTTTTGTGCCATTACATGTGTTATGCATGAAAATAAAGAATAATGATCAATATTTTCATATAATTTGCCTGCATATTAATTTTGTCGATCTGTTATTGATATGACAAATAGTGATTCAATACTAGGCATGGGACAATAATCCTGTTCAGGATATACCACGGTTTGGAAAAGTCAAGGTTTTAAAACCGTTAAAATGTTCTGCTATACCGTTCCTAAGGTGTAAGATTTTTTTATTTACTTTTTTTTGTTTTTAGGACAGCATTATCTCCAGCAGAAAAGATATTTAAAGCTGCCGTTTTAAATTGTTAAAAAAGTTTGAGTCTTTGAAACAAATGAAGACAGCAGAAGTCAATAATTAATTAGAATTATTTAGCCTGACATGTTCAGCTACTGTATCAAAATAATTTAAATGTTTCCCAAATTAAAATATATTGTGTTTAAAGGGGAAAAGGTTTTGTTTTTTACCCAGACATTTAAAACTAATATGTTTTAGAGCGGTAATTGCAATTCCGTGAAACCGTAATATTTATATCCAAGGTTATTATAGCGTCAAAAATTTATTATGGTTACATGCCTATTCAGTACACACAGTTAATTTAGTATCATTTATTTATTTTTTAGGTTAGTTTGAAATAAATTTGTTTAATCAGCCTATTTTTTCTTGATTGTGTATCATTATACTGTAGTACCTAATATATATATATATATATATATATATATATATATATATATATATATATATATATATATATATATATATATATATATATATATGTAAATGCAGGAAATGGGGTTTAAATAGATTTTGTGAGATTGGTACCCCTTGGTATGAATATGTGACAAATTTAATGAAAGATCAAATGACAGAACCTCAGTCAAACGTTTACCCTACTGTGCACAAGTTGCAAATGTTCTAGATAATTGATGTGATTAACACCTTAACTGTCTTGTGATTTCTGTCATGTGTAAATCTAAAAAATCCCTTGACTTTCCAGTCTCATAAGTTAAATAACTTCCTTCAGTTGTTTAGGTGACGTTAGTCTTTTAATGAGGAAGTCAAGTTTATTACCATAAGCTCAATCGGCAATTATTGGTGCAGCATAAAATCTATAAACATCACACAATACAAAACAAGTAACAACACACAAATAAAATCTTACAGATTTATAAGTCTTACAGCAGTGGGAATAAAAGAACGTCTATATCTATTTCTTATACCGAGCATTCATGAAACTCCACAATTAATCTGAGCCAATATGGCCAAAGTGCCTCTCTAGACCCTTTATCATGAAGCAAAAGACTCACCAAGTTGGCCAAAATGACTTTGAGTGGCAGAAAATGGCGAGACGAGTCCAGAAGGATTCCTCGGTGGGCAAACCGTGGAAAATCTGATATGTCGGTCTTATTAATATTTCTCTATTGGGATAAAAAAAACTTATTTGAGAAGTGTTTACATATATGCATTGATTAGATTCATTAATATATGCAGCAAAAATACATTACTACAATCCAATAAATAAGGTTTTGCTTTAAACTTACAACTCCATAGTCATCCTCATAGACCAACTGGCTGAATGTTTCCAGTCCTTAAACAAAAAAGAAAGGACTTTACACACCAATTTAGTTATAAATTTACATAAAATGTATGGACAAGATAATGACTGCAATCCCTTTCTCTCATAATCTCTCATTTAGGGATTGCTGGCAGTATAATACCAATCCTTAGAAACAACAAATCTATTTTAGAAGATTGAAGTGCAGCTCATTAGAAAGGAAATAAGCCGCAATCTTGAAGTCTTTGTGGTTGCTAAATGTGATAAGCTGTTACATATTACACCCTGTTAAGCATTTCCTTTCATGCAGACACTATTAAATGTCATTAAGAAAAATATTTCAAGGCTTGTCAGTATGTTAGGAGTTTGTACAATGTATTTTTGTACTTTTTTCAGATTTTCAAAGATATACTCAGCAAAGCTGTATTTTTAATAAGTCAAGCTAACACATTATTGTATTCAAATAATGTATTTTCTTTGCTCTGCCATACCATTCCCAATGTTTTTTTTAAATACATTGGATTTGAATTTTGACCTTAAAGCAACACAGAGCAATAAAAAGCAACAATTATTAAGTCAGAAAAGAAATGCAAACAAAACAAACAAAAAAAGATTTTGAAAACCATTACTACTTCAGTTCCTCCAGCATTATTCATGGGTTAACAATGTTACACATACATTTCTAGGCCAGTGGGCACAAGCAATAAGGTGATCTTGCAGACGAGGACAGGGTTATACCTTTAAACTGTTATCCTTGACATTTGACAGGAAATTAAAAAAGGTTTTCAGGTGGCTTCGAATCCAGCATTGTCATCAGATAGATTGCGTCTCTCTAAATGTAAAGTGCTAGAAAATTCTGAAAGCCAGTATTTAAAAATGGGGTTTTGATGCTTTTTTTCATTGACAAAGAATTATTGTTTTAGCTATCATCATACCATATTGGACATGTAAAGTTTTTTTATGCATTTTTCGTGTTGTTAAGAAATTTGTATTTTTGAGACTAATGAAGAGTGCAGAAGTCAATGATTTATTTTCACTATGTAGCCTGACATGTTTACTGCACCAAAATATTAGAAATATTTCTTAAAAATAAAATATAATGTGTTCAATGGGGGAAAAGTTATTATTTTTTACCCATTTGAAATAACTTATTTTAGAGCAGTAATTACGACACCATGGTAAAAATGTTATCCTACCGCCAGAAACTTAAATGAATTATACATTTATTAATTTTATTTTTTGCAATAAAATCACTTATGATTAATTTAATACATCCTTTTTAATGTTGTGCATGTCCAAGCGAGTGCTTGTTTGTGGTATTTACTGTACAGCTCCATTTCATTGTGAAGTTTTGCTTACCTCGCAAAGCTCCCCATACATTAGCAGCTTTGAGCACAGCTGAGGTTTCATCAACCGACAGCGAATCTACAAAGAGAAAGCATATCTTTACACAACTAAAACACTGACTGGTTTATACCAACACTGTTTAAAGTTGATATCCTGATGCAGCTTCTCTGATAACATCCCAAGAAAAGTGTTTACATTAAACTTGGGTCAAGTGTTACTACATCTAAAAAGAGCTTCTATATTACGGTAATTCGTTAACCGGATTAGACCTCCGACAGTCTGTTAGTGGATTTGGCCATCTTCTTTCGGATTACAGATCATTGAGGATCACGGAGGCGGAAGAGAAAAGAGCTCACATGACTCGTCGGTTCGAAGACTCGGGTAACCGTCGCACTCCGGATCAGCTGATGTGATCCATACCTGCAGCTCCGAGAGATCTGAATCAAACGCTTTCTTTCGGCTTTTCTCCTGCCTTTTCAGCTCTCCAAACATGTATTCAAAATATCTGCAAGGCAAAGCAGTCAGTTCATGACTCTGCTTACTGTATATATTGACAGGGAGCTCACATGAATCACGTGCTAATACTTCCTGTTAAGGCAAAACCGCAGCGCCATTCATAACACAATATCGGCGTAAATGCGATCGAGAAATATTATACAGTAACAATTACCTGCGAAATGCATTCTCGAGTAGACTGCAGCTCGGTCCGGCGGTGGACTGTTTGGCGTGGACGATTTGAAAGCTGGCGGCGCTGAGTTTAAAAGCGACCGCGGACGACTGGTATTTCTGCGGTAGAGGCCATAGAGAGATTTCATCCAGCTCTTTCTGTTTTTCAAAAAGATCTCCAAAAAGCCAGCCGTGACATACGGCTACCACCAAAAACAGAGGGGTAAACTTGAGCAGACAGAGCATGGTTGTGTTGAGCGGTCAGCTGACTGACTCTGCTTCCAGTCTGAGCGGAGGACTGTTCGTGTGTGTGTGGATGTGCTGTGCGAAGCTCAAAGCCAAAGGCGGTGTTTACCTCGACTCAACCCAAGTCATGGGACCTTCCAAACCGTCACACCTTCCCCTCCTAAAGAACATTTGACCTGCACAGATTACCAAACCTCAGCGTTTTATCTCTCGAGCAAAATAGTTAAATGTAGGCTACACAAATGAAAAAAATCTGTATGCGGTAATACTTGTGTTTCTGAACCATGTATGGTAAATTGATGTGGTAATTATATATTATATGGCTTTGGTAATACAACAACTATAGTAATAATATAGAAATATATGACCCATTTTAGTTTTGTGCAGTTTACTGTAGTGAAGACTAAAGTATGCTAAACGGCGAAATACAGTTTACTATAGTCAATATTACAGCATAATTACAGTAATACTTATGGCAAACCTTAGCTGAAGTAGCAATTACTGGCTTATTATATCATTATTAAGATATTGGCAGTTTATTAAAGTAAGATCACTTTCTACATCCAAAAACACAACTACTACCTTACTAACTTAAAAAGCTACATATAGTGCTTTATTGAGCTAACTGTTTGTTAATGGTTTGTTAATAGTGACAAATGTACCCTATGGTTAGCAGTGTCGCCTCACAGCAAGAAGGTTGCTGGTTTGAGTCCAAGCTGGACCACGAGGCATTTCTGTGTAGAGTTAGCATGTTTTCACCGTGTCTGCCTGGGTTTCCTCTTGGTGCTCCGGTTTCTCCCACAGTCCAAAGATATGTGGTGTTGGTTAATTGAATAAATTAAATTGGTCATAATGTGTGAATGGCAGAGTGTGAGTGTTTGCCAGCACTAATGGTTACACCTTCTCTGTGTAAAACATATGAGTAATTGGTGGTTTTATTCCACTGTTGTGACCTTTGATTAAGCAGGGATATTGAAAGTGACACTACTATACTAAACTACTAAAGTTTGTACACTACTATAATTTTTACGACAAATCACTATAGTATTTTATCATGTGGGTAACTTGCAAAACTGGATAGTGAAACAAGAAAAATGGCTGAGGGGAAAATACAATCGTTCTACAATTGCCACAGCTAAAACAGCTAAATCCTTTTTACAGTTTGCAAGATGAGTCAATTAAAACAGAGGTGACAGACTTCAAACATGTTTCAAAATAAGTCATTAAAATGGTAACGCTCTCAGCAAAATGTGTATTTCCATAGCACAATAATTGCTAAATGTCTGATATCATGGTATTTAAATCAAAAAGAGGGACAAATTGAAATGCTCTTTTGTAAAACTAGTTGCTTTAATTATCTTCCACTCCTGGTTACTGTATTACTGCAAACTTACTCTGGCTTTATGTGTACACTACACTCTCTTAGTTTTGGACAGTTTCAGTCTTTAGTTTTTCTTCAGATTAGTCCCTTTATTTATCTGGTGTCGCCACAGCAGAATGAACTGCCAACTTATCCAGCATATGTTTTACACAGCAGAGGCCAAGCAGCTGCAACCCAGTACTAGGACACATCCATACACACTCATTCACACACATACACTACGGCCAAATTTGTTTATTTAATTCACCTGTACGCCATGTCTTTGGACTTTAGTGGAAACCGGAGCACCCAGATCAATATGCAAACTCCACAAAGAAATGCCAATTGACCCAGTTGGTTTTCAAATCAGCAACCTTCCTGCTGTGAGGCGACAGTGCTAACCACTGAGCCATCGTGTTGCCTGTCTTTGACAGTATAACGCTCTGAATACTTTTATTTCTATCAACACTTCAGTTTTTATCTTCAGAAAAACACAAACACCTAACTCTCATATGTCATCATTCACTGAAGGCGTCCAAATTTAGTGGCATTGAGGATCAATAATTAAAATACTTAATCTGATTCATTTTATATGGCAAGTTATAAATCTGCCACATACAGTTGAAATCAGAAATAATAGCCCAACTTTGAATTTTGTTTTTCTCTTTAAAATATTTTTCCAATGCTGGGAGCAAGGAAATTTTCACAGTATGTCTGATAATATTTTTTCTTCTGGAGACAGTCGTTTTATTTCACCTAGAATAAAAGCAGTTTTAAATTTTTAAACACCATTTTAAGGACAAAATGATTTTCCCCTTTAAGCAATTTTTTTTTCGATAGTCTACAGAACAAACCATCGTAATACAATAACTTGCCTAATTAACCTAACCTGAATAGTTAACCTAATTAATCTAGTTAAGCCATTAAATGTCACTTTAAGCTGTATAGAAGTGTCTTGAAAAACATCTAGTCAAAAATTTATTTACTGTCATCATGGCAAAGATAAAATAAATCAGTTATTAGAAATGAGTTATTATGTTTAGAAATGTGTTGAAAAAAAATCATCTCTCCGTTAAACAGAAATAGGGGTAAAAAAATAAACAGGGGTGCTAATAACTCAGGGGGGCTAATATTTCTGACTTCAACTGTATATTAAACTGCAAACTTCACTAGTAAAGCTAATCACACTCTTTCAGAAAAAACTCACAAGTATGCATACTACTTATTCTGGACAAATACTTCAGTACACAAGTCCCTGGTTATTTTTGTACTGGTTTTACCACGTCTGGGCCCTTCATGTTCTTGTTCAGTTGTATTAACAATGTTATGCCTTGTATTATATTTATTACATTATTACATTTTTGCAATGTTTACACATAATATTAATTTTAATTTTGTTGCAAAATGACTATAAAGATATTAATATTCTTATTTCAGATATACTTTTTACATAACACAGCCAACACTTGAACATACCAAGAAAACAAATATTTTACATATGCTTATTAATGAGACACTTTAACTTTGCCCCAAATAATGACATGAGATGCAAATGATGAAACCTAAAAATAAGATATCAGAAGCCTAAATAAGAGGGTCACTGTCCTGCAGAGTTTGTCTACAATCAGCTTCAGCATATTTTCCTGGAAGTTTCTCGTTAGTCTAAAAACCTTGATTAGTTAGTTTAAAAGTGTTTAAGGGTTGAAGCTAAAGAGTGGCACTACAGCATAGGTCTCAAACTCAATTCCTGGAGGGCCGCAGCTCTGTACAGTTTTGCTCAAACCCTACTCATTCACAGCTGATCCAACTAATCAAGGTGTTCAAAACAAGAGACTATTAATCAGGTGGAAGTTAGTGGTGGTTGGAGCCAAGATATGCAGAGCTTCGGCCCTCCAGGGATTGAGATTGAGAACATTGTCCTACAACAGGGGTGTGCAAACTCAGTCCTGGAGGGCCGGTGTCCTGCATAATTTAGTTCCTGCAACTTCCTGCAACACGCCTGCCTGAAAGTTTCTAGTATAGTTTCTAGGAAAGTTTCTAGGAGCGCGGGGCACAAAGTACGCAGGGTTTTAAGGTATTTCCCCAGGGTTTACCATGGCATGCTTCCGAGGTTTTCACCACAATGTTGGCAGACGTCTTCCTGCCAATTATTGAAAAATTTTGGCAAAATTTGGAAGAGAAACACAGCAGAAACCATTTTTCAGCAATAAAGTATTTTTAATATACTCTATATTTTTTATTTTTAAAAAATCTGTGAAAGTATATTAGTAAAATCTCATATTCTTGTGATCGCCATCTTCTAGGCTAAAAGATGAAACCATTTTAAAAGATGTAAGAAACACAGTAACTGCTAGCCAATTTGGAGGAAAACATGACAGCAGGGTTAGTTGTAACAGGGTGTTACAATTAAGCCACACACTGTTAAACACCACTTAAACAAAATATTTTTGTACGCAGCGGATGCCCTTAAAACCGCAACCCGTCTCTGGGAAACATCCACACACACACACACACACACACACACATATACACTACGGCAAATTTAGCCCAATTCACCTGTACATGTCTTTGTACTGTGGGGGAAACTGGAGCACCTGGAGGAAACCCACGCGAATGCAGGGAGAACATGCAAACTCCACAAAGAAACGTCAACTGAGCCGAGGTTCGACCCAGTGACCTTTTTGCTGTGAGGCGACAGCACTACCTACTGCACCACTGTGTCACCATGTTGAGAACTTTTTAAATAAAAATGTTTTTTAATAGAAAATATTGTTTTAATAAAAAAATAATAATAATAATAATAGCATATATATATATTATTGCTAATACTGCAAATAAAAGCATTGTATAATAATGGATAATAATGCAAATAGATTCAAATGTGTTTATCCAATAAACAAATAAATATATAAACATACTGTGCTATGTAGAATAAAAAAAGAAATGAGCCAATTACTGAGGAAATATAGCTAATATTTTAAATATAATATAAAAACTGAATTTAAATTAATTGTGTGAAATCTGCCTGTAAATTCATGTGTTACAACTATCCCTCTGTCTGTTACAACTTGCCCCGCAGGTAAGGTAAATAGTAACATTTTTACTCCTGGCATTTTTGGCAATACTGCACAGAAACCATTGGTCCGGGGATCATAATTCCAGTGCTCATTTGTAGAGGCTTGTGTGTTGTTGATAAAAAAATATGGTTTGTCTAACCCCATTACTTTGTTCATTATTGACCAAAACCAAAAAGTGTTACTTTATGCCCCACTTTCCCCATACCTAGAAAGAGCTTGATAAGCTGGTTCAGCTGTGTTTAATTGGGGTTGGAACTAAAATTTGCAGGACACTGGCCCTTCAGGACTGAGTTTGGACAACCCTGCCCTACAGGAACAGGTTCGGACCCCTGGCCTAAATAGATCATCTGCCAATAGTTTCCACAAGTCCGTGTTGTCCGCCAGATGGCGCTTCTTTGTGTTCCAAAAATGAAAAATGACTGTAGAACCAAACAGAATGTATTCGGAAGGATGTTGGAAACTGTTGGAAATCCATAGCAGGAAAATGAACAGTAAGTCAATGTTCACAGGTTTCCAACCTTTCCCAAAATATCTTCATTCGTGTTCATCAGGAAAGAAAATTAACAGGTTGACAGAATTTTCAAATTAGGGTGGACTATTTTTTATTTATTTATTTTTTTATTTTATTTATTAATCTTGTCATTAAGTATTCTTATTGTTATTATTATAATTATTGTTGTTTTTGTTTGTACAAACAGCCCTATAACTGTCAGTATTTGCACATATTTTGGATCAGCCACATATTTAGAGAAGGAGGTTCACGAGAGCCTCATTATTTAGTCCACCACATTACTACCCTAGACCCACAATGTACATTTTCCATTCAAACGTTCCATAAATCAATGGGGCATTTACAAGTATAATCAGACAATGCAAATGCACCTTTTGTTCAGTCGGGGGCGACATTGCGCTGTGAATTAAAATTCATAATCAATTCTGAAGCTCTGAACCAACAACCAACGTGTAAATGGCAGTGCATCCCAAAGCAATGAATAAACGAAGTTTAGGTTGGACTCTACGTGTATTTATTGTTTAAAAACCTTTACTTATTATTTTTTATATTACTATTATAATTATAATTATAATACCGTTCACTAGATAATGCAACGCAGAAATATGTGAATATATCCTTGATTCATTAATGCAATGATTTCTTACCCACATCTTCCCTGGAGCAGCCTAATAAAATTCCTTTATTTTATTAATGAGGCACACCAACGGCGTCCTTATCTGTTTTCTCGTCGGTTCATCAGTCGTTCTCCTCCCACATTCTCTTGAAGAGCAGCGGCGCTCCGCCCCCCTCTCTTTCTTTCTTCCTCCTCTAAAAGCTGTTCACACCCGTCAGCTGTTCACTATCCAGACCTGCACGCGCAGCGCCGGAGCTGCACGCTGACGAGACGAGTCAGTATATTTCTGCACGTCGGTAACAAAAATAGAGGAAGTCGTGCAGCTTTCCGTGTAACTCCGCAACAGTATACTAAACGTCATTTATAGGCTCGTTACTTACGTTAAACCTAGGTGGAATAAGTCACACTTTATTTGTTTATTCTGTGGTTTATCCACGCGACATCGCACGCTGTTGCCAGAGCTCCCAGCGCCGCCAGTGTTGTGACTCTGTCCGCGTCGCGTTGTGGCATGTTCGGCGACCAAAGCAGACGAAACTGAAATCCTCATTGCTCCTGAACAGGTAAGATTTCCATGTTCATGAATAGATATCTATTATATGATAATAAAGATATGTTCGGTGGGAGTTATTTCTAATATATATTTATATTATTATTACTAGTAGTAGTAGTAATAGTAATATAATTACTGTTTATTATAGATAATACACTAGTGTGCAATATTGTAGTGAATTTTTAACAATGGAAAGTTATTAAACCGTATTAAAATTAATAGTCCTTTTGCAATTGATATAATTGTGTGACTATAAATATGTCATGCAAATACACTAATATTATTTAGCATTTCTGTTTATGTCATAAGTTAAAATTAGATGTCTGTTAAATCTGATGATACAAACATAACTTGAACTTGAAAAGCAGTTAATTGTGTTTTTACAGTGCCAACATTTTAGAAATGTTTATGAAATTGTCATTACCCTTTGTTTCATTGTAAGTTACAAGCTGAATGTTTATTCTTCATGCATACAATCATGCATGTTACATTGCAGTTTTTCGTGGTTTGCTTCAAAATAATTAATGGTCAATGTCAGCACATGGGTTCTGGCTCTTGTCCTTCACAGCTGTGACCAATTTGAATGGATTACTGGACTGTATCAGGTGTGATACATCACATTTGCTTCTGTGTCATTAATGTATTTAGCTCAGTTTGGAACTACATTTTGCCTCTGCACAACATTAGCGGAAACACAATTAAATTCTCCCTGGAGAGATGTTGACAGCCGGCAGGGACCAGGGGGCGTGTATCGCTTACATGGAAATTCAGACTGATTGGATTTGAATGTGCACCATATAGGCGACCAGATGGCAGTCGGTGACATTGACACACTTTGTGTTGACTCTGTGCCTAGTGCTCAACTCTTTGTTCGTTTTTTCCACAGTAAATTTCAGGCAGGAGTGTTTACTTCTGAAAGTTTTTTCCCTTCCTTCAGTTTCCCCCTCCTTATCCGTCCGTCTTTGAACACCTGGTAATGATTAGACTCCCTCGCATTTGTTCACATTCCAGTCGGCTAGACATCAGAGAGGTTTCCAGTGGGTTTTTATGTTGTGTTTGCAGAATTACATCATCTTTCTCTGCCTTCATATTGAGGTTTGGCATGCTCTTTGTGTATTTTGCTGATATTGATCATATCACTGTTCAAAACAATGTCAGTCAACTTCTGCAACTGACAACTGAGGCTGTTTAAACCCCAGCAGGATGCCAGTTCCTACTAGAATTCAAAAGTGCTCCTGAGAATCTTTCCCTCCTCATATTCAGGAGTGATTTACAATAGTCTCAAAACGTTAGCATATATTACATGTTAAAAACAGTGCATTTATGATTTGTTTTTATTTCTGCATCTTACGTTTTTGTCAACAGATTTTTTTTCTCTCTCTCTTTTTTTTAGGATTCAATGAAAATGTCTGTCTGTGTCCACGAGAACCGCAAGTCTCGTGCCAGTACAGGGTCAATGAACATCTTCCTGTTCCACAAGTCTTCGTACGCTGACAGTGTGCTAATGCACCTGAATGCCCTTCGTCAGCAGAGACTGTTCACCGATGTCCTGCTCCATGCGGGAAGCCGCTCTTTCCCCTGCCACAGGGCTGTGCTGGCCGCCTGCAGCCGCTACTTTGAAGCAATGTTTAGCGGAGGCCTGAGAGAGAGTCAGGACAGTGAGGTGGACTTCAGAGACTCCATTCATCCTGAGGTATTGTTTTAGCACTCAAAAAAAGTAAATTTTTTTGTACCATGTTGTGGTTTTAGGTCGGTATGTCCTTTTTTCTTTTCTAAAATGAAAGACAGTGGATTTTAGTCCATTGTTGTTATAATAAATGTCAGTGGGCTTGAAAGACATAGCTTAAAAACACTCCCTCAAATATAATCTTTTGTGTGAAAGGTTCAAAATGGTATGAAAGTGAGTAACCTATGACAAATTGGGTACAAAACATAATTGATTGAAGATTACTAAGCATGTCAAGAGGTAATAATAAGGTTTGCTTTTGAAAAACAATAGTTCTGTGGTTTTCAAATGATCTTAAATTAGAGGTTGCCACTTGTTGGTTAACTTTGTGTTTATGCCCCATTGTCTAGGTTTTGGAGCTACTTCTGGACTATGCCTACTCGTCAAGAGTGATAATAAATGAGGAGAATGCAGAGTCTCTGCTTGAGGCCGGTGACATGCTGGAGTTTCAGGACATCCGCGATGCCTGTGCCGAGTTCCTAGAGAAGAACCTTCACCCATCTAACTGCCTGGGCATGCTGCTGCTCTCAGATGCTCACCAGTGCACCCAGTTGTTCCAGCTGTCCTGGAGCATGTGCCTCAGCAACTTCCCTGCTATCTGCAAAACTGAGGAGTTTCTCCAGCTGCCCAAGGACATGCTGGTGCAACTTCTGGCACATGAAGAACTCGAAACAGAGGACGAGCGGCTAGTCTACGAGTCGGCGCTCAATTGGGTGAACTACGACCTTGAGAGGAGGCACTGTCACCTTCCGGAGTTGCTCCGTACTGTGCGTTTGGCGCTCCTGCCTGCCATCTTCCTCATGGAAAATGTCTCAACGGAAGAGCTCATCATCGCACAGGCTAAAAGCAAAGAGCTGGTGGACGAGGCCATCCGATGCAAACTGCGCATCTTGCAAAATGACGGTGTTGTCAACAGTCCTTGTGCCCGGCCCCGCAAGACCAGTCATGCCCTTTTCCTGCTGGGCGGCCCCACATTTATGTGTGACAAGCTCTACCTGGTGGACCAGAAGGCCAAAGAGATCATTCCAAAGGCTGACATCCCCAGCCCACGCAAAGAGTTCAGCGCCTGCGCCATTGGCTGCAAAGTATACGTGACAGGTGGCCGAGGCTCTGAGAACGGTGTGTCCAAGGACGTTTGGGTGTACGATACATTACACGAGGAATGGTCCAAGGCAGCTCCGATGTTGATAGCTCGTTTCGGTCATGGCTCGGCAGAATTACGCCACTGCCTGTATGTCGTCGGAGGTCATACAGCTGCCACTGGCTGTCTGCCTGCATCACCATCTGTGTCCTTGAAGCAGGTAGAGCAGTTTGACCCAGTTGCTAACAAGTGGAGCATGGTGGCACCCTTGCGAGAAGGAGTCAGTAATGCAGCTGTCGTCAGCGTAAAGCTCAAGTTGTTTGCGTTTGGAGGGACAAGTGTGGCCCATGACAAGCTGCCCAAAGTTCAGTGCTATGATCCCTCAGAAAATCGCTGGACGGTCCCAGCGTCCTGTCCGCAGCCGTGGCGATACACTGCAGCAGCTGTTCTAGGCAACCAGATCTTTGTAATGGGTGGTGACACCGAATTCTCAGCTTGTTCTGCCTACAAATTCAGCAGTGAGACTTATCAGTGGACTAAAGTCGGAGATGTTACAGCGAAACGAATGAGCTGCCAGGCTGTGGCCTCTGGAAACAAACTTTATGTGGTGGGTGGCTACTTTGGTACACAGCGCTGCAAAACCCTGGACTGTTACGATCCCACGCTGGATGCATGGAACAGCATCACTACGGTACCTTATTCCTTAATTCCTACTGCCTTCGTCAGCACCTGGAAGCACCTCCCAGCCTGAAGCACGCCTGTACTCCCATGTGTGACCCTACTGTTCCTGCAAGGTACGTTGTTCAACTGAAAAACAGAATTACCTGACTTTTTTGTGCGTTTGAATTAAAAAAGGATGCAATTTATACACTTATTAATCAAGCAATATTTTTTCATACTCTACATCTCAAATCCATGATGACAAAATTAATTCAAATTAATTTGACACTTTTATACTCATTTAAAAATTGCATAAATTTGGTATTTATAGGTGAAATATGTGAAGTGCTAGATTTTAAGATGTGCTTAACATGTAGCCAGATTTATTTTATGGTGGATTTTTTCAGTCATAGATGAACTGAAATACATTTTTGAGAACCCGAGGGATTCTAGAGGAACCGTTTGAGATGCACCATGCCCTTGTCAGTTAAGGTCATGAACTTAAGGATACAAAAATACATTATCTAATTATATGTTTTACATTACTTTATATAATTAAACAAAATATCAATGTTGTGGTTAACTTTCATGTCTTCTTTTCACCTATGTCCATCATGTAATATTGTACAGTTTCTTTGTTCATCTACACACTGTATTTGGATATAGTGATTTCAGTTATCCATCATGATTTGGCTTGAATATATATTGACATTGACAGAACTTATTAAAATCAGCAGCAAATTGAGTATTGACAGAATTAGATTGCTTTAAGAATCAAAGAGGAAAAGAATGGCAAGGCAGCATTGCTATGAATACCAACCAGGTCAACTCAGCTCATATGCACAAAAAGATATTTCTTTTTCTATATATCAGTTTCTTTTCAGTCTATCAGTTCCCCAGTGCTTTCTTTACTCTTCCAGTTGCTGATGAACTTTTTCCAGTTTTCCTTCTTTGTTTCTGTAATGAGACTTTCTGTTGTGCGTGTGTGTGTGTGTAGGTGCACTAATCTCAGCATTTCACTTTAATCGATAACTTTTTAAAGCCGGGACATTAATGGATTTATAATAGGATGCTACAGATGTCCTCTCTCTTGAGAGACCATAAAAATACTTGCTATTAGGCACTGAGTCTTGCTCAGTCTCCAGGAAATCAGGCTTTGGTCACAGCAGGACTGCTTCGGAAAAGGGCATCAGGCTTTCCAGTATCTACCTCTCAGCAGTGATATGCCCAGTGATGTGTGTGTGTGTGTGTGTGTATGTGCGCTATGTCTGGCCTGGCTGATACAGAGACTCTGCGGTATCAGATCAGTCCCCAGACTGAGAGAAAAAAAAGAGCGATGATCCTTGCTGGAGAAAATTCAGAGCCTTAGTCTTTAAGATATTCAAGCTCCACACACCTAGCAGGCAGAGATGCTAGGCTCCACCTGAATTTTAATGTGCTTGTGGGCACATGCAAATCTTTAAATGTAAAATTTAGATCCAGAATAAAATCGAGCATTTGTGTGCCTCTGTTGTGAGGAGACGGCTTGCGGTAGGGCTGAATGAGTTATGAGTGTGCAGTGAGGGGCGTTGCACCGAGGGTAATTGAAGCAGAATAGAAGACTTTTATTGTTCCTGAGGGGGAAATTTGTCTAAGGAAGGAGGGAAGAGCATGGCAAACGTGGGAGGGTTTGGGGGGAAAACACTGAAAGGAATGGTGAGGTTTGATGTATTTGGATGAGCTATTTTGGATGATAACATGAAACATGCTAGCATGAAGTCTGATCACCAGCTCAGTCCTTCTGAGCTTGTTTAAAGTGGGGTTTTGGGTTGTTGAGCTGCAGTCTTTATCTGCCTGTCTAAGAAACCATGCCACAAAGCATAATCAAATATTTGAATAATTAAATGCAACTCATGCATCACCGCTGTCTTTGTGATTAAAGGTGCGGTCACATATACCATTGTTTGGTGAATTTTCACAGACTTTTCAATAGACTGGAATTTTACATGAGGCCAAAATATTTCCCTACACAGATTTTACAATGTTTAGTCATGTACATTTTACTTCGCCAACAGAAATTCATATATATACATTACCGGTCAAAGGTTTGGAGTCAGCATTATTTTTAAGTGTTTTACAGTAAAAAAAATACAGTACAAATTGTGAAATGTTATTGCACTATAAAATAAGTGTTAAAAAGTAGATTATAATTTAATAAAAAAAAAATTATGCCAGTGATTTTAAAGATGAACTTTCAGTTTCATTACTCCAGTCTTCAGTCACATGATCTTTCAGAAATCACTCTAATATTAATTATTATTATTATTATTATTATTATTAATTCATTAGTATTATTAGTTCAGTTTCTTAATTGATTTATTAAATGACTGATGCCTTTTATGTAAGACTACATTGCTTTCGTAAATTTAAAAAGTAAATTATAAATTATTGCTGTAACCTGACTGATATCAAGTAAAATAGACATATGCTTTAAGGATTTCAGTCATTTATAGATGCATGAAGAGCGTACTATTCACGCTGTTGCTGATTCAGATGATCTTGGTTTGAAAACCTTTGGCCTGACTCAGAGTAAAATACATTAGGTCAGATAAGGTAATTCAGATGAGTCATAGCTTTTGTTCTTCATAAACCATTTCAGTACTGTCAATCACCACGTTTTACAGTATGCTGAAATCCTTGTGATTCCGACTGTGACTTGAGTGAAAAGCACAAATCTAGCTGGCTATCCAGTGACTGTAACTATATAGAAAATAAAAAGAGAACACCTAGACAATATTTGTATTATCTGACAATTATAATGTGGACAAAACGCAGCTAGTCAGCATTTAAAGAGAAGGAAATAGAGAGTGATTAATATAAAGCCTAACGTAATTCAGATGAGTCATAGCTTTTGTTTTTCATAAACCATTTCAGTACTGTCAATCGCCATGTTTTAGTATGCAGAAATCTTTGTAATTCCGTCTGTGACTTGAGTGAAAAGCAAAAATCTATCTGGATATTCTGTGACTGTAACTATATAGAAAGTAAAAAGCGGACACCTAGACAATATTTGTATTATTTGATATGCATATCGTGGACAAACGTAGCATTCAAAGAGAAGGAAATAGGGAGTGATTATATAAAGCCTAACAATAGAAAGATTTATCTCCGCCTGGTAGAGTGAAATGAATATTTTATACATAAATTTCTCCTCTCCCTTCATGGCAGGTAATCAGTCTGGCTGCAGCGAGAGCAGAATAACCCGTAAATACTGATAGAGTGAACCAAACTCAGTAGACTAAACAAGATATATAGCCACTTTAACTTCCTCCTAAAAAACAAAAACGGAGGCAGTCATTCCATTCCTGACCCTTTGGCGCTGGTCATTTAGCTTCACTTTTAAGGTCTCAGTGACTCTCTGTATGTGTGTGTGAAATGCCGCCCACCTTGACAGGGCAGTTAATTTCAAAGTGGTGGTCCTTCCTTTGTTCGCTGAGCCATTCCTGGCCATTTAAAAGAGCATGAAGTGTTTTAAGCAAGCTTCCTCCCCACTAACAATGAAAAGCCTCACTGCTGGCCAGAGGAGTGGGAGGAGAGAGAAGACACAGATGAGGAGAGAGGGGGAGGACGGGATAAGGCAGGGTAAACAAAGATTTTCAGTCTTGCTCTTTCTTTCTCTCCAACTCGCTGTGTTTTCTCACACTCAAACTCCTGCTATCGCTCTCCCATGAGAATGCATCTGGTTACAGAGATCCCCCTTTCCTACATACAGACACACTGCTCCCTTTATCTCTTATCTTTTCCGTCTCTCTGTGAAACTGTTTTTGGACTCTGGAAGGTTCAAGGATGCTTTTTGCAGAAATGCTGAATTTAACCAGGACAAAATGGAATGATAAAGAACATACTTGTATGTTTTTAGGTAGTAGTTTAAAGGGCACCTATGATAAAAATTATCTTTTGTAAGCTGTTTGGACAGAACTCTATGTAGGTATAGTGTGTCTACAGTCATATTGGAGTAATATAATAAAAAATAAAAAAATAAATTCCTGACGTTAAAATAGGATCCAAATGCCTCCCATTTTGAAGCCCACCGCAACGTGATGGAGTGTGGTTTCAGCAATTTTACGTACATGAACTTTGTAATGACACTGTGTGTGACTCATCATTGCAGAAAGGCTTTAATTAACTCTTGAACTCTTAACTTAAAATAACATTATGTAAGATCTGCTTTCTTCATTTCTGTCACTGTGCTGTTTATCTGACGAAACCGAGGCAGAGAGCCATACCTGCCAACAGGCCCGCTTTTCCTGTCTCTCGTATTTCAGACCCATCTGCCGTCACCCTCCTGTTTTGTTATCTCTTCTGGAAAACTCCCTGAATTTCATCGGCGCCTCAGTCCTCTGCTTTTTGGTACAGTCTATAACACCCTCGGATTGCTGATTTTGGTATAGTATCTGATTGCAGCGGGTGATCGATTCCCCTTGCAGAGTACAGTTAGGGCCTACTCACACTATGGTATCCGAACCGTTTCCTGGATCGTTTGAGAAGTGTGAGTGCGCTTAATCGGGTTCAGGCACGTTTCTCTTGGCCGGCCCTGGCCAGTTGGAAGAGGTGTGACTGAGCGCGGTTCACTTGGGCTTTCTTGTGGGTACGCTTGTGTGGGAGTGCAAAACCTGCCAAAGCCCGAAACTGAAAGCAAGACGTGACTTTTAAGGGACCGTTTGATATGGATTTATTAATCATTCTTACTGTTCATTGAACGCAAACTGCCATAGTTTATTAAATACGCAAACCCCTCACTGCATGACCGATGTGCACCTGCATCAAACCTCCTAATTCCTGCAGCACGAGGACTTTGATTGTTTATGTGCGTCAAAAGTGGCTACTACAGACTTTGTTAGTTATGATAGCTTAAACCTTAAAAAATACAAATTTATTCCACTGATTGCAAGGCTGATTTTTCAGTTTTACATAATAATTCAGAAATAATATAAAAATTATAAAAATATACTGTATTGTGCTCAATATCCAACATTTATTATTTTTTATCAATATTGAAAACATTTGTGCCGGTTAATATTTTATGGCGGCTGCGATACAGTAGTTTTGTGGTAGTTCCAAGTATTATTTAATAAGTAGTTAAATTGATCGGTATTCATCTGAAATTGAATACATTTATGATTGTTTATATCAATTCATGAAAATTTGAAATTTCCTTTAAATATATATATATATATATATATATATATATATATATATATATATATATATATATATATATATATATATATATTGTTGTTGTTTTTAATCTCAAGGGAAGAACTTTGAACTTGTTCTTTAATGGCCAGGGATATGTTCTGGACAGAAAATCTCTACCATGCTAAGCTTGTGTTGCTGCGCGTGTGCTGAAGTGTGAACCGCACATACGCGTGTGTATGTGTTTATGCCAGGCTTGTGTTTGGCGGGTGTGGGAGTGGAGGGAGGTCATTAGTCTAAGCTGTGTTCATTCACCGTCAGCTCCACGCTTAGATCAAGTGTCATGGTTCACTGAACATGTAGTCTTCTAAAGCAGCTCTGTAGATTCTACACCCAACTGGCTTGGGATCGATGGAGGCATGGATTTAGCTTTGCCCCCTTCCAGTTTCTTTGGGCTTCTGTTTGAGTGGGTTTTAATTGGCAAGCGATTCTTCTGTAACTGCAGGCTTCAGCTGCCCTTTACTGTCATTTATACGAACTGTATGCACAACTTAAAAGATGAAAGTGGGGGTTGGGAGGCACATAAGAAATAGAATGTGTTCTAATGGCTTGATTTGGACACTCTAGGGGACTTCAGCTTTCAAGTGATCACCTACACTTAATTTCTATCCTCCTTTCCAAGCTAGAGAGAGAATACAACAATTCAGAATAGATTTTAGCCATTGCGGAAAAGCTGTAAAATAATAGTAGAATCGAAGCCAAAAAGGCAAATCACACTGTATTGATTTTGGTGCAACAACGATAGATAGAAAATAAAGCTTTTGTTGTTGTACATTCGGTTGTGCTCTTGGTTCCTATTGCTTTTTTGTTAATTGAATTTACACAGCCAATAATCTGACTGAATGCCATGTTTAAGAGTCCAAGCCTCTAGGTTTGTATTATCTTTTGGCTTGTATTTCTTGTTAAACGGGTGTGGGAGCCTGACCTTATATGTCCTCTCTTCTTGTTTTTACTTTAAGTGGATTAAAAAAAAAAACATCAGGTACAAATGGTCTGAGTCAATGACCGAAGTGTATTTTTTATTCAAGTGCATAGATGAAAGTAAGGGCATCAATGAGTACGTTTACATGGACTCCAATAATCCAATTTTAATACGTTTAAGACATTATTCTGAATAAAAGTCTACATTGTTAACAGCGATTTTTGATTACCTTAATCCGACTAAAGTCATAATCGAAATAAACAGAAATTAAATTAAGACGTGGAGTATTTTATTAATTAAGTGCAGTATAGACATCAAAACATCTTAATCAAACTATTACAGTTGTGTAGGATTTTCGCCGCATTTTAAGAATTTCCTCTTAGATATGATTGGCGTTAATAGCAGGTTTGGCATGCTGGCCCAGGAGAGAACCTTGAGCTCGGAGATACTTGAGCCTAAGGCTCCCGCTTGGTCAATAAGCTTATAAGGGGATCCGAGATCAGGCAGGTCTTGAGAGCTCCCCATAGAAAAGGGAGAAAAAGGTGAAGATGGGTGGAAGGGGGGATTCTTCTGTATTGAAGATAGAGCAGTAGGGAATAAATTATCCACTTATTGTAAGCTTGGATCACTCTGATTGGTTTATTACTGATTACAGATGAGCAGCCAGTCGTGCTCAGTAATATTACATGCTCTTCTCGAAATTAGTTTATGAAACTTCACTTTGCGATTAGTATAGTCAATTCACACACGGCAGTTTGACACTATTCTCTGCACCAACTGAGTCAGTGAAAGGCCATAAACACCTGCATCACATGAGTTTTTTTTCTCTCATGGTGTGCAGTATCAAGTTTCATTAAAACTACACTCTTCCAGCAGTTCATATTCTCATCCAATATCTCATTTGTAATGGGGCCATGAATGAAATGTTCCTGAATGAAAGTGAACGTGCCAAACTGCAGTTAAAATCAACAAATTAACAATGAAACACCCAGAATTACATGAAACTCTGGAGGAAATGTGGGTAGCGTGGTGACGTAATGACTTCGATAGAATTATGTGCTACAACATGTTAAACGGGATCATGAAGGCAACATTTAAAAAGAAACTCATGTAAACACATTAATCATATTATTGTCTTATTCAGATTGAGGCATATCATTTGATTACTGATGTCTATGTAAACACAGTCACTGTGAAGTTCAAATGTGGGATCTTATCTAGCTTTCAAAGAAGTATAATGGTGGAAAGGAAACCTAAATTGAAAATATTTCTAATGTTGGTTTTCTTGTTTTTTGTTTTTTTCCCACAGAGTTCCTTGTGTCCATTTGTCGTTATTGTCTACTGGATTCCAACTGTGAAGAAACGCTATAACCCTCCTGTGCAATTTTATGAAGAGACTTTCTCCATTAAGAGCTAAGTATTGTCCACAAAGTCCAGTTGCAAAGCTTTAAAAAAAGCTTTTTTTCCAGCTGCAAGTACGCCAAAAACTTTTAATGTCTTGCTTGGAAGTTACTTTGTGATGTCTTCTTGTACATTTTGTGAAGTATCAAAATGTGGGCTTCACAGTGAAAACCAAAAGAACTGAGATGCATCCTGAAAGTCCAGTCTGCTTCCATCACAACCAGCATAATCATCAGCTTCGTTGCCCAGGTTTGTGACCGTTTTTGTACAAAGCTGATGCCATGCAAGCTGAAATAGACCCGTATGCCTGTCTTAATTTGTATACTGCATGAAGGATGAGTGGAGGCTTTTGATTGGGAGATCAACAGGAGTCTCAACGCATGATTGGAGATGTTTAAGATACTCCAGGAAAAGTACCTCACATCCTGATAGGTATCTTCCTTTTCTTCTCCCATGGTGATGTTTTGAAAAAAAGACTTTGCTCAGTAGGAGAGATACTGATGTGGACTCTTTATGGACTGATAAACATCATATTTTGCTGGTTTGAAGAATAAAAGGACCGAAGAACATTTGTTTTGTTTAACAAATTTGTCCTTCACACATCTGCACAATGAGGATAGACTGATGCTGAACTGGTCCTGTTGAACAGACCTTAGCAGCTTGGTGTGAAAATGGACACGGGCACAGTGTGTCCCAAGGTACACGTGCCAGCTGTGCGTATGCGACTAAGTGAGTGCAGGAGAGGCATGTCCTAGCATGTTCGTCTGATCGAGAGTCCATCTGCCCACTCAACACCCGATCATGCTCCCACCCCCTCAAAATAAACACCCGACAAACTGAGTGAGCATGTCCTCTGAGAAAGCACCAACAAACACTGTCCTGATCACTCACCGGCTCAACTCTTTCTTGCACAAGGCTTGAACTGTGCGAGACACTTCTGCCGTTTTTGCCTGTACTATTCTAAGCACATACAGTCACGGTAAACGTGAACGACAGAAGGAGAGAGAAAGGAGGTGAGAGCCGTTTCGTCACCCTGCGAGGGAATTCAGTCGTTATGGCAACGACAACGAAACTGTAAATTTAAAAAAAAAAAGTGCAAGAAACTGGCTGCCTGGCTTAAAATATTTCATTGCCTATTAATAGTCTTAATTTATGATGTTTATGAAGCTTTTTGTTTCGTTTGATTCATTGTGTATTAACAACATTTCTTTTTATTTATTGGTCATTTTTTTCTGCTTGCCTAATGTTTGGATGTATAGACGCTGACAGGTTTTTGTACTACGCATGGCCCAAAACGCTCTGTGTTCCTGCTGCTCTTTTGCACATTTATATAAGGGTCATTTTGACAGAGCAGGTGGAATTTGTAGTGGTCAGCGATCAGATCAAAAACTGGGAGGTTTTGGGGGTCAAAGGTCATAAGCGGAATAAGAATGGGCTGAATGATGTCATGGACTCAGATTACCCAGGGTGCAAGTGGGCAGGTCAGCAGACTGGGGAGTTGGGAAGAGGTTTTGAGAGTTGAGGCGGCTACAAGGAAAATACTTCAAATTGCAGGGGCTGCTTATCAAAAAAATGGAAATTCTGCCATCGAAGTTATTTACCCTCATACGTCATAGTTGGGTAAACTTAGAGTGCAGTGAATCGGAGAGTACAGCAAATATTTTTTTAACAATCTTATTTGCTGAAATAATAAAAGAAAAACTCTATGATGGTGTTATTAAGACTTTCAGAAAAAGGGAAAAAAAAAAGTGAGACTGATGACGGCATCCAGAAGAGAGAATAACGTCAAATTTTCTCTCAGCCCCATAGACACTGCATTTGAAACACCTCACATAAGCGGTAATTCGTTTTTGTAATTTGACGCAAAGATGATTTAATACATTCATGAATGCATATAAATGTTAGTACGTTTTTTTACAAGGATTTAAGATGCTGATGACCGTTTAAAGAGTCAAAGTAGTCCTGTGATAAGGATACACTAGGGGCCGATCACACCGAATGTGCTTTTTGTGTTGAGAGGCACTTTTTTTTTTAATTATTTACTAATAACCATGAGCGTTGTGCACACTGCTTATGCACCCTGCCTGCCTCACATTTTAGGGGTAGATCACACCAAATCCATATTTTTTTAATTGCCTTTTTGCCTTTTTTTTTTTTTGCCCCTTTTGCCTTTATTAGATGTTACATTACTTGCCTTTACAGTAATGAGACAGGAAGGGAAGTGGAGGAGAGAGGGGAGTAGGGTCGGGAAATGTATCCGAGCTGTGATTCGAACTCGGGACACCCTGAAGTGCTACCATACCATTTGTCTGCATGTAAACCACTAGGCTATAGCACAGACAGAGGTGCCTTTTTTTGAAAGATTTACTAACGGCGTGAGTGTTGTGCATGCTGCTTTTGCGCCCTGCACGCCTCACGTTTTTACCACTTGCTGCATTTGACATTTTTACCGTTGCGCGCCGTGCACTCGCAGTTGGAAAAAAAAGTCACTCCGAGTGGAAAATGGACGTTACGTCAGTCATGTCTCTTTCATTTTTGTTGAGGTGACTGCAGTGTTTGTGATGTCAAGACGACTACAGGGACTTTTGTTATCTGGAATGTGAAAATTGTGTTCAGTGTGATCGGCCCCAAAAAACGCATTGCGGTGCGCCTCACATTTTTGGAACGTAAAGCGGGTTCGGTGTGATTGACCCCTTGTTGGGCAAACTGATCTTTTTAACCATTATTAGAATTTCTTTAAGTTAGGCAACTAAATTAAAACCTATGTCTTTTAAGCACAGACCAATCCACTTAGTTCGGATGTTGCATTAACATGCATAAACTGTTAGTGATCTTAAAGCATATAATATGACCTCAAACCTCCATTCAAAAGGCATTAGGTTTCACGTAATGGAGCATTAGCGTAGTTTATCAAGTGATTTTGACCAGTGGCAAGTGACCTCATGCCAAACTCGCTTCAGTGTTCTGCCTCTGTAACCCTGCCATGCATCTATCACTGTCAGTACTGAAACTCACGCTGACCCAGGGTCTCTGTGGGTTGTAAGGATCCTGTAGAGCTATCTGAAGAATGTGACATTCGCAGCTGCTCTGAGAACAGCTGGAACCGTCACCAGCGTGTTGTAACTTTGACCTGTCCCTCACAGTTCACTGGTGCTGTTAACGTTATGATTGGATTAGGAATACGTCACAGGCACATTCCTGGACCCCTCTTAAAAATAAATTTGATGTGCTAGTTGTACAGAAGAACCATTATTCCCAAGTTCCTAGAGGACACTTTCATTGGTGCTTTTACATCTGTGGTTCGGTTCATTCGTTCTAGACCAAGGGCAAAGAAATTATACATTGTAGCATTTTTGACGTTTTTGGGTCCTTTTCACACCACACTGATAGCTTTTATGTGCAGTCATGTGACAAAATTCACATCTTGGACAGATGTTCTTTCCTAAACTGCTTTTCAATTGGTCAGAATTAACGTGCAGGAAAATGCCAATGGAACTCCCTCAAGTAAACAAACTGGCAGACACAAAATGTCGCTTTTTCCAATGGAGGGACGATTGCGCTGGCTGATTATATCCCTGGTATACTTAATAGTTTGGATACATCACTTTAGACAGACTATACATTTCGAGAATGTATAGGAGGTTTTGGTACGCTTTTAGTGCACACTTGAGTGCGATTGCTACATTCACACCTGCCTAAACAAACCGCACCAAGAGGGAAAACGAAATCTAGTGCGATTCAACCGAACTAAATAATGCAGGTGTGAAAACACCCATACACCATGTCTAAACTGTGAATGTAAGTGGTGTGATTGAGCGAATTGAGACTATTATAAGAATGTTCAAAAGTGATACAGACAGTAAACTAATACCTATTTCTGAAATATTTCACTACTTCCACTACAAATGGATTCAGAATGTTGCACTGAGATTGTCTAGACATTATAGAAGCTTAACTGTCAAAAATAACCTTTATTTTTAAGACTGGATGCTAGTGGAAACAGCCTGTAGCGTAAAACACAACCTGTGACAAATTTAATGATGTTAACCACAATGGGGTTAATTATGATAAAGCTAAATCCCAAAGTTCTCAACATAACTAAAAGCGATGTCTACATAAGGGCAAAGACCAGGGTGCTTTCATGTGACTGCCAAACGCACCGCCTGTAGAAACGATGTGTCTGTTTGAATTTTGACTGCGGAGCGACACTGTGACAACAGTTTTCGGGTAGGATGAATAGCACCACTGGCATATTGACACACAATAGCTGTGGTGACAACACCACAAATAAATGATATGGCTTTATTTGAACGGAATATATAATAATTTCTGTGCTGTTAAACTGCACAGTCACTGCAAAGTACAAGGAAAGCTCTCCTCCTCAAACCCTCTCATCTCCACCAGGAAATTCTTGCTTACAATGTTCCCTCTGGCCTTTAGGGTCTTTGACCCCCCTTTCAGAATACCTTTTCACAGAGCACTGCACACGCTGACCTCCGTCCAATCAGAACACCCCGTCCTGCCCCCTCGCATAGCACAGTTGCCACAGCAATGGTCAACAATCATGGCTCCCTCTCCATTGGAACTGGTAATAGTCAAGTGTTTTGTTTTTCTCTTTTCTCTCCCTCTTACTCCTTTGCCCTCCCAACTTCCCTCTCTCCTTCTGCTCAAGTGAAAGATTGATTCGGAGGTGGCTCTTAAAGAACTCTTAAACGCTGTATGCCTTCACAAACAGACGCATTGCTAAAACACTGTCAATGTTGGGCTGTACTGTTTGTTTGTTTTTGTGAGTGTCATTTTTCTTTTCATTTCTATATGTGTTGTATTATATAATTGTATTGTTATTTTATCTCAACCACTGCGGTTAACATTATTTTGTACAAGTGATTTTTTCACAATGTGAAATTCATGGCTAAATAAAGATAAGAGTTTTTCCTCTTGATAGATATAAACGTGTGTTGCATTTTTCAGCTTTTCCTGATTGACTGTGACTGACTTTTTAAGATTCTGAAGCAAGTTTTCGTGCCTTTTTAATGCAGAGAAATGAAGCTTTTCGTTCCAGCTTATTGGGTGCTCATTAAAACATTTCTCACATATCTGGCCAGATTTATATGGCAGGCAGCACTTGTCTGTACAAAGTATTAAATGGGTGTGTGTTTATTAGGGGCCCCTATAAATGCACAAAAAAGGGGCTGAGATCATCTCGTCGTGTCTGCGAGACAGGAAGTAACAGCCATACGTGACCCGTAAGATTCTTTTCCTTTTATTCCAGTGTTTCCCTGGCAACCCTGACCATTATCTGCAAACTCTGGCAGCTGATGTGAAACATGAAAATTTAAAAGACCTCCAGCACCACAGGCCTCCTTTTCTTGTCCTCTTGCCATTTTTTAGTTCCTCCTACGTTTGTTTTCATCCTGTTACCTTAATTCCTTAATGAATATCAGATAACTGTGTGATCTATTTTTAAACATTTGAAATGGTTTGCATTCTCAATAACATGCAGTGCTCTTCACTAATATTGGCACTTAGTAAATATGAGCAAAGATGGTGCAATGTATAAAAACAGTGTTGTTTAACAGTGTTTCTCAACCACATTCCTGGAGGCCCACCAGCTCTGCACATTTATATATCTCCTTAACCAAACACACCTGATTTAGATCATCAGCTCATTAGCAGAAACTGAAAGACCTGAAATGGCGTGACAAAGGAGACATCCAAAACATGCAGTGCTGGTTGGAATGTGGTTTAGAAACACCAGTTTAACATATAAAAAAAAATTTAAATAACAAAAATGTGTTACCATAAAATATCATCGTCACCTTGGAATTATAAGGTTTTATCTGACATTTGTCATTTTGAGTTTATATTCTTATTAAATGACAATTGTTTACATTATGTGAAATTGTTTTCTAAGTTATTTACATTTTATTTAAATAAATTAAACAAAAACAAAGGTTTTATCTGGAACTCCTGCTTGCCTCTAGGTCTTTTCTGTGAGCCAATCAGCATTTCGAAAGCAAGCATGAGGACCAATCAGGTTCAGTTTTCTTTGTCATTCCGACAGATTGCTCCGTTGACAGCGGGAAAGAAACACAAAATCAAAATCGACTAAATAATGTCGCACCACAAAAAAATTGAGAAGAAATGTTTTTATATTACATAAAATGAACAGCTGCACTGGACAAAATAATTAGCACATCCTTGTATGTTTAATTTCAACAAGGGGGATATTATAATTTTAAAACATTAAATAAATGTTAAAGAAAGCAAAACATTCTACTTTCTAAAACATCAACACATTGTTACAACACCAATTTAAAAAATAATTAAATTAATAACTGATTGTATTTGTGGAAAGTGGAAATAGATTGTAGAATTAGAATATTCTATTTGCCCTGTTTATTTTACCCCAATTTACAAATGTTAGAGACTTTTGATAATTTACATTTAGAGTACATTTAGGGTCTCTGTCATCTTTTGGGTTTTACAGTGTACAGAAAAAAAAACATTTATTGCACTATAAAACCCAAGAGTCAACTTTATCAAATGAAATGAGTGTAGTTAACTCAAAATGTAATGAAAGTTAATTCTACTCATTTGAAGAAAGTTTTAAACTCAGTGTTGAAGGTAATGAGTTAATTAAATACCTCATTAATTTAACTTAAATGAAGTAAGTTCGCAATACTCATATAGATTTGTTTTTAACTCAAATGATTTGTAGCAATCGGTTTTCTCAAACGGTTTGAGTTGCCTTAACTTATTGGGTTTTACAGTACTCGGTTGGTTTAAGTTCTCTTCATTTTTTGGGTTTTACTGTGCTCAAATTTCTTCGTTTACTTAAATTGATTAAGTTCACAGTACTCAGGATTAGTTTTTGAACTTAAATGGTTTGTTGCAATCGGTTCCCTTAAATGGTTTGAGTTACCTTAACATTTTGGGTTTTACAGTGTGGGGTTCAGAAAGTCTCAAAATGACAATCTGAAATCACCACAAACTGTTAGAAATGGTCACTCTCTTAAGTGTTAACAGTATTTTGTTAATATATTTTAAGCAGAACATCACATTGTTAAAAAAATACTGAATATTTTTGACAGTCTTTTTTTTTTTTGGCTTGTATTTACCAAGGGTGCCAATATTAGCGGAGGACTCTGTATATACCACGTGTGCAACGAGTAAACAGACACGCAGTGACACATGATGTTGCAAACCTGCTCTTCGTGAGGACAGGAGTGTTTACATTCCTGTGATAAAGCGACTCCCTTTCAGTAAAGCTAAAGAAAGACTAGTTTTACAGGCTCCCAGCACACCAATGCAAGATTGTGTTTGAAAGCCATAAAGTTCACACTTCTCACTGACTCATGTAAGCCAAGCAATTACAGTATATCTAGATGATAATATCACGACAACTTCTAATAGTAAATAATGTTTTACTGGTTGTGTAATCTGCTCCAGTTAGCATAGTATAAACCCCTACATGCACAAATATACACTCGATAGTCATGTGATATGATGTTCCTCAATTTCCTGTTGCCAGGCAACATGTCTGTCAGTTCCAGTAAGCTGGCACATGCTCAGTGTTTTCTGCCGTAGTAAGAGCCTCCTTGAGATGTCACACAGATCTTGGCCAATTATAGGTCACACTGTGTGAAATCTGACCTGTACTCCTCAATCAGGTGCAGTCCTACTTTAGAAATAATGGCAAAACAAGTGTGCCAGTCTCTCATAGCACTCTAAAACTCATAACCTGTCTTACGGCCCTTATCATTCAGTGTGGTTTCTGTAGTTTTCTGAGCTGGACAATATAAGGGACATAAACAGAAGCCATGTACTTTATAAACAAAACAAAACATATAATGTATTTAGATATTCTGTCATAACCTCAGTAATATATTCATGAACATTTTTAACTCTAATGGCATTTTCAGAACTTTTGTAAGCTCCATCATTTTAATAGCCTGGAAAGCAAAGCATCCTCCTAACAATGTTAATGCATGTCTTTCTTTAACAGCATTTTAAAACAGTACTTAACCAAAACCAACGCTTTTAAATTTTTAAACTTTTTTTATTTCTTTCAATTAACAACAGCAAGATCTAAACAACAACGAACACTGTTAAATATAATATAATATAATATAATATAATATAATATAATATAATATAATATAATATAATATAATATAATATAATATAATATAATATAATATAATATAATATAATATAATATAATAAATAAATACATTCACAATTGAAGTCAGAACTATTAGCCCCCTTTTGAATTTTATTTATTTAAAAAAATATTTTCCAAATGATGTTTAACAGAGTAAGGAATTAAATTATTAAATTTCACATTTAGTTTGAACATTTTAAGTACTTTTGAGTATTTGATATGATAATGTGAATGTTTTGGCATTATATATATAAGGAATACAATACCTATATATGACAAAAAACATTATGACAGAATAATAAATAATGTGAAGTTAATGACACATTTAGCTTGTAAAGCAAAAAAAAAAAAGTATCATGTAAAAATGTAAAACCTTTAAATGCTTTTCTGTAATTTTTGGGGGCGATGCAGAATTTTTAAGTCATGCCTTTTCCAATTTAAAATAATAATAATAATAACTTCCCCTACGGAGGATTTCTATTTTTTTCTAGATTTTTTTTTTTTTTAGAAATGATCTTCAGTCATGATGTCTTAATAAGAATAGACCATCCCTTCTCAATCCAACATATCACAATTTAATATAATTTTCTTGTGCCAGTGCTTAAAGAATTTAGTTTTAGCTAATTAATTGTAATATAGTTCCAGATGTAGCAGACACATTGTTGACACAGTTTCCATGTTAATGGTGCCTGTTTGTGTTTATTTATATCATGTACTATGGTAGCCAGGAGAGCTCAAACACGCTGCAAGTTGTGAAAACATATGCAAATAAAAAACATTAACAAATTGAGAAGACATCTTCATCAATTTGATAAAATACACACATGCAAATTCTCACAACACATGCAAATACAGAAATGCATTGCAAATAGTGCACACCGCAATGTAATTATGTCAGTGGACCCCCCTAAAATGATGAACCCAGCTGTTTTCTGTTTACAGTCAGTGCTGTGTTTTGTAAATAACAAGAAACATAAAATAAAATAAAAAATAAAAAATAAAAATATAAAACTTACTTCTCACATCTCCGACCGATTCACACGGGGCTTTAGCGTCAACTCTTAATAGAGAATTTGGGGCTGACGCGATTGTCATAGCAGTGTCAGCCAATGAAATTTGTCCACAATTGGCTACTGTCTGAGCTGGGGTATTTGCATAAAGCGATCATATTGGCTGACACTTTCGTTGGTGCTTTAAAAGTGGAGAAATTCCCAATTTCCAAGTGCCGGCAACAAATCCACAATTTAGTTTGGCAAGTTTGGCAACGCTTGTCATCACCCATTCAAAGTGAACGGGAACTGTTGATGCTGACACCCCGTTTGAATGGGCATGACACCACCATTGGCTCTAAACTTTTTGTGGTATGTTTACAGTTGAAGAAATGTGTCGGCAAATTGATAAAGATGTTTTCTCACTTTGCTAGTGTTCTTATATGCCTGTATTTCTACTTGCTGGGTGTTTCTGCATTTACACATAAGAATTTGTGTATGTGTGTGTATTGTCATACTGATTAATTTTTTTTTTATTTGTTTAGTGTTTTCTGTTTTGCATGTTTGTTTTTACTTGGAGCGCATTTGAGCTATCTTGGCCACCGTAGATATTGCTCCGAGTAGCTCAGCACACTTCAAACCGATCCCTGCGTAACCACGTGATTAACATCAAACTATGAAGGATGTTCGTTTATATAACTTTAGGATTGGATATTTTGGGGTGACAATTACAAATTACACAATGGAATACAAAGCGGGATGGCCCGTGGAGAGATTCGGCAGACACGAGGATGCT